CTCTAACAGCTCTCAGAAAGAAGTTATCAGAGAATCCAAAGAAAATGAGATTGCATGTAAAATGGGCAGCAGTGCTGCAGGGAACATTTTGGTTCATACCTGATTTTGATGCTGAAAGATAGAAGAATTGTCCAAAAGTTCCCAAAGCATTTGACAGAAATGAAAAAACTGGATTCTCTGCCCCTCTTATATGATTCCCCTAAATGTGACCAGGAATGGTGCTGGATTATGCAATGTTCCATGATTTGCATATACCTAAAACATACTTAGTATGCCAAAAGGGTATGTAAGTGATAAAAGCCACAATGATTTCAAAGCTTTGGTGCTGAAAATCCCCCCCCCCTTTACACTTGGATAGAAATAAACCCATTAATTTGGAGTGGGATTCACTCTACTAAAAGCTAGTTGGCTGGGGCTGAGCTAGTCACCATGGGCCCCGTGCAGTCAGCAGAAAGCAATGCACACCTCCCGGGAGGCAAGATGAATCACAGCAGCGTAGTGATGCTTTTTCCAGAGCACCCTTCCAACAAGGCGCTGCGGGAGCCTCAAAGCCAGCGCCCGTAGCTTTATGTTAAAATCTGTCAGGGGCTCCACTGCAGACCTCTTTCTTCCTCTAGCACCATTAAAAACACTTTCTTCAACACTGCTTTCCTTAGCTTTTAACATGCTATTTACCCTCATTAAGACCTTACTTCCGATCCTGTAAGTGCTTACTTCAACAGCTTGTGGTGAGCAGCCTTGTTGAAGTCTTCAGAAAGCCATGTGGTCTATCTCAACGTCCATGGACGCCGACTGATCCTTTCAGGAGCTTTCCAGGCAGTTTATAAGGCATGCTTTCTCTCTAGAAACTAAATCAATTCCTCTACAGCATATTTCTTCAGGTTTCCATTAGTACATCATTTATTATTACTTTCACCACTTTTTCCAAGCCCAGACTGATCAGCAGTTTCCTAGACCTAACCAGTGCCTTTTAAGAAAAGAGCTGGCATTCTGTTCAGCACTTTCCAATCCTCTCAGAACAAGTCTACCTGAAAGGAAGGCTACAGACAGCAGCACAGCTGCTTCACCCTCCTGCAGAAGGCTTGGGTGAACAGTACCTACTGCTGGTAGTGCTACCTTGTTCTGTTTATTTAACTGATAACATTTTCACCAATTCAAGTTTGAAGCTCTTCCAGCCAGCTAATGAGTTCTCTACATACATACCAGCTTATATTTTTTCCCTCCTCATTTTGAACACACTTGTTTCCCATCTTACACTTGGATCATAGACTTTTAAATACAAGAATATTGCTTTATCATATGAATTCACTGCTTTTTAAAATAACCCAGACAGCACAAACTTCCACAAGTCCCTAGATAACTGTCATTCTGCCAATAAAAAGATGATTTCGAAATGCCACAATCAAGCCCCAAGAAAAGGTGATGGGGGGGAAGGGACGAAGAGAGAAAGATGTTAGATACTTTTCTAAATGCTGTAAACATATAATGACCTCTTTAAAAAAAAAAAACAAAAAAAACCCCAACTCCTCCAAGTCAGTGCTTCCTGCCAGGAGACAGCTATCACCACTCTGGTTGCCTCTTCCCAGAGGAAGAAAATACAGCGTTGATGTTGACAGGGCCTGATTTATGGTCTGAGGTTCTTACTCATATTCAGTCATCCCAACATTAAGAACACATCTATTAACTTGCTTGTACTTACTCATCCAGGATGCCAGTTAGATTACACAATTCACCTCCATCACTCTTCCCTTCAGCCTTCAAATACAAAAGCACAGCTTAGCACCACAAGCTACAATTCAGACTATTTAAACAATTTCAGTTCAGAAGAACCTACTTAATTGTGGAAGTATGTGCCCCAAGACTCTTCTAGCTTCAGGTCAGATAAAACTTCATTTGCAGCAGCCAAGTTTCAGAACAAGTCTTAACAGAAGGACTTGCATCTACATAAAAAAAAATTTCACCCTGGGATCAGCTACGAGGCATTTTCATACAGGTTGCACGTAATTTAAACTGGTACCTCATCCAGTTTTCTGAAAAGCTGCTTTTCCTCTGCAATATTCCTCTTTTCAACAAAGATAACTTTTTTTCCACCTAGAGATCAGTAATCCATCTGCATTCAACCTCCCAGTGCCTTCAAAGTACACTATTACTAAGAAAAAAAAATCAAGCAAACAAGCCAACCACCCCTCCCACCTGTATCTGCAAACAGCTTATTCAAATTCAGTAGAGAGGATAATTTTCATTAGGAAAGCACCTTTCCTTTGTTCTTCAAAATTTCATTCAACCTAATGCCACCCCCCTCCTTTTAGCCCACAGTAAGAGCAAACATCAAGCTAAACACCTTTACCTGGAATGAGATCAGGTGCTAACATACAGCCTAAGAACTGGGAACACCTGGGAGCTGTTAGGGCAGCTGTGCTGCAATGAGGCAGACCCAACAGATGTTCTCAAAATGCTTGTTTTCCATTCTTGTGGTTATTTAAAGAGTAGTATAGAGAGTGTTCAGCAGTGTGTCCTCTCATCATGTGCTATATTCAACATAGATGAGCACTATGGTCCCTCTCATAAATGTGAGCTATTGGTGCAAGCAATTGATTGCAGACAGTCTTCCTGCTTGACAGGGTAGATGTTGGTAGAAGCAGCTCCTGGTTCAAGTACTGCTGCTGCTGAGTATGGTATGGCATAGCTACTTGCACCAGCTTAAGAAATGCATTCATTTTTTAAATTTAAGATCACAGATAACCTCATCTCTACGCTTTTGTAAAGCGATGTGCTGCAGGCAAAGCCTCAATTACTGTCATCTATTATATTAGCATGTAACTAAGAGGTTTATAGTATAAACTACATTGAGAAAGCTGTAGACTATAAGGCATGACTAGCTCTTCTACCTGCATTATTTTTACTTGCAGGTTTCATCTGCAGATTTTTGAACATCTTAGAGACATGTGAAGACATGAAAAACAGCAGTGCATAACAAATTAAATGAGAGAAAAGGGAGCTAAGAACTGAACCAGCTTTTCCCAGTGCTAAATACGCCTCAGACACTGAACTGGTTCTCACAGTCACTAGCTTTTCAATACTTCCTTCCTCCCTATTGCCACTGTTTCTTTGCTGCGCTGAAAAATCTCAGAACTTATAGATACGAGAATCTAGACCATGCTAAAGCGTTGTTCGTACAGCAGACTGGGTGAATTTGTGTTCAATTTCTGTTGGAAAACAATAACAGAAGGAAATGCATCTGCTGCAATTAGATGGACTCGGTTATAGGGCTTCTGTAGACCCTTCCTCTCATTTATGCTGGGAACATAGAAAAAATGTTTTTGAATTACAGGAAAATGAAACAGAATAGCACAGATTTCTTTATAAAGTGAGTTCAATAAAAAACAAGTTGTTTATCTCTTAATGTGGTTTCACATCCCTTAGATTCTGCTGGTAGGTGGCGTCTCTGACTCACTGCGACTTCAACAATTTCATTTTCTTCTTGGTAAGTCTTTGGCCACCAGGACAGCGGTCAGCTAATCCTCATTTCTACACTCTTTACTCCTAGTTTTAAACTAATAATTAAGCGTATTTCCTAGAATGTCAGGGGGAAGTTCTTTACTGAGAGAGTGGTGAAGTGCTGGAACAGGTTGTCCAGAGAGGCTGTGGATGCCCCGTCCTTGGAAGTGCTCAAGGCCAGGCTGGATGGGGCCCTGGGCAGCCTGATCTAATACTGATCTAGTGGTTATCAGCCCTGCCATGGCAAGGGGTTGGACTTGATGATCAGGGTGCTTCAGGCATACACCAACACTACTCCATGAAGACCAGAGCTCATGGAGTGACAGAATATCCCGGGTTGGAAAGCACCCATAAGGACCATTGAGTCCAGCTCCTGGATCCATACAGGATCACCCAAAATTCAAATACTACATCTGAGAGCATGGTTAAAATGCTTCTTGAACTGCAACAGTCTTGGGTCTGTGACCACTTTACTGAGTAATTCAGCAAATACATGTGCTCCTTCCAGGCCTGCTGCAGTAAGATGTGTCATCAGCGCTGCTTGCTGTGCAGTAGAGGCCACATGGCCTTTCACTAGGGCCTGCCCCAGGCTATGTATTTTTCTTTCCCCTAATTCCACCATCTGCTTTCTCACTCAAGATCTCATCCACTGCACTTTTCCTTTTTGCTCCCTGGTGGAATTTCCTGCCTGTGTTCCACAAACACTCGTAGCCTCTCCGTGCACACCGGAGGAAATCCTGACACAAGAGGATTTTGATTGATCGAATCTTCTTTTGAGAATTATTTTTTCAGTTCCTCATGAACTGACTGGGGGATTCAACTCTGTATTTTCAGAAAGCTCTTGTTTCTAATGAGAATCTAGTTAGCAGAGAATGCAGATGTCATATTGCCTATAGGTAATCAGCTGAACACTAGGGGACCCATCATAAACCAGCCTTCTCCTAACATTCTTCTACTTAAAGCTATGGCATTTTTTGGTACATAAACAGTCAGACCTAAACTGTCTGATCTGTCAAACTAGCTGAACTTTTAGTGTGTCTTTCTGATATTATCAAAGAGCATTTTGAATCTCTAAGGATTCTGTCATTACTACAGCATCCACCCAGCTGTTGTACAGCACTCCTATCTCAAGCTGCATCCTTTTTCCATTAAAAATAAACTATTATTCTCTCAAATGAATGAATCACAAAAATATTTCATTGACAAAAAGAGCAACAGAATTACTCTTTATGCCTTTCATACATGGTGTATATATATCTCACAGTTTAACGTGGAGAAAATAATTATCAACACACAATAATTATACATAATTTCATATCATCTGATATGTGCAATTTAGTGTTTTATTAAACACACACAGCAGCTAACCCAAATGTGATTGCTGTTAATTGGAAATTACATTAAAGTCTGTGTTCCTATGGTAATTATCATTTGAAATAACATGTGCCCTAAAATGTAATGCAGAAATTGATCTTCCTGTGAAATAAGAAATACTGTAGAAATAAAGTTAAGGGACATGTTTATTTCAGAGCCTTCTGCAAGCAAAATTGCTTTGATACAAAATGAGTTCAATAATAATACAGTGCTACCATCCACTCAAGCAAAAGAAAACCTCACATTTACATGAATGCAGTTTATATTGATATTCTTATAGAATAATAGTTCCGATATCCAGAATGTGTCTGGCCTCACCGAAAGCAATGGCACAGAAACGCTGCAAGGTATTGGAGTATCATATCACTGGCAAGTGCTTAACTGTGTGAGTTCTCTGAGAGATGCTGTATAAATAAGGGTACTGTGACTGTGGGGCTGTATTCCTCGGTAGCTTTGACACACATCCTTTAGTGTTTGTTTCATTAGCTCAAAATGCACAATTGTGTCTTTTGGCTTTTTAGTATTCTTTTTTTTTTCTTTTTTTAAAGAAAAATCTTGAGGTATCCTTTACTGTTAACTAATGACATAGTGATAGGTCTATTTTCTTCAGGCTCCAGAGATTTACTGTACATTCAGTACACTGTACATTTGGTAATTACTTTTTAGTGTACTTTCTACACATTACTGTGTACAACTGTTAGTTTACATTAAAACTCTTCTCCCCTCCTCACAGGATATGGCATAAACAAAAACAAATCTGACAAAAATTATACACATAAAATAAGAAGACAAATACACAAATAAGGCCATCTGCAGAATTAAAAATCCACCTCTTGCGATATTTCACAACGATTTCTACAGAATATTTTACATCTTACGAACTTAAATACTTAACGCAAAAGGAAAAAAAACCTTTATGAAGCTAATCATATTATCTCTTCAAGGACCTGTCCAATTTGCTGGCTATCGGCCTTCTCTGGGGAGTTGGAATTTTAGAAGGCTTGGCTGATCCTGGCCGAGAACCTGCTCGGGGTGTCGGTCTGCTTGTAGCTGGCACAGTCTCTGACATATCTGAGCATACAGACTGGATTTCTGAAATATCAAAGTCAGATGCATCGCTGCCTCTGCGGCTACTCGACCTGCTGCCAGCCTTGCTTCCCGCTCGGCTCCCAGGTCTGCTTGGAGTTCTCCTGGTTTCTAGAAAGAAAAGGTACCCAGCAGCATTAGAGGTACAGATGCAAAAGGTGTGCAAGTCTTTGCTGAGTCTTTGGCAATCCCAAAAATTTCTCACAGCACAAAGTAGATTTCAGACTTCTGCCAGATAAGCCAGACGATAATCAAAGTTGCCCTTATACTAACACAACAGCACAAACAATGCTGTCTTTCACTAAAAAGAAGGGAAAACGCAATAAAATGCTGAGACGTAGGACATTTATCGTTGGCACATCCAGTTAAAGAAAATCATCCTGCCAACTCTTCTTGACTTACTAGACATGTATTATCTATTGATTATGAACAGCTAGATCCTTTCTTTCTTAACCATTTTCTCAACTATGAACTGGAACATTTAAGTATCTGGCATCTCCAAGAACTGAAGATTGATGAATCAACATGGGTTGATAGTGATAAGACAAGAAGGAATGGTTTCAAACTAAGACAGGGGAGGTTTAGGTTAGATATTAGGAGGAAGGTTTTCACACAGAGGTGGTGACGCACTGGAACAGGTTGCCCAAGGAGGCTGTGGATGCCCCATCCCTGGAGGCATTCAAGGCCAGGCTGGATGTGGCTCAGGGCAGCCTGGTCTGGTGGTTGGTGACCCTACACATAGCAGGGGGTTCAAACTAGATCATTGTGGTTCTTTTCAGTCCAGGCCCTTCTATGATTCTATGAACACATAAATAAGACATGCAGGTGACAACCCTATTTTTCAAATGTATACTTCTACCCCACCGTCTTTTTGTTTTCCAAATCAAAACCACAATATTGAAAGCTGCAAATAAACAAGGGAAGACTGTACATTCTCCCAAAAAGACAGACTTAGTAAATGAGCTCTCTGCAAGCCTTCTAAAGTGAAAGCTTGTCCAGACAATGTGCCATGAAGAAAAAAACCACAACAAAGAATCTTAAACAGAAAAACATTAATGTGGGTTTTCATAATTTTCCAATTACTTATTGAATCTTTTTTGATCTCGACAAATCTGATTCCCTGAAAGGGCAAAGAATAACAAGCTGAAGCTGAAATCTCAGCTGGCTCATTTTTCCATATCACCTCTAACTTAAAAGATATGGACTGTTTGAGCAGGATTTTCCAGTACTGATCGGTAAGCTCCGTAGAGCTCAAGACATGCAGGAAATGCAGTAGAGCTATCTCCTGCTCTCAACACCCAGCCAACCCTGCTCTAAAGATCCTGGAAGAGCACAGCTTCACACTTTCTGTTTTTTATACACTGTTTTTAAAATCTCTAGAGGATGTTCCATTAACAAGGTCATCTACAGCTGCTCCCTGCAGCTCTTCTTGCAATGAAAACAGACAAGTCATGATTAAATGACCCCTTTGCTCCATCACAGTTGAACATCACTTGGATACTGAAGTTATTTTCAAATGTGAAAGTGAAGTAAACTCTTTATTCTTAAGCAAATGCTTCTTTCTTAATTCTTTAGGCAGAGATATTGGGGATAGCATCACCAAGAATTTCTGTCATGAATTTGCACATCTGGCACTGAACATAACATAATTGTTGTTCAACCATGTGAATAAAAGACCATTACCCTGATTATGTGCAACCTTGGCAATGATAATGTGGAAACAATAGGACAATTACTCCTTCCCACTCTTCCAACTAATCTTCCTCACATTTCAAAGCTGACTCACGGGTATCCAGGTAGCCAAATAAAGCAAGGTGTACATCAAGCTTTGAAGTTAGGAAACTCACCTGCAAACTGAGCTCTGACTCTGGTAGCTGCTGTGGACAGGATGCCACTGTCTTCTCCAGAGTGGAAACCCTTCCCTGATAGATATCCTGGCAGTCTGAGTTTACTTCCTTGAATAGGTGTTCCCTATTGGAAAAAGAACAAACAAACAAATATTCTCTATTTTTGCTACTGGAGATGTGGCCAAGTAATAGGTGTTACATAGCTTGGAATATGATTATCTTAGCAACATTCACTGTGAATCTGAAATACTGGTTTGAGTCAGTATGGACATTTTTAATGAAGTGAAGCTCTGAACATTCCTTTACTAGTTAGTTTTTAAATAGTCTAAAAGTAAATCAAGAAACAGTTTAATAGGCTACTTGACATTAAAATCTAAGCCACTGTGTGTACTTCAGTGCACATATAAAAAGAAAAGTGCTACTTTCTTACCATTAGTTAAAAACATAGGATTAGTTGATGGTACATGACTTCAGTTAATGAAGCAGCTGAAAATTTATGTCTGCATAGCTTGACCTTCCACCATTCTAATTGTTGCTGTAGTGCATTTGTTTCAATTTTATAAATACCTGGTAGTATATATAAAACATAACTACCTAATTTCAAAATCTTTTGCCACAGTGCAGAAGAAAAATACACAACTAATTCAAAAAGTCCTTGCTGTCAAAACATTGCCTGAAACATCTCTGCTCCATAGCTTTACCTGCCTTTCTCATTTCTGAAATAAAACAAGCCTTGATTTATTATCAGCCCCAAACAGGAAGATTTCTTTCAGTGCCACAAGAATGAAATCCCCATTTCTCAAATCACAAAACACATATCACATACTAGATAGGAGTTCTATGCAAATAAGAAGAAAACCACAGTATTCCCATTAATTTAGCCAACAGAAAAATATTAAGTAATTATCCCAAAAGAAGAAATACTTCATTGATGAATATGGCCCCTCAAGTGGCCCAGACCCCCAGGACCAGTGTTCCATGCCTTTGATCCATACAATGGTGGGGTAGAATTGGGTATTGAAAACCACAGTCCACAGAGTGAGCTGGGAGCTGCTGGAAGCTAAGCCCTGAGCAGGGGCCCAGCAGGGGCTGCCTGGCTGCAGCTTCTGGCCCTCCGCCAGCCAGGACCACTTCTGGCACAGCTGAAAGAAAGAGCATACTGATGCTACAGAGCAGACAATCTGCTTGATCTGACAGGGATGGTCACAGTATTAACTCTCTTTAAAGCCAAGTACAAATAGTTAGCAGGCTAAGATTGTCCAGCTAGCCACACCTTAGAAACCTCTGCTCTACAGAAACTGCTTGGGATGATTAACAGAAAGAGAAATCTCTTCATCACCCTGATAAAGCTGCTGCACTTTGGTGAAGGCCTTGGGATAGAATAACCAGGACAAGAGAAAAAGAGATCAAACTTGTTCTTCATTTTTGTCCTACACCCATTGCCAGTCTACACGTACAATACTTAACTGCTCTTGGGCAGAAAATGCAGCAGAATCTCTCAGAAATTCTCTACCCCCAATCCCAATCATTTCATTTATAATCTTAATTCATGGTGTTTTACATAAAAGAAACTCAGTTAAACTACTGACAGTTGTAACAGCAGATGAGAAATACAGTGCCCCCATTTGAAATCAATGTCATTTGCTTTCACATCATGCATATTTCTTGTATCTGTTAAGTACCATCAATTAATCTTACAATTATCTACCAGCTAAGACATGAAAATACAGTAGATTAGAAACAGACAACTGATTTTATTTTGTCCTGTTGCTAATCATCCAAAGCAACAGCCTTGCATTGCGTGCTTGAAGTAATGTATACATACATATTCTTGCAGTGTGCACAAAAAATGCACCCATTTGCACAAGAAGGAGGGAGTGAAAAGTTCTTTATGCATCTTTGAGCAAAGCCACACAGAGGTCATGTAAATTTAGCGCTGGGAGGTATCAAATGAATAGCAATAGACATGAAAGTGCAGATTTGTGAAAAGCAGATACAAAAACGGGGATGGCAGTTTAAGCTTCTCCACACTGAGCCCTCTATCCAAACTAGGGCAAGAGTAACACCTACAAGTAGAAAGTCAGTTTGCAGCTGCTCCAGCTGCAACCTTTTCTCTGCCTGCAGTGACATTAGAGAAGACACTTTGGCTCTAAGCCCATTCAAATTTTTGTCCATTCAGCTCAATTACCAGCACAACCTTAGTTGCTATACTGGCAGCTTTTATTTAAGTCATAGTCTGGAAAAAAGACCCAAGCTCATTTCCTGTAAGTCATCAAATAGCTATCTCATTAGAGCAATGACTGGTCATTACCCCCTTAGACCACACTTTGAGCTGTTGGGAAAATTTCTATATCACCATGAGTATTTTGTGCAATCTTGTTTACAAAGATTGATTATCTCTTTATTTAGTGGCTTTTCATAGGAGATGAAAATTAATTAATCTGAGTTTTCAATTTTTGAAAAGTAACAAACAGAATATAAAAAGAAGTCTTGGGGAAAAAAAAGGCAATGAATGAATAAGTTGCAAAGGCCTAAAATAAAGTCAACGCATTAATATGTAAGGGATTTTGCAGCACTGAAGCACTGAAACTCTAGTGGTTGTTAGTGAAGTTAAAGTTTTAGTGAAGGAAGATGATTAGACTAGAATCTCTATCCTTACTGTACCTCTCCAGATGACCCTTGATAGTCTGAGGATTCTGCTGGCTTAGAAGGAGTTGACGTTTTGCTGTTTGTCAACCATGGTTTACCATAGTTGCGTGTTAAATGATGTGGTGTCTGTATGAAACAATGGTAAATCAAAATATGAAGGACAGTAGATGGAAAACAATGTCATGGAAAAGGCTTACACAGGGAGATCAAATCTCATAGTAAAAATAAAAACTAAGTAGGAAGAGTTGATTACAAATGTTCTGAAACAGAGATGGCAGAGCTTATTTCTAATATGAATTGAGAGGTTTTTTGCTATTTCAGAGTTTATTCCCAAGTCATCAGTAACACGTTAAATACTTTTAGGAACTTAAAGGAAATTTTCTATTCCTGTGTTGCAAACAAACAGTAGGGGAAATATACTGAAAATACTTCTGATATCCTCACAGAATATGAAATAAAGTTGAGATGCTTCTTTCCTGTCATCTAGGGAAAGTTTCAATTTTGTTAAAGCAACAAAAAAACCTACATTCCGTTCGTTACACTATGTTGTTTTGTTTGTTTTTCCTTACCTTTGGTGTACTTGTAGCAACTGCTTGTGGTGGGGCAGCAGCCTGACTTGACAGAGAAGTAGACCTGTTGGGAGAAGCACCCCGTGAAGAGGGTCGTGATCTACGGCCTCTTGGTCTGAAAGCTGCCATGCTCTGACTGGCACCATCTGCCAAGATGAACTTCTCACGCAGCTCCACATTTGTCCTCCCTTTAGCTGCAGCAAAGAAGGGTGTTCATTTAGTGAGAGATGAAACTCACCAAGCTGTTTATTGTCATTTTCGCCATGCCGATTCCAACGCATTTTTACAAGAAATAAAATGCATTACTGTGTAATGCATTTATTTTGGACACGGGAGAATTATGTGCAGAACTTGCTTATTCTAATACTTTATGCCAGCAGGAATGAACCACTGTCAAAGGAAGTCAGCGTGATAATGGAATGCTCAACGTGCTAAATCACTGTTAATCAATCATCTACTAATACACAGACAGAACCTGATGAGCAGTTTTGCTAATTCCACAGCTACTCATTATAAATAATACTTGCTTGGATGTTCCAGGAGAAATTGTTAAGTAAAATTTACAGGAAAGCAGCAAATATATTTATTTAAAACTATGAGATTATGTAGTTTGGCAACATGCAATGATGAACACAAAATCCAAACTGTAATGAAGTAATTGGTGACTAAGCACTCACACACGCATACACACACACAGACATGAGAGAATGTTCCGCAAGAATAGATGCAAGAATGTTAGCATTTAAGTGTATCAGTGTGAATGACAATTGTTTTTGAAAGTCTTCAAGCATGTTAAAAAAAAAAAAAAAAAAGCTCATAAAGCACCAGCCCATTTAGGAACACATTAAGCTAAACATGACGGGTGAGGCATATTAAAAGTTAAACATATATATAAATATATATATAAATGGGAAGGAAATGAAGAGAAAGGAGAAGAGAAGGAGAAGACAAAGAGAGGGATTTGCCAACCTATAGTAGGCTGAGTGGTAATTGAAGAGTTTGATTCCGAACGTAACATTTTACTCCCGTGATGATGAACTAGAAAAAATGACACAGGACATGGGTCACATTAAAGAAAATTGTTAGCAGGAGAAGAAATCAAGTATAGCAGCTGCATATGCAAGGGACTCGGAGCCAAAAGACAGGACTCAGAGCAAAAGCTGTCTTTAAGTGCTCTGAGGTGAGCTCTCAACATTCTCTTAAGCAAAAGGAAAAAGGGCTTGGGTAGACTCAATTGCAGTCCTAAGTAATACACGTGTCGTATTTATCTGCTGACATAAAGAAGTAATACAGGCTAAAAGTTTTATGTTACTAGGCCAAATATATTTTAATCTGTTTATGACAACAGTTCTCTGAAATGTAGTTTATTTACATGTAAGAGAAGCTCTTGGTAGAAATGCAGATTTGCTAAGCCAAGCGCTCAAAGAAAAGCCTGAACCTGCACCACTAAGATCATAGTCTACTTTACATCACTGACTTCAGTCTAATCAGGATTACGTACCAACGGACACCTTTCAGCATCTGGATGATTTTATAGAGACCAGTATTCCTTTCTCACTATGCTGAGTTACACATCTGTGCATGTACATCCCATGAAAAAGGGGCAAAGCATAGTAGCAAGTACTATAGAGGTATGTAAATTACAAGGCTCGTTAAAGAAGAAGGGAAGGAAGGAACAGTGACTACAGTTCCAAATGTCTCACTATATGAAGATAGGGTAATAAGGAAATCATATATATTAACTAGGTATTCACTGCTGTCACTTTCAGCATAAACTCAACTAGGAATTACAACAGTGTGCCCATCAATAGGCGTGAGACAAGCATTTGGTATGTAGTAAGACGGTAAGCAAAAGATCTATTTTTCATACTGCTGAAAACCTCAGAGATATCATCAGAGGGTTATAATAGGTCTTCTGAAGTTTTATGGATACCTTTCAAGCCTATGGACAGAAGTCTCCAGGCCAGAGTGGTACACGCTGTCAGCCCTTACAGGATTCTGTGGTAGCTTCCTTTCTTTTTTAGCATCCCTGTCTTAGCATGGCAAGTGGTACAAAAACAAGCTGTGCACCCTCTCAGGTTCTATGCTGATCTGTTTAGAAACCCCAGTGCCAAAGCAGAAGTTGCGTCAGACAGCTGGCTCTGGAGCAAAGTCTACAGGACAGTCAACATCTTTCTCTTCACTACTATGTCTCTCCCTTGAACTCAATGCTATTACATCATTGATTGTAATTTCAGAGAACTCCTGAGAGGTAAATTGGAGTGAATTTAATTCTGCTACTTAAGAGGATAGAATGACCTAGTTATGCAACATTAGTTAGTCTGAACACAATATTCTTTGGAATCTTACTATTCTTACTATTCTTTGACTTGCATCTCTTCCACTAACTACACTGTCAAATGACTTCCTTCCTGTCTCCTAATATTCTCTCAGGAACGGTGCCAGACAGAGCCTACCTACCTTCCCTCCACAGAAGTAGGCAAACTAAGATGTCACTAAGTCTCCAAGTACTGATAAAACAATCCATTTGACACAATGCCCTGGAGTGTATGGTGACAGAGCACTCCCTGCTTCCTCAGAACACTAAGTTCTCCTGATCACAGCAACTTCTATTTGCTTTGTACACGGCTCAGAGCTCTGCAAAGTGGTGCTGGGGAGAATGCCAATGAGGAGACAGGGCTATATAGGCAGAGACTGAAAGCGTGGGTGCAGCCACTGGTGAGGGAAGTTTTTCTATTGTTATTCTTTTCAATTCAATTGCCTTCTTCTGATTTACGGCCTGAACATTTCCCTCCTGCTAAGAAGGTTTAATTGGACATATCTTATGCTACTTCTGCCAAGTCATACAAGCAACTTACATGCTATAAACTCTAGCTGGGCTAGGTTCAATTCTCAACTACACCACTCTAACACTGGTGGACAAACTGCGCAGAAGACACCACAGTTATTCTGTACATACATGAGTGCAAGTGTAGAGGATCTTAACTATGGGATTTAAAGTTTACAAAAACAGATCATTATGAGACATTAAGTGAGATGCTGTTTACAGAACTGGCATTTCATACATTTCTATCTCAAGACAATGAATGATGCCTGTAACCAAACAATTATCTACACGTCCATTTCAGCAATCTTGTTACGTACCCCTGCAAGGATCATTTTTCACTAAGAACTCATCAAGTGCCATCCAGCCACCTCCAACACGAACCATGACTGTACTTCTTAGGATACGAACAAGGCGTAGTTGTTGAGAGTCACCAAACTGCAAGAAAATCAAACAACAGTTTGAGGCTCTCAGTCATTCAGATACAGTTCAATGCTCATAGCTTAAAAATTAGACATTTTTAAAAAGTTTGTTTTTATATTTGATAATTAGTAAATGCTAAAACTCATTATTTATGCAGATTATTAAAGCTGTTAAGATTTCAAATCAGATGCTGCTGAATTAATCCAAAGGAGATGGCAAGATGGTAAGAAAGAATTTCAGATTTAATTTTATGGTTGATTCTGAAATGTCTGATGTCAAACAGAAAGCAAAATTAGTAACACGCCATTTAATTGGTTACAGTCTGCATACGTACAAATTAACAAACACCCATTTGCATTATTTTACTGTTGAAATCTTACGCAAACTCTCGTAATTACACAATAATCTGGCTGTTAATGATATCAGCTGAAAGGAAGGCAGTATTGCTTTTAATGATCAATAAAAGGGCTAGAAATTAAATTTACAATGTGTGCTGCACTATTCAGTTGATTAATTAGAAGGATATTTTCAGGTTATAGCATCAACATTGCTCTCCTATAGCTAGGTACATGAGAGGAAGAGAACATTAAAAGAGCAAGGTGTCATCTTCAGCTATCATAACTATCTTTTACAAACACTTAGAAACTGTCACTCCTCTGTCTACACACTGAGGTTCTTCACAATTTGGAGATGCACAAAAGCCTATTTTACACTAACTCTTCTACTGTTCGATTCTTCCTTAGGGTTGATGTCCAGGCCTAAGATATGCTTGTTCTTTATGTCTGTATAACAAAATCTGCATGCAGTATCTCAGTTCAAACCTAGATCAAAGAAAAAGCAACCAAAATGTTGAGCTCTCAATCTCATGAAAACTAACTAGAGGAATTCATCAGGTTTTTTTGTTGTTGTTGTTGTTGTTCTTTTTTTTTTTTTTTTTTTTTTTTACCAATGTCACTAAAATATTTATTTTGACATCAGATCATCAGGCCAGGGGCTCTTACATGCAAACATGCAGAGCATCTACTGAAACCAATACAAGTCAACTATGCATTTTTGGTACAGTATCTGCTCTGATTCTGGGAGAAAGCTATCCATAGTTCAGCTGTACCTACTTGCTTCAGTAAGGGGACTGAAATGCTTTAAGTGTAAAACACACAAATATTTTCCCTACAAGTTTGGCTGTTTCTTAACCCAAGGAGAGAGAATATGTTTAAAGGAATATTACTTTTAGGAACCAAACAAAGCAAAGTTTGCTGCTTAATTTGATAGCAGAAAAGAGTTTATTATAAATAAGAACATTCAAATGATTATTATCTGTAAGGGCTTTTTAATCCTTCATTCAATAAATGTGATACCAAAAAATTGTATATAAATCTAGATTACGTTTAAAATGGCATCCAAATTGATGCTGTTTATTTGTACTGGCTTATTTCTCAAAGGAGTATTTTCAGGTGGTTCTAAAGACTCTATCTTTCTTCTTTTCTTTACTTTTCCCCCCCTTTTCACCTTAGTTCTTCATTTAGACTCCATCAAGCAACTCTACTAAGCGACAGATACCATATCCTTCAGTAACTGCCTAGGCTGTAGTTAATTCAGACACTGGGACTTCCGGAGAATAACAGAGGTGCCTCTCAAGGCACTTTCTCAATGGTAACTCAGTCAACTTCCTTATCAAAACAGCCTAGACACCAACTTTCCTTTAATACTTAGAGATGTTCCCAATAACTGAAAATCAGAGGTAAAAAACACAGAGATAAAAACTGCAAGGAATTAATCTACAAAGAAGTCTTCATCTGACAGAAGCCATATAACACCACTGCCACTTGGCCAACTTGCTGTAGGTGATTTCACTGTGATGCTGTTTAGCACAAGCAGAAGTTGGATGCTCTCTCTCTCTCTCTCTCTCTCACAAAAAAAAAAAAAAAAAAAAAAAAAAGCTGCATTTTTTTTAGTTCTGTGAGTACAGACGGCAAATAAGAGGATTAACACAATTTCAAATAATCTTTTCAAATCAAGGCACGTTCTATATATGGAAAACATTTTCAAGAATTACTTAGATACATTGCTTGAGGCATGTGGTAAGATTATCCACTGCTCTTTGTGCTTTCTTCCACACTTCAACAAGCTTTGTCAATAAATGAAAATGCAACTACATTCTCAACATCTCTAGATTTAAAGTGGCTAATGCCTTTAACAGTAGAATATCCAGAATGGATTTTATGTATTATTGTCTCTATAAGAACACGTATAAGATCCTTATGACAACAGCTACCTTTTGCCTAAGCTATTTCCATTCTCACCAGGCCACCATGATCTAACAATTAAAGCAGCAGTATATCAGTATGTGCCACAGGAGTAGCACTAATTAGTGGCACTGTACAGCACCACTGCAACCTGACTTACTGATTAGCCAGCTGACAAAGGTCCAATACATTACAGACTTCTTACAGCTCTTCAAAAACACACACACAAAAAAAGGGAACAGTCTAAGCTGAAGCAGCAAGCTTTTTTAGCCAATGTCCAAAATATGTATTGAATAATTCATTCTGTTAGTCCACAGCATCAATTAGGTCCAACCATCAATTAGGTTCTTAATCAGTCTGCTTGATTGCACAGGGGTTTTATTAAAAATGAGAATATTTTTCACCTTGAGTTGCAATAAATAAATGATATCATCATTGGATTCATGGTTACTGTGATTGGTCTTTAGTGTGATAGCCTAAAAAACAAAATATAGACTTTTGAATCACTCCACTATAAAACTGATAACTGATAAAATAATGTTATTCTAAACTTGAAATTTAAAAACTCAAGATTTTTAATACATAAATTCTTGCTGACCATTATCTGGTTCCTTTAAAAGTAATCTCCTTATTGAGGAAGATGGTCAGGAAAAGCAGGTTGGGAGGTTGAAGGGAAGAAATCCTGAGACAAGGAATGCTCCATAGCATTTAAAGAAGCACCACAGCTGACCAGCAATGAAAGTAGCTGAAGATGAAGGGATGGTAAGACGGACCATTGCAAAGCTTAAACCACTACGTGTTAGAGGAAGAATAAATAAATAAATAAATAAATAAATAAATAAATAAATAAATGAAGGATAACTTCATAACACATTCCACTGGTTTATACCTGATTTCCCAGGAAGAACTGATAAGAAATGAAAAATGGAAGAAAGACACGATTAGTTTACAGAAAATTCTCTACATGGCTCTAGAACACATGCAAACTAACACATCAGACATTCTAAATAAAGTATCTAGTTCAGAGATGAACAGGTAGCTAGCTACCTGAAGACTGAACACTGAAGAACATTCAAAGCCTTTCTTTCCTTCCACTGCTGTTTCTGTGGTGTTTAAAAATCATCAGCAAGCACTTAGTAACTCCTAGCCAAACACTGCATCTGAAATTGTTCTAGCTATTGAATCTATGGGTGGCAGAGCTTTCTCTACTTGAGTCTTTTCTCTGTGATTGAAAATTGTTCAGCAGTTATCTAACATATTTCTTGTACTTCTTCAGAAGAAAAAGTGCGCTCCATATAATGATACGTGATCAAACCCACTTTTCTCAAAGATTTTTGAAGTGCAACACCATACTACAGGAAAGTATTTGTCATTGTTTCTATCATACTAGTAGAAAACCAGCTACAGTCTAAATACTTTGGGTATCCAGAAAAAAAAGACTGCATCTTAAGGAGACGTTGTATGCATGCATGTATGTACGCAGTCAGCTTTTAAAAATCCCCAATACACTGAAAATAGTTCCTGTACGTTCAGTGAAAAATACACAGAGGCATTTTCCATACTTTTAGTCTGTATGTTTTAAAAAACAACAACATATAAAAGTGAGATGAGTTTACAATAAGAAAATAAGTAATTGTTCTAAATTTCCTGTAAATTACTATAGCCTATATCCTTGCAGAACCATGTCACAGGAAGAATCTTCAAGCTCAAAGAACTAAGAAGGTCCCTAGGACACTTACCCTGTACTTGTTATCCCCAATCTGTTCCACTTGAAACCGTTTTGCACATTTGCATTTAGCTACTTGTCTTGTAACCTGCAAATGAATGCCACTGTATTAGTACTGATAATACTATCCTTTAATAGATTAATATTACCGCTAAATTTAAATTTAAAATTACTGCTTTAAATTATATAGGTGGAAAACAAAATTGAAAAATGTGATGCTAGTAGAATAGGCTGTTATCACATAAAATGAAGAATGTACCTCATCTTCAATTTTGTCAGCATCTGTGAGAGGCTTGTAAGCATCCTTGTTTGGATGAAGAGCTGCTACAAACTCATAATAATCAATATATCCATCACCATCTCTATCAAAAATGTCTGCAACAGCACTCATTTCAAGTCGGCTTGTTGGGAATTCTGTAAGACAAGAATGACAGAAGCAAAGTTGGTTTTTCAATGTCATGAATATTGACAAAGCCATGAATGGTTTCTTCAGGCACTGGGTGATGATGCTCATTTTTTTTTTTAAAAAAAAAAAAGTCCAGTGACTTTCAAAAAAGTATAGGAATCATTTTGAAAAAAAGACAGGATCGCCAATGTTACCTAGGTAAAAATGAATATGACAGTGATACTAAGGCATGTCTTAAATAGAGAAAACGGTGCACAGATTAAACTGTGCACTTTAACATGTTAACCTTCAAAGCGCATAAAGTATCACAGATTAACAAGATAAACTGTTAGCCAGGAAAGGTCAAGCAAGAATTTCAATGCTAATTAAATTCGGAATGCAAAGCCTTCCCACTTCAGAAACATGCATGGTGTGTTTTGAAATCCTTCTTTGGAACAAGTTCACTACAGCAGATTATCAACTCATACAGAGATTCTCTACGAAATGGTCAAAGAAAATTTCAGGATGGTGAACAAGAATGAAATAATGAGTATTTAGCAGTAGCAAGTTGGTATCAACTGAGTTAACTGAGTAGGCAATTTAACAGCTTGGTAGTAACAGATTTTTTTTTCCTCAGCTTCTGTCATCTGAAATTATTCCACTATGGCAAATACTTAAATTAAAATATCAAAATCACATGAATTGTTTTTGAAAATTATCTGTAAGTTTTATAAAGTATGTTTTACTATTATGAATAATCAATGAAAAGTGATTAAACATTGAAATACCTAGGGAACTGTGGAAATTATAGTCATAGTCTAGTAAACTACTAATTAACCAGTACTATAAATGCGACATTTGTAGTCTGATCCACAAGGGTAAAGAGTTCCTAGGAACAGAAATAGTTTCTAGAATCTAGAAATATTTAAAGTAAAATAATTATAGCTAAAGTTAATGATAATTAGTAACTTACTTCAAGAAGAACATCTGACCTTCTGACACAATCAACCACGCAGTGCATACTCTTATAGACAGTAAGACTTAATGAGATACTTCTCCCAAGTTCATCGTTTAATTAATTTCAAAACTTACTTGAAGAAAGAATTCCATCAATAAACTCCTGCCTTGTTATTTTTCCATCCTGATCTTTATCAATCCTCCTGAAGAAGTCCATTACACGAGACTTCTTATGGTTCATCCATCGCATATATTTTTTCCTCCAAATATCAAAATCAAAGTTGGCAAATTCTCTCAGCTTAATCAAGAAGAACAGAGAAAGAATATTTTTCAGTTGAAATCAATAGATTCAGAAAATCAAAAAGAGACATCATGTGCATTCTTTTAAATAGTTTGTTCTTTAAAATGTTAACTCAGATCCTCAAGAATCTTTTATCTCCTCATATTTAAAATGAAAATGACTACTTTCAAAGCACATGGCAATGTTTTCAGTTAGCTGTATCATACGACAAACACAGAATGTTTAGAGCATAGCCAATTTAACCTTGGTTAAAGAAAATTATGCAAAGAGTATATGTATTCTGTGCAGCCCATTGCTGACCTCTTCAAGTCTGTCCAAGGCATCATTGAGTTTTCTTCTTCTTTCCAAGGCCAGAAGCCAGACTTGCTGCCATTTGCTGACTAAAAGGTTGACCCGTGGATTCTTGGTTTCAATTTGTGCCTGGGCTGCTGATGGATATAAGCCTGGTGTGGGGGAACGCTTTCCTGTTAAAACACAATAAAATGCATAAATCTTACCCAGTTCAAACAAAACAAACATACACACAAAGGGTACTTAACCTTCCTAAAACCACTCCTTGTAACAAATAATGAGCTCAAATCCTGATATGATTTCAACTAATGAGATTTTATTTTTTTTTTATTTTTTATTTTTTAGCATTGCTGGGGAAGGACCACATGGTGGTTTAAGTACTCAACTCTTCTCTAGCCCAAAGCAGCCAGTAGTGGCTGCACTAGTGAAACTTCACAGATTACATCAAATCTTTGCAAGTCTCTGATAGAAAATTAAGAAGTAATCAATCTGATTTTTTAAGCAGGTTCCATACAGCACCCATACACTGGGTAAATATATCTAAAATACAATACACAGTTTCCTCACTTAAGATTCACTTTCCATTCAACTTTGCTTACCATAAGATTTCTACCTGGATCCACAGAGTTTTTTGGACCTAAAGAGCAACATTTTGTCTCAACATCTTTATTTAAAAGAAGTTGTTTGCACTTTCAAATAATTATAGGTTGGCAGAAACACTGCGAGCACCCTCTTGGCAGCTTAGTAGCACAGGAAAGTCTGTAAACTATAAAAGTAAATATTCAAGAAATGTGGGTCAAAATTTAAAAACAGATGTCTGTTACAGGAAGTTACTTCACAATGAAAAATACAGGAGATTTAGACAAATCACTCAAGAGAGAATTTCACCCTATTTACTGGACTGTTCTGCTGTTAATCAAACTTACTAGGTTATTAGCAATCCGTTTTCTTCATAGACAGACCAATGGTGTGTACGACCTACCCAAAACAGTTCATTACTTACTTCCTGCTCTCCCCTTATCAAGGACAGGAATATGAGATTGTACAGGAGTGGGTTCAAGTGCCTTCCTTTTATAGGTCTTTGTTACTTTATCCACATCAGGTTGTTTTCTGGTCATTTCCTCCATGAATGTCTGCAATCAGATAGAGGTGGTTTTAATTAACAATGCACAGAAGTGATGCTAAGAATGTAAGACTCATACAATAGCAAAACATGCCAAAGTTACAAGACCAACACAGAAAGACTGTAATAATGCCAATCTCACAAAACAGACAGAGATAAAATAGAGGCTTCTATATGTAAAAAAACAAAAAACCAAAAAACAAACAAAAAACAAACAAACAAACAAAAAAAACAACAAATAAACCCCCACAAAACAGAAGTATAAGCTTTTAGGACCACAATGGCCCAGCTCTGAAAGGAAGCCTAAGTCTGAAAACAGTTTATGAAACTCCTTTACGCCTTAGGTGTGTATGGTGAGGAGGTGTACCATCAGACTTTTGACTCAGGTGTTCTTTACTGTCCAGAGAACATCTCAGAAATGACACAGTGCTGGTGTGTGAGCTGAGATAAGCTTACGAGCATTCACCACACCTGTAGCTTCCTCTTGTTCTTCACATACATTTTTTTAGATATCCATCAATAAAGCCAGACAGCAACACTAATACTATCACCTATTTTATGTGGTTATTATCACCCCCTTTTCTAGAAGGAATTTGCTTCTGGAACAGTATAAGACTAAATTTTTGATTAATTTTTTTTTCATAACTATGTTGAATAAACTGAAGGCATACTGTATACACAGTAAAGGCTCAATTAACCATCTGAAAAATGATTCAGTGATTAAGAGAAAATAGCTAAAGGACTGACACTTGATTACAAAGCTTAGCTGAGATGTGGGCGTCTGTTTGAACATGTAGGACATACATGACACTTAGCATGCCTTACCTGATGTTCAGCTATAAGTGCTTTAACCTCCTCAATCTCCTGGGGGATAACCTCTTTATCTTTTTCAGTAAGTGTAGTCTCTGCCCACTGCAACCAGGATAGCAAGGCTTCCAGCAATTCCTGGTTAGCAATAAGTCCAGCCAGAGCTCCGGCCAGTCTCTGTTGATGTTGTTTGGCCCAAGCTAATACCTTAATAAAAGAAGCAACACATCAATATATGCAAATGTGAAATTCTTCAAGACGTATTTAGAATTGTCCTGCTAACTGCAAACAGCTTCTGCCCAGCCCTATTTATACTGAATATCAAAGGTGCAAGATGTAGAGGCCAAGGACTAACTGTGCTGGGCACTAAGTGGAACTTCCAGTTCAACCACATTTTTTCACAGACACTCAGGATTACATACTATTAAATGCAGAAAACAGCATAGTTGAGCAACAGACTAAGAACCCGATCAGACCATACATCTAAGCTGGTAAATCATACAGGATTTGGGGTCTGTCTTTTTCCTGGACACTCCTGAAGCCATAATTTGCTAACACTAGTATTTGCTTTTTCTTTTAAACTTCATTTACACACAAAAAATACTTCAGCAATTGAAACTCAGTTATAGTCACTTCACTAATTTTGAAACCCCCTAGATTTATTACATGTTGCACTTAAATCTTTTGTAATGCAATTAGAAAATGCTTCAAGTTTGCCTTGCAGTTTTTCCCACGTTTTACATTTCTCTCCTTGGAAACTATTAGCTTTCCTAATATGGGAGATGTCAGGCACTATTTCCTTTAATACACACAAACAAAGAAGCCTGACCATCTGCTTTAGTTCTCAAAGTTCTGTAAGTTTTAAAATAAAGCCTAGGGAAGCATGGTATTCACATTCATCACTGTGGATATTTTAAATGTTTAGTTCTTAACAGCTGGAATATCTCCTTTCAGTACAACTACCATGTTAGTTGTTATCTGTGTTCCAATCAAAGATGAACGGTTGCAAAGAAGATGGCTTGAGATATACTGACCTCTTCAAACCTTGCTCTGATAATTGTTATCCAATGCTTAATGGTGGTGATGGAGTCTGGATGGCAGATAGCCAGGATAGCTTCTCCCATACCTGTTGCTTTATTCAGTTCTCCTTTTTTCTCTTCCAGTTTCTTCATGAACTCCTAAATCAGAGATAACAATTTCAACTAGATGTTGGCAAAAGTTGAAAGAGAAATCTGAATTATTTCTGCATGACCTAGAATGTCACAAGCCTCTGGATCAATCAAAGTCTAAACAGATTCAACTGGCCAGAGGAAAAAAAAAAGGGGGGGGGAGAGGGGAAGCAAGTTTTGTTTGTCTGAAAATAGTTAAGAATCTTTCGAAAAACTCCTCCACATAAAGTAGTAAATGAAGCTTTAAAATCTTTACCCTAGCATGTGGCTTCCATATAGCCCACCATGCTGTAAGTACTGGAAATTCACATCCCCTTATTCAAAAGAAAAGAAAATAATGCCATTTTAGCAGTGTTGTAGATCAGCCATGCAACGGTTGGATTCATTACTGGCAACATTTCAGAAGACTTCGTTTGCCTGTCAGTTGCAGTAATTCTTCATAATAAATTATCAGGCTCCTAACAGAGGCTGGAGATGTCCAACTATAATTACATGCTCAGACAAGATGACAGAGGGTTTCAGGAGCAGCTACACTAAACCAGCACAAACATAAAGCTTCAGCAGCAGAGGAGGAGACTCAGAGAGAACAGAAACAGAGACTGCTAATTAAGCAGCTGTTTTCGGAGGTTCTGCCATGTGGGAAAAGTCTTCTAAAACCAAAAGGATGTTTACAGCTTTGAGCATCTAAGTTCATAGCCAATGATGTTCCTCGGGAGTCTGGCAGAAGGAAGGGTGGCAAGATTGGAACTGAACTGAGAGTGGAAAGCCAGAAACCTAAACTTTTTCTATTTGTTCTATATATATATTTTTTTTTAATTACTTTATTGGTTTTACAATTCTACCTATTTTTTTCTGTCTATATATGTCTACACCTTGTGTGAATTGGTATGTCTTAGTGAGATGGAAACTGTCAACGTCTCCCCGTGCATAGTGGAATTGGGGTGTTTTTTTGTTTTTTTTTTTTAAAAAAAACACTTTACAATCCCTAATTGAGCTACAAAACTGAACCATGCCTCTGAAAATTTAACTCTTCTTCCCTCCCTCCACTAAGGGTTATCCTAGATTACAAAAATTAAAGATCATCCAAGTAAGATCTTAGACAGTTCAATGTCAACAGAATATTGTAAAAACAGGTTCTACAAATCATAATTACATTATCCTGTGCCTCTACAAATTAAATATGAACATATTATGAAACAGAAGTACAAAAAAAAGTCTATTGTACCTTGTTCTAAATGCCCAGTAGGCTGTGTATATACTGAGATGAATGACTAATTATTTTTAACTATAGTTTAATGACAGGGTTTAAGTCTCAATCATGACACCAGTCCCCTCATAAGACCCTACCAGTTCCTGCAGTACTACAGCTCAAAATGGTTTTGGAAAGGTTGAGGTGGGCTGCAGTGGCCAAGGTGAGCTGCAGTGACAGATTATCGTAAAAGAAACAAGAGCCAGGAGGAAAACAAGCAATGACAATGCTCGTTTCCATTGCCCAGCTTTTGATCTCACGATCTAGATCTGTCTGCATTTCTACTATTTGGCCTTTAAAATGAAAATGGTGGCGGTAGAATATGTTCTAAACTCTATTCAACAATTTTAAGCATGATTTAGCAAATTTAAACATCTAACACCAAGGTTGTGTTGTTCTAGTGAGTATTCTGCGTGCTACTACTCCCAAATTCAATTTAATCAAGATGATTTTCCTTTTTTAACTGTAAATTTTTGTTGCAACTTTCTTCAGGGTGAAGAATACCATAACAACATTGGCAATTTTATTTTTACATTACATTCTTTATATTACTGTCACTGCAATTATACGGAGTTTTGCATGGGCCTAGACATGCTTGTATGTAGACTCCTTGTTGTAGAGGGAAAATAGGAGCTTAAAGATTTTTAATTAGACTCTTGACCTAGCTATGGCTCCATTTCACTACTGCAAAATCAGTTTGTAATCTCGTATTTGCAATACCTAAGGCACTGCAGCATTTCAGTACCTAATGTGCATGAAACATGAGGCATGCTGTTCCACCATGACAGAAAGTTAATGCATGATATCATTCCACTGACATTTACAAATGACCTCGAAAGTATATGGTGGTTAGCTCAGTGATGCTAAGACGACACACTTTTGTTATTTTAACTGCCTGTGTGATAACTGTCAGATATTTTTCCAGCATATATTAATCTGTTTCTAAATGTTTACAGCAACTTTCTACTTGCCCATTGTTTTCTTAGTAAGCCAAAATGACTCAAACAACAACTCAGCATAAGTATGGTTACAAAATTGTCAAATTCATTAAAGGTCTAACTTCGACATAGAAACAGTCGCAAAAACAAATCCTGGATGCTAAACAGAATCATAGAATAACCCAAGTTGGAAGGGATGATAATAATCCTCAAGTCCAACTCCTGGCTGAATATGATTACATGAGATAGACCTTGCCTCCTTGTAACAGATGTCTTAGAACAAAGAGGACCCTCTTCACTTTCTCGCTTACCCTGTGCTGATCTATCAGTGTACGCAAGGCCTCTTCATCATCTGGAAGGACACCGTGGAAACGAAGAGCCTGCTCTGCCTCTGCCAGCCACTCCAAAAGGACGTGAACAACAGAGTGGAATTCCTCTGCCTGTTAGAATACAAAAAGTCATGGGCACGGATGAAGGGACCTGACAGACAGACTGCAGCTTACACAAGCAGACTGAGCCCAGATTTGGAGCCATTAATCATGCAGCAGTACTGGCACATTAACTTTCCATTAAAAAGTCAATGATATACAGTATTACATTTTCATAACCGTAAAAATATCTCATGCTTCCCAAAAACTTATAGGAAGCCTAAAAGCCCAGTCATGCTTTTAGCCATCTGATTTATAGTGTATTTACAGCTTAGTTGAGAATGTCATGCCTTTATGCTGACAAATTACACAGGCGGTGCTCTTGTGGACCAGCTGGAGAAATGAGAACTGTATTTTCTGCATTGCCTACATCACTGGTTAAGCAAAATCAACTGAGAGCCCATTGGTGACTGACCTTTCCATGATTGTTAAAAAAAAGAAAGTTCCACCTTTAGGCACAGTCATATTCAGACACATTTAGTGTTGAAGTAACTCAGAATTTTTCCTGCTGAGAGACCGAAGAGCTGGATGAACACAGCACCCTGGGAATAGCAGGGCAGAAATTTTATAGGCAGTGGATATACTGCTATTGCTAGAGCTCCAATCAAGCATCAGCCTGAAATAGTATGCCTTCACAGAACTGTTCACTGTATTTCAGTTTTACAATCAATACAGATGGTCCTATTAATTCAGGACTGGTACTAGCCAATACTGACATAGTCTCTTGTAGTTCCTGAGTGTACTCATCACAACTCAATTTCTTTCTGTAATTGTGTCAGTGTAAAAATGGTTCTAGTACACAAATGTACTTCTTTTTAATAAGGTACAAAGAGTGTAAATATGATTACAATCTTCAGCTTCCTGAAACGGGAGTGAGTGCAGTTCCTAACCACTCTTCATGCTCATCTGTAACTTCAGTGATTCCCTTAGATGGTAATGTTTTTGAAACATTTGATTAGTATTTGTAGTATAGTAAAAATGCTAAGAGGTACCATTTATATATTGTTGTAAAGGGACAAAGAAAAGGTAAACTGCATGAACAAGAAAACTAATATTTTCAAACAAAATTAAATGAAATTTAGTGAGCTGAAGTGAAAATAAAATTTAATTTCTGTCAGCTAGACTATATGGTATGTCCTCTACTTCTCACACAGGACATGTAGCATCGGTATCAGTCTTTTACCTGTCGGAGAGCCTGCTCAAGTCGTGTTTGCTTGGATACTGACAGGGCACAAACTGTCTCCCAGCGAGTGCTCAGCTCCTGCATCTGTACTTTGACCCAGGACGAGTCATCACGACTGCCCTCTATAAGCTCTCTGGCAGAGCGCTTCAGAGCCTGAACACTGCTTGTTCTTTTTCCCAGCTCCTTCTGGAAAACCTAGGTACCACCAAATATGTTTGAAATGTTTAATTCATTAAGGCATAATAATACAAACAATAACTGAAAAACAACTGGTTATAAAAAGAAATACAAATATGAATTTAGTTCAGTACTGGATAACTGAAAATGATGCAAGACACACAAGTTCTGCTCATTAGATTTCATATGAAGATATTTACACTCCACTCTATCCTAATAAGACTGGAATATAATAGGAAAATGTCAGGCAGATCCTGAGAACACCCCCCGTCCTGATGCAATGCATGGGAAATGCAGCAAACTTACCACACTGGCTTTAATGTGCTTGGTTGCCACAGCACAAGAAGATCAGACAGATAAAACATTAACCATCAAGGAGAAGGTTTAAAACCAAAACCTAAAACTAAAAGCTGAAGATCTGGCTGTAGATCTCATTACATATTCATATATTTATGAGAATACTTTCACATTCATGGGAAGAATGAGCTCCACTTATGTGAAGAAAAACCTCTTAAAATATGGTAACCGCAGCATATCATGCAGCTGATTACGACATAGCTGTGATACACGACGGGACTTCAGAAGCAATTTGAGCACATTTTGGGCTAATTTTTATAGATAACTTCTGTTTCCAAATACTTTTTTCTTCAAGAGGACAAAGTCTTCTTCTCACCAAGCAGTCACCGGATACTTGTAGAAGAGCAACTCTGATGTGTGTAGACTTCACAATCCCAGTAACTTCATCAGCTGTCCCCTCTGACATACTGACAGGAACTGCAGTTCAGAGGCATGGCCCTAGATCCCCTACTTGCTCCCATCTCCAAGAACACTTGATTGAAAAAATACTGCAGCAAATGTAGGGTTCACGGGCCTTAGTCTAGCTCTGTAACTCTGCACCATGACTTAAGCATTGCAACTGCTCTTCTCCACAAATTTACAGCAGCTCTGCAGGGTTGAAATATTCAATGCTTTTCTTTTCATAAAGGCTGCTGTAGTCACAGCAACTGCACTGGACATTTGGTTAGCAGATGTACTGAAAGAATCCTGTCTTTACCTCCGCTTAAGTTTTACAGTAAAATCATTTTTGACACCTCTTCCCATACGCACATATTCATAAATGCTAATCTGTGATGCTTGACACGATACTCATAAATACACAAGATAGCAGCATTAAATCGAATATCTGGCAGCTAATTGGTGCCAATTAGTTATTAGCAGGTTTTTTTTCTTCCAAGTCTGTTTTATAGCATTTTCCATTGTCAACAACATGTTAATGTTATAAGAATATTCCATGCTTCTAATATTACAGAATAGCCAAATAATGAAATAGAACTAAAATGCTACACTTAGGAGCAGTCTAGCAATTAAAAAAGATGAAAGTTTTTGAAATTACCTTGTGATTGTCAATCAAGTTCATCACTAAATCAATGTCACCATGCACTGGCTGATCTTCTGCTAGCTGAGGTTCAATTTTGTACAACCAATCAATGAGAGCTTGTAGAGCATCAGTAAATTGTCCTGAAAATAACAGGGCTTCCTCCAGTTTATTTTGTCTGGGGAAGTGAAATGAACACAAGAAGAAGAATAAATTTAGTTAAAAATCATTCCTTTTGAGAAAATACAATTTAAGAAAACATTTTCAGCATTAAATAGTAACCTTAATTAAATTAATTTAATTAATTAATTAATTAAATAGCTTATATAGTAATATAAGCTTTAAATCAGTATTCTCCGTTTTAAATGGGGGGAGGAAAGGATGGGGAAGAGGGGATGCTGAAATACACAGTGGGATGAACACAATTCTTTTCCGAGCTCTGAACAGTCAAGGAGTACATGTTCTGCCATCTCTGAAGTAGGTGACCTTCTTCTTGCTTCCCTAAGCTATTCTCAGACATAGACTCCTGGAGGAGACATTGGAGGTTCCACTCAAGTAGGAATTTACCAATGAAGTTAATTGAGCAACCCAGTCCACCTGCATTGACCAGCACAAAGCACTTTCTCCAAATAAATGAGGGCTGCTCATCTGCCCCTCCCACCCGGTCTTAAATGGCAAAACAAGCCACTCTCGTTTTATTTCTGCACAACAGAAGCCAAAACAGAAGAACTCTCATAAGCCTTCTTCTCAGCTGTTGAATAATTGGATTGGGTTCTTTTGGTTTTCTTTTTGTTTTTTGTTTTTTTTTTTTACCTTTCTACTGATTTTCCACAAATTGTGTCCCATTTATCCCTTAGTTCACTCAGCATGTCATCAAGCTTCAAATTGTCATCAGCCAAGGTGGTTTTCTCTTTCAAGGAGCGTCCAGTCCTGTTTGTGGTGTCATATACAGAATGTTTGGCACCAAGAGATTTCTGGAATTCCTGTGAACGTGGAAGAAAAATACGTACATAGCATCAAATGCTTATAGATCACAGTGAACTAATCTTTGTCAAACTATTTGCAATGTAAATAGTAAATATTGTGGCAAGAAGATTCTAAGCATACTATAATTTTTTTTAGTTTGTTAGCATAGATAAAATCACATGGAACTTGACACTAACAGAGGCTGTGCCTTTTATCCCTCTCTGGGAACAGAAGCAGTTCTACAACTACAGGAATGATTTGGGAAATTCCTTCTTCAGTGAATGATGATTCCCATCCTGCCTTAGCTCCTATATCCCACATTTCAGCCAGAGGCTGCCCAAGAAACAGAAAAATGTGAAAGGACTACTAGTTTGGGAGCCATTAAACCAAACACTCTTTACACTACATTTTAAGATTTCAAACTAGTGTAGAGCACCCCAGAGGCTACAAAGATCATTCTTTTTTAGCTCACTGGGGTCAAAATGAGAGATTTCCATCCATAAGAATTTAATCCCTCTTAAGACTAAAACCTGCTACAGGAGGCAAGAACTGTGTGCCAAAAGCATACAGATTTAGGTATGAGAAGCAGCCAGATGACATTTCAATAAACACAGGCAAAAGTAACAATAGCAAAAACATAACTGTAACCCAGGGACTTTGGAAAGATAAAGGTGACAAAGCAGCTGCATTTGCCTGCCCACAGCGACAACTCCTTTGGCAAGGAGCTTTTGGAAGCTTTGCATGGAACAGAAGAACACACAGAAACAGAGCTCATCTTGAAATAGCAGAGATGTAAACAGAATTACAGGGTAAATAATTAAATAAATGAACACTGATAAAGGATTCAATCAGTCCTGCACAGCAGCTTTTGAATGACAGTAATGCTTAAAGTGTTTTATTTCATATCTCCATGAACTGCTAGTAGAAAAACAGTTAAATAAAATAAAACAAATAATAATTAAAAAACAGTCTTGCATATCCAGAATTGAGTATTCTGTCAGAAAAAAATACCAGAGAATACCTGTCAAAAAACAGTTTTTGCTCATTGTTTTCTGAAATGGAAGTTTCAGTTGTCTCTCAGAGCAATGTTTAATATAATAAAATCTGTCGTGGAAATAATTATCAGTTAAAATTCATAATTCCTCAGGGCACATAAAAACTGCAAAGATTCTACACGGTCCTACCAGCACAAGCACGACTGCTCAGCTCCAGCTTGCAAGCTGCTCCCAGCTGCTGTGCACCAGGCTGGGCCCTGGTAGCTTATGACTCTTTCACCAACTTTCCCATGTGTTCACAGAGTCATTAACATTTTTTAGATGGCAATCAAAGCCAGGTGGAGTGGAAGCATGTGTGAAGTAAAAAGAAGTAGGCACTGGGTTGTGCCACAGAAACTGCCTGCTTCACCAAAAGTGACTCAAGGTTCCTGATATTTTACACTGCACTGTCCTGGTTTTCTGGTTATTTTAGGAATCAGAGGGAACTGAAGATCTGAAATTGGTCAGCAAAAAAAAAGATAGCATCTGTTTTGCAATTGAGTGTCTCTCCCCTATTGTTCTTTCATTTTCCTCAAATAAAACAAGGAATCATGTTTTAAGTAAGAATACAAATGCCACTATCAACCTTGAACTACAGTAAAAATAAAAACCCTTTTCAAAATGAAAAAAATAACCAGAAAGTTCCATCAACACAAATAACACATAGGTCACTGCTCCTGTTTATTTGATGACATTTATTAACTACTGAAAGCTATATGGACGTTTCCTGATGTGCACAAAGAAACTGCTGTCAGAGGAGGATCATACATTAAAAAAAAAAATAAATTGAAAGTGAACAAAGGGTTGCAGTCAATTCATCCTTTGAGAGATTGCACACACTATACTAAATCTACTTTCATTTGATATCGCAGAGGCATAACAGAGTAAATTTTGGTTTAAGGCATTTCAGCTGCCAAGATCAGACAGGTAACATGAATGAAATCTCAGTAATTAATTATTTACCTTCCTTCTAATGAAGACAGGAGCACACAGATAAAATTACTTAGGTTCACATAAATGCATTCTAAGAAACATCCAGCATTAGCACAGAAATGGAATGGGTGACCTACTAAGGGTTTTTCCACTCCTGACTTCTAAAAATGAGAAGAAAATTGCTGATAAACAGACCATGAATAACTCTCCAAAAGTCCCTGGCAATGCACTGGATGTAAGTGAGACAGAAAACATTTTCTTGGCTTTTCTCTTTCAGGGCCTTTTTTTTCTTTTTTTGGCAGTAACAACTGGCAATGAGCAAGTCCAAATTATTGCTTACAGCACACACACAGCACACACTGAGTTCAGATAGTAAAATCACTAACTAAATGGAGCAAGGAAACCTTCAAGGTTGGACAGAAAAGACAAAGACTGACAAAACGGGTATATGTGGGAGTGGAAGGAAAAGACTCAAAATACAAGGAAGGACATTGCAGTGCTGGGAGGTTTGACAGCTCATTAGAAAACAATCGAGTTGATTTCTTGGCAATGGGGGAAGGTGGTTGTTTGAAGTCTGAAGTCACAAAGTTCACGGGTCTCCCTCTCTCATGCACTTTTTATTTATCTTTGTGTTTTTCACCAAAATACCAGCTTCAGTCCTAATGTCCACATTCTTGCCTGCTCCTTATTAAAGGATTCAAGAACTTAAGAAGCTATGTTCTGCAGGTATTTAATGCATAAAGGAGATGTAGAAAATCTGTCATTGAGGGAACTGATGAATATGCCAATCTGCATGAGGAAGTCAGGGCTCCTAAAATGTGCTGCTGTACATATAAAGGACAAGTAGGACATGAAGTTTAAAACTTCTGAAGAGAGGAAAACAGAAGGGCAGAATGTCAAACCCCAGGACCTCAAAGGACCTCAAAGAAAAGTTAGAATGTTTTGACTGTACTCACGAGAAGTTCGAACGTTTTATTAAAAAAAAAAGAAAGAAACAGAGGGATTAAAATATTGATAAAGTCAGAGAATAGAATAAAGATAAACTTAAACAAAAGACCTTTTTCTAAATGCTCAGAATTTACTTCAAGTTCTGGCAACAGTGATCCCAGAACAAACTACAACTGCGAATTTAGCACAACAGAATGTTAATGCACGTTTTATCTAAAAGCTTTAATACCAAACACAGGTAAAACTATTTTTGCTTGGCCAACAGCCAACTCTTTTACACTGAAGCAGAACATTATCCTGCTGGATAAACAATACCTAAACAATACTTAAATCGTAATAAAAATGAAAATTATAAAAATATGAAGAAGGCTCATGCATTAACCACTCATGCAGGGCAAAAACTTGCCAGAGGTAAAAAAACAATCATGAGAAACTACACACAGAGGGAGAGAGATAAGATGCAAAACTTTGGGTATATTCTGTAGAATAAAATAATACTGTAAAAAGTAGAAGACTAAAGTCAATATGAAAAGTAGAAGTAAATGTATGCCAGAATTGAGGAAAAAAAAAAAAAAGATCTTTCAACATTTTGTCTCTGATAAATCTGCTTCAAGATGAATCTTTGGATACAGCCTGTCTCTGAAGATTCAACCAGTCACCCACACTATTCTCACTAATACATCATTCAATGCTTTACAAAAGTAGAAATGAAGTAGACTTCCTCTGTCCTTCATTTTGTTCTGACTGACGTAACTGTAGAGCTCCCTTCAACTTCACATCAACTTTACTTGTTTGAAAAGCCACATTAACAGAGGAGATTGCTACATTTTCGCCTGTAGTAGCTGGGTTTGTGGAAAAGTGCGCCTGGAATTTTGAATCCTATGCAGAGAAAGCACCTTTTCTACTAACAGTGTCAACTGTACTTTCTGGAGACTTCCATTAATAATGCTTAAAAAGCAACTGCCTGTGAGAATGCCAATTATTTTTCATCCTTGAGATAATCCTCTAGTATTACAAGGAAAATCCCAAAGAAGTAACTGGGTGGCAAATGTGTGTTGTAAGGACAGAAAAAAAAGATTTCTTCTCTGATAAAGTATTACTTTTTTTTCTTGTTTTCATTTAAAAAAAAAAAAAAAAAAAGTTTTCATAGTGCTGTGTAATTATGGCTTTCCTATTCAAAATTAATCATTCCACCACAGATCAAGTTCTTTGAAAAGCATTTGTTTTGAGTCCTCACTTGTAACATGGCATTTAGTTTTATGCTAATAACACTTTCATTGCAGTGAGTCCAGAAGTCCACCTTCTTTGCTAACTGTATGCAGTACAAGGCTGACAGACTTAGATTTAACTGGGCATCTTGCATTTCAGCAGTCACAACTCACCTTATGCTGTGCAAGCTGCATCTTTATTTTGTCAGGGTCATTTGCAATTTCGAGATCTGAGTCCAAAGACTTCTCTGATTCTTCTAGCCACTCCATAAGTTTGTGCCAGGCTTCATGGAACTGTGGAAAAGTGAGATATGTAGAGTTAAGAACACACTGATGCTTAAAATACTCCACAAACATTCAGCCCTGACCAGTTCTCTACAGGCAAGTACTCTGCATATTTGGGAAAGGCTTGGGGTGATTTTTCTCCCTAACCTCTCCAACCAACCTGTGGACTTAATCACTGGACTTAGCCTCCTTTCACCCATATGAATTAGTAACCTCTTACATGCACGATCTGTATGTAAGCCCAATATGCATCTTTCACAGACATACTCGTAACTCCCATCGATGTGCTTGTCATTTGAATTCCTGCATTTTTAATACTGAATAAAAATACAGCAAGAATGCGGATTTGCTACTGTCTACATGGGACAACAGCTATAAATCACTGGGGAAAACTGAATGGATGACTGTCCAAGATCTTCCCTGAGAGGTTCAAAAATGCTCTCATGTATCAAATGCTATCTTTGTGGGCACTGAACAGATTCTTCATCTTCCTTCCTTTCTCAACAACAGTACTTCAGGAAAGGAAGCAGGGTAAGACTAAAGATTTAACCAGCTTTCAGAAAGTGGCAAGCCTTTGGGACTAGATTTTTAATAGCTTGTTGTTTCTCTTTGTGGTTTTTTTTTGGGTTTTTTTGTTTGTTTGTTTGTTTTTAAATTCTTTTTGCCTGGCTGCCTAAATATGAAAGTATAAAGAACTAATTCAGCCCTATTTTTCAGGGCTGCAGATCAGGCGTTGAAACTGACACCTGTCAGTATTCCTTCTTCACTCTGCCCAGACAGTTGTCATTCTAAATAAATAAAACTAGTTGCATACAGCTTTTCAAAGTGAAGGAAGTTGAGATCTTTTCTACTGTACATGTCATTTTAGAACTGCCATGTGTGTAAATGCCCAGGAAAAATTGCTGGGATTTTTTTTTTTAATGTTGGTTTTATGGCATAATGTTTGCTCAAACATATGCCCCTAAAAAAGTTCTTATTCTAGCAACTGAGTAGCAGTAACAATGAAGAATGAAAGTGGTTTGACTGTGAATATGATCAAATCCTCACTTGACTAAGAAAACCTAAAACTTCTTACTGATGATATTACATTCCTCTCACACATTTTACATGTTATCATTTATGTTCCTCAGTGAGGGGAACATGAATCTAAAGAAAATAAATGAATGCTCCCCGGTAAGGAAAGGTCTGTAAAAAACTCTACAAGTTTTTAAGGAAATAAATTGAGAGATCTTAGAAGATGATGTTATGTTAACTATTGTAAGAACCTGAGGAAGTGATGATTATTAACAAAGAGACAAAGCAAATAAAGGAAGAAAATACTAAGAAATTCTAAGCAATACTCGTACAGACTAGCAAAAGATATTCATCACATTTTTAAAATATAAGGGGTTGACTGTGTAACTTCTCTTTGCGGACAGATGGCACTGCTACACATCTGGAACCCACACTGCAACTTTCTTCTTTCAGATCATCCTATATTGCAGATCCAAGTTATTGCTCTGGTTGAAAATGAAGACTTCACCTTCCAAATGAAGTGCTCTATGATTGCATCACAGAAATTGCTCCACTAACTTAACGGAGTCTGTTACACTAACCCAGACAAAGCTGAAAGTGCTTTAAAGCACCATATACTTCAAGAGTCTGGATATAATTTCAGCTAAGTTCAAAGAGTTGTACAACAATTACCTGTTTGGCTCGTTTCCTTGCATCATCCAAAGCTCTTCCCCTTTCGACTAAACGCTGAACTACTTTTTCCCATCTACTCTGTACACTAATCAGCAGATTCTTAATAAGGACTACATCTTGTTTCTGGCTGAAGTATTTCAAATGGGTACCGGTTTTGTCCAGCTCTATGATCTGATCTCGATGAGAATTCACCTCTGTGGCAAAAACCTTAAAAAAAAAAAAAAAAAAAAAAGAGAGAAAATTTTTGTAAATAATATATTACTCATGCACTGAGTAAACACCGAAAAAGCACTGTGATAAAGAAAGATATAGCAGTAAGCATAAAATGCAGTTTAAAACAATTCAACTATTTCTGAATGCCAGTGTTACAGAGTTGATTTGAACATTGTTCAACTGTCTCAAAAGAGTGGGAGAAAAACATTACACATCTGTTTCTGTACATACCTTGTGTTCATCAATTTGAAACAAGACAGTGTCCAAGATAAGACTTGGCCGAGAAGCTGCAGTTAGAGTTTGCTCTGCCTGTGTGAGCCAATTGATGAAATCTTGAAGTGAGTTGTGGAACTCCATTGCTAAATTGAGGGCCTCTTCCAGTTTGGTCTGTAAAGAAAGGTTATATCTTAATAGCAGCTGATATTATGCAGGGTATTCAGCTGAGTAAACTATCTTAATTGAGCATTTTGGAGTAAGCCATTTTAATTTAACATTAAGATTAACATTTTTGAACATTCTTTCAACTCAGAATTTCTGAGTTCTATATTTTAAAATAATTGCCTGTGTTTGAGACTATTAAAGAGGATGGATAGAAACTTAACAGTAAAACTATTTATTACAGATGGGTATAAATACAGCATCTAGGACTAGGATAAATTTTATACATTAGAACATTAAATTTTGTGGTAGTTAATTGTAATGAGACATGTGGCTTTTATTTATTTATTTATTTATTTACAAAACTAGTAGAATACCAGAAATCTATGATGGTAGTGCACTTGGAAAGAGCCTCAAAGCACTCATCCAATTTATTCTTTTGCACTAAAGAAATAACAGGTTGGCTTAGATCACTTCTGTCTAATACGGCACAGCTGTCATTTTTGTTACCTGAACTGAGACTATATTTGGATAGAGAATGTTTTCAAACTGTCAATATTGTCGGCCTAGCCAAGCAATCCAGACTTATATCTTTCTATAAGAAGACGCTCAAATTGTGCATTAATTCATCTGACACTCTTCCATTATACTTATCTTAAGAGACACCATCAGTCTTACTTTAAAATACAACTAAGTTGTGAGTTAATTATTTCTGCCTTATACACATTAGGGGCGAGCAGAGAATTTCTGTGTAATTATTGAATTTCTTCACTGCTTCACTGAGGTAGAGCAAATGCACTATATATCATGAAGGGATGAAAGAAAAATGGAATTATTAATTTAAAAAAATGTATGTTGCACATCAGTGAAATCATGCTATTGATCTACTTATTGATCTACTTAGAGCAGAAGGAAGTCACTTGAAGTGGCAGAAGGCCAAGCCTTTGGGAATTTCAAGGGAAAATGGATAAAAGCTAGGAAAATTAATGCAGCAATTCTGTATCGAGAACAAAATAAACTTGAACCATCAAATAATTTAACTCTTTCTTTCATGTCTGTGATCACTGTAATAAAAAAAAAAAAACAGAAAAGCCCTCACTCTATAAAGTTAGTATTATTAGCATCAGTTAAGATATTTCTGTAGAATAATATGCTCTTCTCAGCTATCCTGCCCCCCTCGTTAATCAACTTCTCAAACCCGTTTTTCCCCAGTATTTGCTTAAGCAAAATAATGAATTCTGCACAACTATCTCTACAGTTGATTTTAAATCTAAAAGACTAAGCAAGCTTGCATGTATAAAAGGACAGGACATTAACAGTCTTAAATACATGATTTACACTTCTATTGTTACGTATAAACACATACTTTTCTTTCACCAAGCTTCATTTGTACGGATTCCCACTTTTCTTTTAAGTTATTTATGTCCTGCTCAACATTTGTTTCAGCAGATTCTGGGCATCTTGCAAGCATCTGCTGGCCTTTCTGCATTAGACACTTATATGTCTCTTCTTTGGCTTCAAAGGCAGCACAAAGTTCCTAAATAAAGAAACCAATAGAAAGTAAGTCAGGTAGAAATTCAATACTCTTTATTAACGTTAGCATAGCATTCCTCCCCCAACATTTTGTGGGTATGATTAAGACTAATAAAAGAAACATATGTAATTCATAAACAGCCAAATGAACAAAGAAAGGGCCCAATTCTTCAGGAAATGAGAACTTGTATTGTCTGTCAGATGTTCTTTCTGAGATGCAAAGCTTGGCAAAGAGAGTACTAGGCACTTATCTCATTGCACAAGATTTCCTACAACTTTGTTGGTTTACCGTCCATCTGCAGCTAAAACACAAAAAGTGTCAGCATTATACAGTGCGCTGAAAGCCCAGACACATCCTACACACCTTTGAAAGCAGGTGGGACAACCTGGGAGGGCTGTTTTACGGTACGTCTTGTCTTGTGTTTTGTCTGTATTTTCCTTCACTCACTACACAAAAGCAAGATATTTTACATATATATAGAAAGCTGGAAAAATAATGGCAATTGTTGTTCTACCTTCTAACTACTCAACTCACTATTCTCTTTTAATCACGTTGAAGGTGAGGTGGCAAGAGAATTGGAACTCACATACATTCCCCTCATTCAAAAGTGCATTTCCAAAATTTGCAACAGACACTTGAAAATGCACTGAGGTTGGTGCAGACTCCCAGATGGAGATCTTCTTCCAGATGATCAGTAAGTGGCTTGCAGATGGGAGGAAAAGAACCTTTTCTCTGACTCCGAAGGAAAGAATGTAAACTCAGTATTTTCTGTGGGTTAAGAGGTATTGGTCACAGGATTGTATCTGATTAAAGAGGACAGCAAAGCAGGAAGAAGGTTCCACCGTGAACTAAGATTCCAGAAAGCTTTGCCCCTTCTTCCCAAGAACACTGTTGTCACCTCATCTGCTTTTTTCTTATGTTCCCAAACTCCTCAAAATATTTCTAGTTTCCTTAACTTTCCAAAGCACCTTTTTCTGCTGCAGTGCAAGAACCCCTCAGAAGTAAATGTAGGGAGCACAGCACAAGCGAGACACGGCACGCCAAGTATGGCCTGAAACACTGGGGCTGGGCTCAGGGGAAGCCAAGGAGGCCTCTCTGCAAGCCTCTTTCCTGCTGGTGTCCAGTAACACCTCTTCATATCTCTTTTATTCCCGGAGCTGCCTTAGCTGGAAATGCTACCCAAGCACAACTCCATTTATGAACTGACTACAGTTCAGGGACCTTTTATTCATGAACGTAGAAACAGACCTTATACTCAAGATGATGATTCATAATGTTATTTCCACGGAGAAAACACAATAAAACATAGAGCAAAAATTTCTATTTCAGTTTCAGGTCACAAATTAATATAGTTTGTATCCCTTAAGAGCAAGTTGAAATTTGGAACTGACAATAAATTGTTCTCAATCTGACAACCCATCTCAGCATTTCAGTTGCCAAAAAAACAATTTACACAGAGCTGCATAGATGCACTGAATTTAACTAAACTGAAATAAAATCGTATATTTTAAAACTTACGTGCCTTCAAGGATAATAGCAAGACAATATCTGCAGTTGTATGACAATCCACAACATAGCATTGGCTTTTAAAATGCATAGTTAGGAAATGACTGTACATATGTACATACTACTGGGGACACATTCACACTTGTTCCAACAATTCAGATTTAAGATTCCTTTAATCTGTAAAAACTGGTTTGCTGATTTGCATAGAATATGCCAAAGAAAAATTCTGATACATTTCAAGGAAAATTTTTTGGTCTTTATCTGATTCCATGTCCAGGATAAAAAAATAGAAAGAACACTGGTTCTCCCAGGTTCTTGGTTACACAGCCCCCACCCTTGCAGGAAGAAAGATTTTGTTTATGTTTGGGTCTTTTGTTGTTGTTTTTATTTGTTGTGGTTTTTTGTGTTTTTTTTTTTTTTTTTTTTTTTTTAACAGAATGAGAGAGATTGGAGGGGGGTGTCAAAGAATTAAGATCCTTTCTATGTTTCACACTTGTTTCCTGTCATAACTGATTTGGAAACTGTAAATGCTATTCCTCTGAAAAACAGTTACTGGTAAATTTTGAAAAAAAGGCCGCACATCTGTGGGCAAAATCTTTTGCATCATTCCAAAATAAAATGTGATTTATTAAGCTGTGACAATGCAGTGTTTTAGTGGAAACTGTGCCAGGCATCTTAGAGCTCTTAGTTCAGTAAATATCACTCTCACAACTAAGCAAAGAGGTCAGAATTTCAGATCTCTGGGCTTGGGCTTATATCCAAGCCTAACAGCATAGCAGGTTTTATACAAGTGGAGCACTATGGACTACCTTCCTCTGAGGTAAGGCTTCAAAAGTTAAAGTGTCCTTTATCAAGCTTTGTGGCCCATAGGGGAAAAAATCCATAGTTTTTCTCTTATAAAGGAAGGAAGGGAAGGAAAGGAATAATTCAGACATCCTGATCAGATTTCCATTTCTAATTAAAGCAGAGTCTTTATGACCTATTAGTCCTAATTACATCTGTGCTAATGATGATTTCAATGTCAGCATTGGTTAAATAAAGAATAAAAGATGAAGTCCCTTGATTCAAGGTCCAAATGAATGTGGAACCCTTTTAGATTGGTCTTCATATCTGAGAAAGAGCATAAATGGTAGTTATGGGGACAGAAGAGGAAAGGAGCACATGAATCACTGAAAAATCTGTAAACACTTTCTGCTTTCCCTTCTGAAAACAAGGACAATGGCTAAGCTTTGGGCACCTCCCAAATTACTACTTTCACTCCACTGAAAATAACAGTGCTGTTGTGAAGGCTATTAAATTTCTTAAGATACAATACAGACATTGTGAAATATAGACCATGCACTGCATTTAGCATAAATATTCACGAAAGATAGTTAGTCCTGAAATGCAATTTGCAAAGCTTTCTAATACTGATACTTACCATATGGGTATTAAGCTGTTCTCTTGCTGTTTCTGGTAAGCCTCCAACAGGTTTTGATGCCAACAGTTGACGTTCAGTGTCTGTCAGCCATTGCTGCATATCTTCAACTTCACCATGGAAACCTTGGGCCTAAATTATACCACAGCATTTTAGAGCTTACTTAAATGTTTTCCATCCAAATTCTAGTTCAGATGCAGAACTATATTGGCAACAGATTCAATCAGGTATTTTCAGTAATCAGAGGAAATGAAAGAAAGAAAAACAGGAAAGGAAAAACACAACAAAACCAAATTTAAACTACCTCCATCTATCATAATGAAAAAGTATAAAAAAACATGGAAATCCTGAAAGAAGGCTAAATGAGCCACTGTGAGATCAACGTTTTCCCTGAGTAATATATGTATACAGAATCTTAAGCCTTTAAAAATAAATAGCCAAAAGCTGAGGTCTTGATTCAGCCTTGTAGAAGACAAAGGACAGCTGTGGAAAGCTCAGCTGGATCTAAACGTTAGCCAAATTTAGGAGTGTCTGCATTACAGCTTTCACTGAGGTCAATTTCCAGTGCATTTCTAGTATTTTATGTAAAAAGACACTTTTTTTCTGAGTTATCTCTTTCTTTTATCATTTCCTGCTCACCTGAATCAAGGCACTGTCCAGCTGCTGTTTCCTTTGTTCTGTTTTTTCCAACACATTTTGCCAGCGCTGATTCAGAAGTTCCAACTTGCTCTGTAAATTGCTTGCTTCTTCAACAGCACTTGATTCAATCAGGTCATTTCCTGCTTTCTTAACTGCTTCTACTGTAGACTGATGAGCTAAAACATCATTCTGTAGCACCTACAATTGTAACACAGCACGCATGACTGGCTACGTTGATAAGTTATTCAATAAAGGCGAACGTAACCAACCTGGTTCTAACCCAGTGACAAAACAGTAGCTTACAATTAGCACAGATATACAGCTACAAAAAGCTAATCACTAGCCTAACTTCAATCAAAAGCAATAACAGACCACTCTGCCAGAATGCTGTGTTTTATTTTTATATCATGGGAAAAAATGTATACATTCTTTCTGAATATATATATTTCTGAAATTGAGCTTTCTGGCACTGCTAGTGAGGATGCACATCTGAGACATCCAGTATCACTTCATCTTCCTTCATTTACTACGTACTTTCTTTAACAGCACTCTTCTTTGATTATGAGGGCAAGGTGTGAAAACAGTACTATAAATAGTATTGCTGACTCCTCCTGAAGCAGTAGGCTAAGGAGAGAAAGGAACAAGAAGACAACATTCTGACTGCCCCTATGTCTTTTTTCTCATGTAGTCAGGCTAGCAGGACACTTCAATCGTCCCAGGAATTTACAATGCTTAACACTATTAAGACCCCTACTATTAAGACCTTGTTTAAGATCTGTTGCCATCAACCACAGTAGAACCATAAACGACAAAAAGTATGTTTAGGAAAAATAAGCTGTTTTCAGAAGGATTAAAGAAAAAAATAAAGAGAAATCTTTAAAGTACCAGGAATGAAGAACAGGAAAAGACGATATGCAAAATGGTTAGAGGAAGGGAATGATAAACTGCACCTAAGAAACTCAACTTTTTGCCTACTCTCTTCCAGAAGATGTCGTTCAAACTTATGTCCACCAAAATGCTAGCATAAGGACATAAAAAGAAAACAAAAAGCTAAATACAATGGAACTTCCTTTACTAAAACAGTGATCAGGCACTGGAATGGGCTGCCCGGGGAAGTAGCTGAATCACCATTCCTGGAAGTGCTCAAGAAATGTTTAGATGTGCTACTGAGGGACATGGTTTAGTGGGGAAATATTGGTGGTAGGTCAACAATTGGACTAGATGATCTTGAGGGTCTTTTTCCAACCTTGGTGATTCTATGATTCTAACTTTTGAATAAAATACACAGACCAAATCACAATGAAAAAGCAAGTCACAAGCAGTCTTTGTATACAGCATATGCACACCTTTGCTTTAATTCTTCTAAGCCAAGCTCTGTAAGTTATTTGTTATTTTATTTTCCTGATCGACAAAAAAAAAAAAAAAAAAAAAAAAAAATAAAAAGGATATTCACACAAGCAGATGCATCTTAATCCTTCCTTCCTGCTGAGACTCACTAGGAACAAGGTCTATTCTTTCCAAAGTTATTCAAGAGATGCATGTTTTTCCAGGCTACCACAGGATGCACTACTGTGTGAACTTTCTAACCTATAAATTCTATTTTACAAAACGGAAGTAGATTGGTTGATGAGTTTGCTGAACTCCTTCAGTACTGAAGGCAGATGAAGTCGTGTATGGTATCTGGATGCCTCTTCAGTATTAAAACACTGTGACTCAGTAAGAATATAAAAGTTTCCAGAGAGGGGAAGGTGGACTTATAAACTGTTTCTTGTTGTTTTTTCTTTTTAAAGAGTCTGTTTCTAACAGTAGTTGTATGGGGCACACATATATTTTACTCTGCACAGGTTCCCAATGATTACCTGAAGAGATTCAGAAGCCGCATAGCTGAACTGACACAGACAATGAATATGTCTTAATTATCTGTGTACTGTCAATTTCAGTCTATTCTCTGTAAATCCAAAATGAACTCTGAATAAGAATAATTTTCACATCAGGCCAAAAATAAAGAGACAGACATGAAGGAAAGGATTTATGAGGTTAGTAAGAAATCTAAAGAGATAGAGAGGATCTTTTGCTCTTTAGAGATGCTTTTCTAAATGAACAATGAAAGCATTCTTCCATCAGCTCTAAAGCCACATTAACCAGCAAAATGCTATTAAAAAAAAACCACAAACCACCACCACCACCAACAAAACCCTACACTGTATGTAGAAAGATAAAAAGATGGAGACATGGATTTCCCTGAAATTTGCTAAGAGTTTCAGAGAAGCACTCAGTTGGCAGGACCCAAACAAGACACAATTGTGCAGATTTCAGAACTGCAACTCTCTTTATTTCTGACCAAAAAGAACAAAGATGTGTAAAGGTCAAGTGTGTTTTCTAAGACCTGGCCTAAACAGAACTAGTCAAAGAGTTTATTGCTTCAAGGAGATTTAATATGCTCAATGACTTTTCAGTTCCCTGGATCAAATGAAGGTGAAAAGAGGTGGAGACCAGGGTCAGCTGCTCTTTTTTGGCTACGTTATTTGCATAGCAAATGCAAGGAAGAAAGGAATATAAAACAGAAACAGAAAAGATATTAGATTTTCCACATTACTTCAGCTATAATCTGCATCTTGAAAATTTCTATAAAGAACTATTTATCAAGAGCAGAGTTTCACTACAAGACTCATCACTAAGATAAACATCAAACAACATTTCATTTAATATTTCTTGTAATTACATACATGATGTTTGGCAAGTTCAATTTCAATAGCCTTGGGGTCTCCACCCACGGGTTTCTGTTCGTTCAGCAAGTCTTCTGTATGCGTCAGCCATGTAAGTAACTCATCCAGGGCATGCTGGAACTGCCCCAAGGCTAACAAGGCACCTTCCAGCTTGTGCTATAGTAAAAATAAAATAAATTAACAATGAAATGATTTCACGATGCTATTGAATTGGCTTAAATTACCATTAGTCACCATAATCCAGAGCAGAGTCCACACTTACGATAGCATAAAAAAGAGAGACAAACAGCTATTCAACACAGGAACTGCTTTGTAGTCAGAGCTGAGTTAGCAAATCCATTGTAAAGCCTTATGTTCTAGGCTTAAAATCCTGATCTCCGAAGATCCCATGTAACCAGAGCAGAACTAAGATTGCAAGCCCTTCTCATCAGAGATGTGGCAATAGTTTTCATCTTTTAAAATATAATTTCAATATAAATGCATCTTGAGGCATCATCTTCTTTAAATGTTTTTTTGCACTAAAATGATTCAATTAAAAAAAAAAACTCACCTCTTCAAAGCACTGCAACTTTCTCTCTTTGATAATTCAATATTTTGTAAAGAACATGAAACATTTTAATATTCATATTTTAAAGAAGAAAGCTTTAAGAAAAAGTGCTCAGTTCAGAAGCTAATAATGATTTTGCAAATATGAACATGCTTTTAACTGCTACTTTAAATGTCATCAAATAATCAAAATGAAATAATAATGATTTGACATTACACTGCTGACAGAGGAAGTGACAGAAGTTCTGCTAAGAGTTTTTTAAAAACACCATAAAAGCAATTTAGTAAATTACTGAAATCAAAATTCCATTAAGTATAGTTGTATAAGTTCCAAACAGAAAATACCAAATACATAAATTGTTACAAACATTATGCGTAATGAAAAACTTTTCTCATAAAAACAAAGTCATGAATGAAGCCTCCACTTTCAGGTTTATTTACCTGTCGATTTATAATTTTTTCTTCTAGGCTGTCCCACATTAGTCTGAGCTCTGAGAGAGGGTCTTGTACGGTGTGCTTGTCACTTTCCTGCGTTACCTTCTTCAGCAATAGTTCTGCTTGATGGTTCAGTCTTTCCATTTCTATCTGCTGCTGATAAGCTTCTGTTTTAAATTGCTACAGTAAATAGAAAAAGAATAAAAAATAAACACATATCGTAATGCCTTTCTTGAGCATAGCACATTCCAGCAATACTTACAAAACAGTACAGCACTGTCAACTTTCATAAATTTGGGGGTTAGTTTTCATGGGTAAAAATGCATGTAAAATACAATTCAGATGGTTCAAGTTAATTCAAAATATAAAATAAAGTCTTATTATCCCACCAGATACTGCTAACAGTAAGCAGAGGAGAATAAGGATACCCAATAGAAAAATACTCTCTAATGATCTTGCTGGTTTGTAAACAAGACAGAACTTGAGTAATTTCTAACTCTTGTGGTCGCAGCAATATAACACTTTAAATAGAATTATTCTTCAAAAGACCTGAAAGCAACCTTTCTTTAGTACAACACCCTCTTGTACAGACAACTAAGGCACAGTCTGAATATAATTTGCAGATGTATGTTTTTCTGAACATACAGATGGAAGATAGAGACAGTTCATTTGAAGTCATATCATGATATCATAGATAAAGAAAACAATCTGTCCACAATCAAAACATTTTACAAGTCAGGAATAAAACCAAGGATATTCCTCAATTATTACACATCCCCACTTTTTATTTAAAATATGTTGCACAGTCAGGGGGATACTTAGTCAAATAATCATATGGACAGGTTTTTGACTTACAGATTATTGGATGTATTGGGAATGACGCAGTATCATGTTAGAACACTTAGAGAAAGCCAATAATGGCGGAAGTGAATCTCTGAAGGCATTTTCTCAAAGCATCAAGGAAATTGTTTATTGTGGAAGACAGAAAATTTAATCATAACAAAAGAACCCTCTTTAAAAACTTACAGCTTTTGAAAGAGAAGGAATGCTACCACTAGTTATGTAATCCCACCAAAGTCTATTCCAAAGCCATCTGTCATATATTTTATAATGTAAACTATGCAATGAAATGTTATTTCAAATTTTCATACAGATCTTTTCTTTAAAACTGAAAACTGAAAGTTGCTTACGAGTCGTAATTCAGAATAAAAAAATTCAGAATACTCTAAACAATATTTCATACCTTAAGTTCCTCAGTTTGCTGCTTCACTGTCTCCAAATCCGTTCCAACTGGGGACATGGATGCTAACTTGATGCCAGCAATGTCTACCCAGTCAAATATTGCCTGAAAATCACAATATGAAACTAAAGATGAGCAAGGAGAAATAGTATCATGTTTAAAAGTTGTAATAAGATCTGAATTTATTTTACTTCAGAGAACAATATTGCTATGCTCTTTAAAATAAAACAGATTTCTTTAACAGATCCTACGTTCTTGACAATGCAAAGGCTTAAATATTGGATCAAGTACTCCATTAATCAATACAAGAATATATGCTGCTGTTATTAGCAACAACATTCCCCACTTTACTTCTTGAGTAAAATCAGCAAATTTTATGAACTCTATGAAAAATAAGTACAAGACAAACTCTCAGTTCCATGTCATATGGGGCTAAGATGGTAGGCTGTGGCTGAATGATATGACAATTTATATCATGATTATTGAAAAGCACTAATTAACAAACTTCTATTGAAGAGCAATGTTATCTGTGTGAAGAATGTGGAAGAAGACCCATTCAGTAGATATTAGGTTCTGAACTAAGCCATAAATAAGCTTGACTGAATCTCCTTAGGATAACAGATTTACAACTTCCATCAGTCAATGAAGCGCACACAGTTGCGAGGCTTTATGAGTACTACTTTTGTTCCTTATAGAACCTCAAGAACATCCTGCTTACAGATTAACAACAGCTACATCAATCTCAGTAATTGCACAGGGGAGAAAGCACCTCTGGTAAGTTCTTTTTGCCTCTGTCTGTTATCCATGATTCATGAGGGAGAAATGGGTAGGAGTTCTTGTCACAATGGCCTACAGTTCTCTGATGTAAGAACTACCTTCAAGAGGCTCAACAGGATGAAGCAGCTACAGTACAGCTAATGATCTGTCCACAACACTTTCATATCGTCTACTGAAATGTGCACCAGAAGGCATTAAAATACACAAAGTACCAAGCTTATACAAACACAAAACCACAAAATATTTAAAGCAATGGCAATGATACTAATGTAACCCTGCACATCAACCTTGGCATAGTATGAACAGAGTATCTGGAAAAAACAAATAATGAGGTGCACAGAAAAACACGCATGATGTGTATTATTATTGTGTGTTCTGCTGCTTAATCTGCACTGACTACATGAAAAACTTGCCTCAGCATCACGTGAAACACGATTATTTTGTGCTTCAAGGGTTTAATGAAACCAGAAGGACATTTTTAATTGGCTAACATGAAGGGTGGAATAAAACTTAAATTCTTTAACTGTCTTGCATTCAAGGAAAACAGCAGCAGTGAGTATATTGACCAATAATCTGTTCCTTTCAGATCATATGACTTTGTTATATCAACTTGTCTATCATGTGAATTACTATCAAACTGTGAGCAGGATTACTATGAAATTGCATGGTATCAAAAAAAAACTCTGCACTTGCCAATAAGCAAGGAGATTTTACCATGGAATCTGGATATAATGCAATATGTGAACAACACAAAGAGAACAAATCAACAGAAAGCACCTGCTTGCTGAATACTCAGTATAACCAGTGATGCATTACTTGTCACCCACTCAATCACGTTACATTTTAAATAAAACTACATATCCTATTAACTCAATATTGAATTAGGTATATCAGGTGTATCATCATCTTACCTGCAGTCCATCTTGGTACTGAACAGCTGCCTGCATAGCTTCGGCAAGCTTATCCACTCGCTCTTTCCATGTTTTGTTTAAGGCATCCCAGGCAGAGTTCAGCTACAAATAAGTGCAATTTACACCATTAGACAAAAACAATTTTTCTGCCATATAATTTGCATTCACTAAATAGATATTGCTCAGTAGCTCCAATAAATCAAACATGAATATTTCATATTCACTTCATATTAAACCTCTTGTTCTATCATTGCTTAGCTTCCTTCAGAATGCACTTGAGGTTTTATAATACAGAAGTTGCACAGTTCAACACTGACGACATATTTATTAACATAGGGATTATAGTCAGTATGGGAAATGTCAAATCATTTGCAGTTGAATCTTTAGAATAAAAATAGCATACAAGAAAATTACATTACAAAATGTGAGAGAAATTATAAGTCTTTTGTAGTTGTGAACAGGACTGGTCCCAGTTAAGATACTTTGCATAAAGCATATGAAACTTATTCTTGCATCATTTTCACAAGAAATAGTCATGTATTGCATTAATCAGTAATTTTTTAAATGTCTTCTACAAAAAATTAATCCATAAAGCAATAAAACCAATTTTTCTTTATATTCAAATCTGAGACAAAAGGCCAACCTTAATTTAACACAAAGCCTTCAGAGAAATCTCACTTCTGGTCCCAAAATTTTATTTTCAGAATTTCTTAGAGGGCAGGGAACACTACTATCAGGTGATCAAGAATTTATGAAGTTTACTGCAAAACTAATGCCTCCCACCTTATTATGTTATCTTACAATGTCAAAGGTGGATATTGGTGGTATAGCAGTAGAGGTTGAACCTTCCCACCAATATTCCACTACATTTTGGAATGAAATGGAGCACACTGTCAATCTTGGCTGGACTCTCCTGCTATATACACCATATAGTCTGGATTTGGTGCTCCCTCTGACTTCCATCTGTTCGATTTGATGATAGACTGCAGGGCAATATTTTACCTAGCAATGATGCCATCATTGCAGCTGTGAAACAGTGGGTCACATCTCTATTGGTATAGATTTCTATGACCATGGCATGGAGGCTCTTTTCCATTGCTGACGAAAATGCACAGCTAATAATGGCGACTGTGTTGAAAAACAGTGTTTTGTAGTTGAGAATTTGCACTATCAAATAGTGTAACTGTGCTCTGTGTATTTGTTGCAATATCCAAGGAAATAAATAGGAGGCATTACTTTCTGAGCTACATACGTAATGTTAATAAATTTGAGCATCTGCATTTCCCATACCTCATCTATACTCTTGTTGACAATAGGTTTGTCAGGCTCTCCACAAGCAGCTCTAAGTTCGGAGCCTAGGCTCACAACTGTTTCTAGTTCTTCTTGCAGTCCATCAATTTCTTCTTTAGCAGCCTACAAGGGAAAAAAAATCCAACACTGGTAATACTACATTCAATAATTTGTGTATGGCTTGCTTTTAAGACAGAAACACATCCATGTTTGACTTCTGTTTTCTTTAAAGTCACCTGGACTTACTACTGGATGCTTAAAATATCAGCATCCCTTTGCAGTGCCAGAGTAAATCAAATTACATCGGTCTAAATTATAAACGAATAGTGATGTCATTTTATATGAGATGGAAAAAATAAACAGGAAGTTTTATATTAGGTTTCTTTAATCAAAATGTTTTCTTTTACAGAGGTTATCATTCACTTTCAAATCTGTAACTATCAGCATAAATAATTACAGACTTGGAAAGTAATACTCACATCCATATGCCTTTCATTTAGATGTTGTGTATTACCTGGAATCTAAAGTATGTGTAACTTTTACAAGTCTCAGTGACATATATATTATATGCATGCTTATAAACAGATCCGTACATATGATGACAGGCACAAGCTGCATACTCATTGCAATTAACCACTGATATGTATCATTTGCCATAGACTCTTGAGATATCATTATAGTAAATTTCTATGTAATTATCCCTCTTTGTCTCAAAAAAAAAAAAAAAATCAAACCAAAACCACTCCTGTGTTATTTCCTAATAATTCTGTCTTTTCTCTGCATACTGTAAATAAAATACTTCAAATCAACTTAAACAACTGACCTCAGCAGCTTCTTGCTGTTGCTTGACTACAGATGGGTCAACTCCAGGTCCCTCCAGTTCTCGAATGAAGTCTTGAGTATCTTTAATAGTAGCTACAAGAGCCATATGATCACACCAGAACTTTTCAGCCAGTTCCATAACATCCAACAATTTGGCCTCCCTTTCCTCGGTCAAGGTCTGGATGTCTTGCCAAATAAGGACCATTTGGTCTAGTTTATCTTGCACAGCTAAACAACAAAGGAAGGAGATTACTACCTTGGCAAACAATTCTTGGCCATATATACCTCTACAGCTCTACAACAGAAACACATGTGTGTATTTTAAAATTTAGACTTTAAAATTGGTTCTGTACAAGACTTTTTACAATGTTAAGTGGAAACAACAAACGACATTTAAAAATAAAACAAAGGTCAGATCCATGCTGAATTACTAAATGAATGCCTTGGTTTTTTATATCTCCAGGAGAATGCAATCCCCAGATTAGTGGCCATCAAAAATGGAGATTTTTATGTGATGAAGCTTGCTGCATTTCCACTACATGAGTTTCTCCTCAGTGTACTACTACCTTTAGCAGATACATCCTTATCTGCCCCTTCTGAGCGAGCGATCATTTCCTCCCCTCGCTGTTTAAGCGTCTCATAGACAGGCTGAAGTTTTTCCAGATCCATTGACACATTCTTATTTTCACTAATTTGCTCTTTAATCTTCTCAACCTCTGCTGAGATTGAAGGTGGCTGCCTCAGGCGTTCAACTATGCGTTGCAAACTCTCAAGAGTTGGATCTATCTTGTCATGAAACTAAGAGGGTGGAAAAGGGCAAAAAGAAAAAGTAGAGAAATTAGAACAAAAACGTTTGAAAAACTGCCTCTGAATGTTCTCTTTCATACTTCAAGATTAACATATTTAACATCTCTAGTTATATACATACAACTTGCAATACCCCCAGGTTGCTCTCTCCCTCTTAATATCTGAAAGAATCACATGACTCTGCAAAATGGTGGTACTTCTCTGAGTTAAGAGATACAGAATTTTACTATCAAGTCTGAGTTTAATCCTGAAACAATCCATCTGAAAATACTACACAGGGCAGCACCTACCTGCATGCAGCCATTCCGGCATAATTAGTATGTTACTTTGTATCTTATTTTGGAAAGCCGTGGCTTTCTGATTGCATCATTCTAGAAAGATACTTATGTTAGTATTAATTACATGTATTTTAATATCAAGACCACCATATTGCATATAAGCCCTGATTAGGATTTGATATTTAAGGTCATTCAAAAAGACATTTGCCTAATGCCCAAGTGGTGCTCATTAGTGCAGTAAATGTACATTACTTCCTGAACTAAAAGCTCACAACAGCATCCACATTTGACTCAGAGCCCATGCGCCCAGAAACTCTGTTATATCTACATTAATTAGCATCGTTTATCCTTTGGTACAAGCATAAGTTAGGCACTAATATACTCTGCTGGATGCATACAGATTGCTATAAGCATCTCACAGCCATGCCCCTTCCATATTACAGAACTTATTAAATTGCGGGTACAGAACCAGCAGGATCTATAAAGAGCACTCTTGACTAGGCTTGGGGAGGTTGCTAGAAAAAGCACAACAAAACAAGCTTACTGTACATCAGCAAATGAATACTACATCCTTAGTATTCAAGGAAATACATGCAAAACAAATGTAATTCATTTTTCCCACTGTACAGACTCTAATGTTACGAACTCTATTTTCATTAGAAGAGCAACTACCATACAAGCTAGCAAAATGCAACATATAAAGATAAGCAACCTCCCTACATTCCAGACTTCTGAAAAACTGATTATGGCAAGAAAGCCCTACAGAAGTGATAACAACTGAAATAAATTTGGTAATATTCAAATCTGATTTTAGGACACATATCCTGCATTTTTGAATTTTCAGTTCATTCAGTGGGCCTCATTTTACTCTGACTTCAATGACTGAGACAAGGTGATTTAGAACTTAAAAGGAGGAAGGGCAAGTCATTACCATCTCTCTTTCTGGCTCCATAGGTCACATACCACCTTTGATACATAATGTAATTTAACATAATTTGAAACCTGAAGAGTTAAATAATTATTCTTCCTGGTCTGTCTAGACAAACACTGACATATCCACCATATTACAGAGTCTGAATATATATTTACATATCTTAATAAAGAAAGAGTTTATATAAAATTACATTCTGGAAGCTAGAATGTTTGGCTTTCCCATCTGCATATACATTTACGTACATTAAATATTTCAGGGTTTATTTTATAAGTAATTAAGTATTTTCTCAACATCTGCTTATATTCTAGCTCCTACCAAAGAATGCATTTTCTTGCTTTCTGGTCTTAGCCTTCTGTACTTACTGTACTTAAGCACATCTTGTTAATGTCTATAACATAAAAAGCAAAGGCTCAAACACTAAATAAATGTCTTGATTTTCAAACATGCAGCATATATGCAAAAGAAAAAATACTGAATCTGAATAAACAGGCATCTTTCAGAGGTGTAAATAAGGAGGCTATTTAGAAGGACTGAAAGTAGCATGGAATAGTGGCTACTACCAGGTCAAAAAATGAATGACATCCTTAGATTCTTCAATTCTGCCTGTAATGTCTCCAAATACAACATTAAGTACCATGACCTATGAAGACAATCATTTAGAATGCAGAACTGATGAGAACCTTAAGATCTCTTTTGTGATTTAGTGTTTTAGTCCTGGGAAGAAATATAGTACTTAATTGCCAGCCAACAGACAAAAAAGGGAATTTACCATAAAAACAGTGACAGGACACAAAACTTCTATCGGGTTTTTGTGTAGGTTCATGTTAATGAGGATTTTTTTTTTCTGAATTTGGTGTCATGTAAAAAGATTTCATTTTGGATTTAATGACAAATTAATATCTATCAATACTATAAATGATATAAATACTATCAATACTCTAATATGGTTCATTCCATAGAGTAACTAACCTAAGATACACAGCTTTTGTGGACGTGACCTGAATTTTATGGCTACAATAATATTTTGTGAAGTCTAACTTTACTCATAATTCTTTTACGTGAAAAGGACCATGCATGGTTAAGTACCCTCTAGTGCCAGTCTATTAAAGGACCAACTGCAGTTGCCAAGTTCTAGATACGACGATATGCAAAGCTAACTGATTAACAGAGACATTCAGATCAAGCACAGCATCAGCTATTAACAGACCAGTAAAAGAAAATTGAATAAACTGAAAATCTGACATTGTTAAATCAAATATTCCTTTTTTGACATTTCAAAATTGAGAACTAATAATATTTTTTCAACTGCAGCAGACTCATAAAATTATAACCCCTCAGGAAAATCAGTGCCATGAGAACCAACATGAACATTCACACACTATTCAGCTGAAAAATTCACATAAAACAGCAGTTTAGTCTCGATATACATACATATAAAATGATAATGTCTGTGTATCTTTCCATTCATATGAATCTAATCATTCTTTAAACTTAAAATGATACCTGGGTACACTGAGAAATGGCTTCATCCAGTGCCAGTGCTCGCTTTTTGACATCTTCCTTAATTTTACTGTAAAGGGTGTCAGCTGCCACGTATTTCTCTTGGATAGAGAAACCTTCTCCTGGGCTCAGCTCCAGCAACTGAGGCCCAGTTTTATTCATCTTATCTATATGAGGCTTGTGCTCAGCAATCAGCTCACGCAGTTGCTATAACAAATGAAAAAAACTTATCAGTTTCTTAAGTTTAGACCACCACATTACAGCTGTCCACACTTCAAAACATCCAGCTGGCAAGAAATTCCAAACAAATACCTGTCATCCTAATGTAAAGCACAAATAATATTAAATAAAGTTAATGACTGCTCTGCCAGTGATGATTCCCTTTCCAAAAGTGAGAGCTACCCAGCCAGGAAACATCACAATTAAAGATACATTGGAAAGGGCCATGAAATACTCCTTCAAGGCATATCATTACATGTAGAATGCAAGGTGCCAAATGATACTGGCTGCAGATGATGTTGGCAACAGACACTCCCCATCATTTTTAGGACCTATAATGACAGAAATGGTAACTATATTCCAAATATTTGCATAATACCACTACATATATACATTTTCATGCTGATATGTGCCACAAAGCCTTCCACTGAAGAACATCACAGAACAAGGTACTGAAGTAATATTGCAATAATATTACTGCAAGTTATCCTTGATTTAAAAGAGGAAACTAGAACAAACAGGAGGTAGAATAAAAAACAACAATGAAAAGGATAGAGGCCAGTGAAGACGCATGAGAATTTTCTTGTTTAACAAGAAATTAATATACAAATCAGATTTCATCTCAGCCACTCTCTCCTACCCTCTCAACACCCACCCCCAAAGTAAATCCAAACCACAGAAAACTGCAAAAGGCCAAAAGGTAATGGTATTTTGTCTTCCAGCTTGCCTAAGTATTTTGCTTTTGTTTACTTGCACCCATAAGTCTGACAAAAGGAAGAGATTTCAGGGGGAGTAACCTAACCATTCCCTTCAATTTCATTTATTGTCTCAGTTCATCTTTGCCTTTTCAGAAAAATCCCGCTGTTTGGTGAGACACTGTCCCTCTCAGTGCTGTGAGCTCCATGCATTTCTAGCCTACAGTCACTGTGCAGGAATGACAGGCTAGAGCAAGCACATGCTTTGTTCCTCCTAGTTCACGGATTGTTTAAACAAATGAAGACACAGAAAAGGGCTTATATCAGTCTCAGTCTAAATAAATCCTCTTCTCTTCAACTGAGGTCCTTCCCTTAAAAAGAAATCCTGATACTGGCTTGCTTATGAGCTCCTCCCCAGAAGAGGAGGAGTTGGGGAGTTGAAAATACAGTGACCATGACTATCCACTGTCCCCTGATGAAGAAACAACAATGAAAAACAACAAAAAAAACCAAAAAGCAATGACTAGCTACTGCCTGAGAATGTGATTCTACTTGTAAAACTTGCATCAAGAAAAATAATAGTGATTAGCATAGAAAAAGGAAAATGCTAAGCTAAGAACAGTTGTAAAGTTTTTAGAAAATGATTTTATGTATTTTATTTTTGTGCACAAATAGATAACTTGACACAATGTGACAGACTATGCACCTATAGGTACAAACTTTACTATGCCAGTCCTCCTACACTGCCAAAAGCAAAATTCAAACTACATTAACTGGATGTCAATATAAACATAAGTGAATATAGAAGAAATATAAGGGAATAGAGAAAGCTGTATTCATACTGAGGATCCTTTTTTATAACAGAAGCACAAATGATCTGGTCTTTGCCACAATTGGGTAAACAATTCCAGTAAATCAGTATTCCAGATCAGATTACGTGTTAAAATTGCCAGACATTAATCTTCTACTTAAACAAATCTCAGCTAATGGCATAGCCCAGGGAAAATGCAAAAATACAAGTTCAGATGAAGGGCCTCTCAAGCAAGCAGAATGATTAAAGTAGATGGGGAAACAAACCTGTAAGTAAAGCAAGCATGATTTGGTTCGTAGTGACTAATCAAGACAGTTTGTAAAGCTCATGTGATATACTTAGTCTTAATAGAGCATGTTTGTTCTTTGTGGACGTAGTAGGAAGACAAATGAGTGAACCCAGTGTTTACCACTGTATCAAGTAGCACATCTTCATTAACTGGTCTCACAGTAAACAGGATTTTGAAACCAGGATTCATCCTATCTAACTTGAGTCATTTAACCGAGGCAACTAAAATTAAAAAGCCTAGCAACCCTATGCTCAGTAGGAAGAGACAGGTGTCTCCAGTAGCAAAATGGGCTTTGCATGTGCTAAAACATGCAGATTTTTAATCTTGGTAAGTTAAATGTGATTCCAAGTCTAGTGGATTCTAGTTGCTGTCTGAAACACACCGATTCTTGTCCCAGATGATTCCTCTGTGCAAGAAAAGCCACATGGAGGCCTTTATATAATAAAGTTCCCTCTCTATTTTATGATGTTATGAGAAACAATTACTTATTTTTATTATTACATCACATTTTCCTTTTTTAAGAGAATTGGCCAAGAGATTGGCTTAAACCAAACCAGAGAATTCTTGGACCCTGAACTGTCAGTCTTCCTGGTTCAACAAAGTTTACTTTCCATGATATCAACAAAACAAACAACACATTTTTTTGCATGTACATAAGGTTAATACATATGCATATTAACACACTTCATACATAGACCGAATTTCAGTTTCTGGATGCCTAAAGCAGGCACTCTAGCTCTTTCTATTGCCTCATATTACTCTTTCCTAGATCTTACTACATAACCCAATCTTTGTTCTTTCCATTTCTGGACTTGGTTTGTTCTAAGACAGTCGTATTTATGTGTACTTTTAAAGACACTTCTAAGCTATTCATTTCTGATGCTTAGATATGTCACTTAATGGCAGTTATTTCCCCTTTAGCCTTCTTTTATGCTTATACATTGCTTGCTGTTTTTTTCCACAAATAATCTTGTTTGCATGCAGTTTGGAAAACAGCAGAGGTGTGATTTTAAGTATATTTTCTATTATTATTTTAAATAACTTTTTTTCAACAGAAGTCTAACAGAAGTCTAACTAGACAGAAGTCTAGTTATGAGCAATCAGTAGAGTACTTCATGGTTCCAAGCAGAATACTAGTTAGCTTTTGATACTTTGTTGGTTTTTGCTTTTGTTTTTTCTTGAAAACAGCAAAATTCTTACCCGATGCTCTTCTTGTTGTTGCTTTAAAGTTTCATACTCAAGGGCAGGTGCAGGAAGCTGAGAGATGATCATTTCTGTTTCAGTTAACCACGGCCAAAGCTCTTCATAAGTCTCCCAGAACTGGTTAACTAGGGACTGAGCCCGCTCCAGCTGGAGGTTTCTCTCCGAGTTCATTTGACAGACTGTATCATATTTCTGTAACAGGCTTTTCAGTTTTTTCTGTGAAATAATATTAACAAAAAATGGCAATGTATGTCTTTCCACATATTCATTATCCTAATCCTAAACAGCCTTTGATAATTAACAGCACCAAACCATAGTGAACAAAATCTTAATTCTGATAGTAGTTCCACAGTACTGGAGCATTTAAAGAGGAAAGAACCAATACTGTGGGAGATCTGAATTTGGCAGGACACATTCAAAGTAACTAAAACACAAACAACACCGTATTCCTTAAACTTCCATTTAAGCTGCAAACAACTTTACTGCCTGTCCCAGCCCCATTTTCTTTCTGGAGGCACACATCTTCAGCAACGCTTGGCAGAAGCTAAATTTTTGAGAGCGTTTCTGAATCAAAGCATCATGAACATTGCACAAAAATTTGTCTTTTTTTTTTTTTCTAATTCTACCAAAGAATGGGGGAATATACCTCTGGATAAACTTTCTACAGAAAGCACATAACACTATTTTCCATGTTAGCAAGTATTAATTAATAAGAATACATTACCATTAATAACATGACAGAACTTAAAGGTTTAAGCAATACTCCTCTATTCTGTTTGGGCATATGATAATAAAAGATGTATCGACTGGATATATAATTTTCTGTGGAAGACTGGCCATCTTATCATTTTTACATTACATGTAAAAATGTTGAAATGAAACATTACAATGCAACAATGCACATAAGTGCTAGCCTTAGAAATACAAGACATATAAATAAGGTGCTGAATATGAAGTACAAGATCTCTTCTGTTAGAACAAGATATTGTTTCATTTGTTATGTGTTGCATGTAAATTAAGTATAGGGATGCTATCCAAAGGACAAAATATAGCCTAGTATACAGATACACTGTTTTTTTTTTGTTGCTGTTTTTGTTTTTTTTTTTTACTGAAATATATCTCTAACAGAGGATCACCTACAATTGCTCACCCTTTGGGCTATATTTTAATAGACTGAACTAAATTCACTTAAGAACAAATCAAATTTATTCAGTGATTCTGCAGCAGAGCACAATTAGTGAATTACTGTTGGTCTCTGGAAGGACCAAAATCACAGATCACATCCATACCAGTAAAAAAGTTCATGCTAAAAATGCCAGTAGGAAAGATCTCTCTGTGTGCATGCATGAAAAACACACACATATACGTATATTCTTTCAGCCCTCAACCTCAGGCTGTGTGTGCACACATAAACAAATGTGTAAGAATGCCTTTCATGGGCTGTGTTAGTCAACAGGATGGAACACTCCTGGCAAACAATTCCCCCACTGAAATTGGCACAAATGAAGATAAAGACACACACTGAAGTGCCAGCCACTGAATGAGGCACTGAAACACACACACCCAGCCAGAGCTTCACAGACTCTAGGGAACAGAGGAAGATAAACAGCCAGATTCCACACGCATCACCCCAGATGACTAATACCTATTCACTCAATCATTTCACTGGCTAAAATACTGTTTACCATGGAAGATGACAAATGGGCTCTGAATTAGTGTCAGATAATGAAGTAGACAGTGCTTGCTCTTTGAACATCCTGAAGCATTTCTTCTAGTATTACAACCCTCGGACCAGAAGTGGCTGTAATTAATGCTTTTTCATTAATGTTTTAAAGTATACACCATAAGAATCTTCCTGCAGTCTATGGTCTTCCTATCCACCACCGTAGCTGCAAATTTAGGGGAAATTTACCTTTATGGTCTGCTTTTCTTCTTCAGTGCACGTGTTCATAATCTTATCCCCGGACTTAACAAGTTCATCTATAGTATCTTTGTGCCTCAAAATCTCCATGGTAAAAGCCTTGAAACACAATAAAAACTGGTGAGCAATATAAAATAAAGTACATGGAGCAAAAACTATTTGTGAAGTGCATTATGATGGACTGAAAATTAAATCACAGCAGTACATTTTCTAGATGGAGACTGTTCTGGCCAATAATTAACATGACAGTTGGAAATGCATTTCTTTTACCTTTTGAACTTGTAGCTGAGCTGTGGTCTGGTCTTGCTCAAGCCTAATATCACCAAGAGACATCAGTTTCTTCTCTGTTTCTGCAATCCAGGCGAGTTCAGCATCAGCTGCTTGATCAAACTAAATGAGGGAGACATGACTAAATTCAATGATTCTATAGACATGAAAAGTTAGAATGACTTCAAAAATTTTATAGAAGATAAAAAGCACACTTCTGAATTAGCAGAAAGATAGTAACTCTCTTTCCATATGAGGCTTTTATGTAAATGAAATACAATGCCTCAAATGGTCCTGAGGAACTGGAATAAAATCAGCTTTATTCATAAACAAAGCAGCAGACGTACATTTTTCCAAAGCCTATCACTCCTCTAACAATCATAACTAAAAGGGTTACCACTTCAGAATCTTAACTAGAATGTTTATTTTCACTTGACTCAACTTTCACATCTTTTCCACCTCCAAATTTATTTTTTCTACTACTGTTGGAATTATCCTAAGAAATAGCTGTTTGATGCTATCTTTTCCATCTTAAGAGATGCTTTGGTAATAAATTATAAAGGTGAAGCAATTACAATTCAAGTAAGTCAGTGGAAAAAAAACCCAACAAAATACGGAATTCAGAGAAGACAGGATTTCATCCAAAACCAGAACACGGATTAAATATCAAAATACCAAAATATAAATATCAAAATGAGGCATTTGGGCAGCCAGTCCTTTCAGTAAAGATTAACTTCAGACTATCGTTAGTTGACACTTCAGTGTTTCAAGAATTACCTTAAAGCACTAAAGTAATTAATTATTTAGATGATCTGTTTGTTACTAATTCGTTAAAAAAAAAAATAAAAAAAAAAATGAGAGAACCTAAAAAGTATTACCTTGGGGTCCAATTCTGATGAAAAGAACGATTTTTTAAAAAATGATGTATTATCTATCACTTCTGGTCAAGTTTGCAAATGTGCACCTTAGTGCATCCATACTGTAATACTGAGCTTAAGCCATAGAGAAATAATTTGCAGTACCATCAGAGGCACAAAACAATAAGCACTAAAACTATTTTTTTTCTAAAGGTTTGATCCCCACTGCAATTATTTGAAGATTAGTATGGCTCTGAGTTATTCTGAAGGTCTTCCAGGGCATTTTATGTCAGAACCTGTTATTTAAGTTCTTTACAGAGCGAGTGGTGAGATGCTGGAACAGGCTGCTCAGAGAGGTTGTGGATGCCCTGTCATTGGATGTGTTCAAGGCCAGGTTGGATGGGGCCCTGGGCAGCCTGGTCTGGTATTAAATGGGGAGGCTGGTGGCTCTGCATGTGGTAGGGGGGGTTGGAGATTCATGATCCTTGAGCTCCCTTCCAACCCTGGCCATTCTGTGATTCTGTGACTACCACACTTCCTTCAGAAGTCTTGTCTTTTAAATCTGATGGCCAGTGCATTTGTGGTTGTAGGACTATGTTGCTCCTGGAACATAGTTGGAGTTCGCTTTGGCCACTAAATAACTCTTGTTTTAGTGGTTAATTATGAGTCCCATGAAAACAAAGGAAGCAGTTCTGAGATTTCATTCTTATTGAGTCAATCTTTTTCAGCCCTGTTTAATCCATTTGTTACATGAAAGAGCTGAAACATTCTTTTTCACCATATGTCATTTCTCATACAAAGTAACAGCAAGTAGTATGTGTCCTAAATTGTGCAACTTCCTAACAGAAAGGTATTTTCTGAAACAATCAGTACTGTAAAAATTAGCATGAAGTAAATGCACCAACAGTATTTAATCCCAGTTCTTTGGAAGCCCATCTACTTATAACCCAACTTAAGGAAATGAACATGATGTCAAATATGTCAGAGGTACAACCAGTCTGTGACTTCCTAATACCAAATATCCATGGGTATGTCACTAATATTGAGCAAACATTTAGTGGAAATAATAAAATCAAGGCATGGCACTGGAAAAGTCTAGGTTCCACAGTGCTGAGCTACATTAGAACTCTAAGCCTCATTTGCTAAGGTTGTAGGATTTGTAACTTATGATGTGTGCGTATAACATTGAGGAATATGAAGTACAAAACCAGCCCCCTTTGCATCCAAAATTCAAAGATATTTTTCTCAATAATGCATAGCAGAATTATTTTTCAGCCTTGAACATTGCTTGAGTCACTATAAAAAAAGTCTGTCTTATTCCTACCTGGTTTAACCAACCATGTTTCATTGCAGTACTTCCAACTAGGAAGGACGGCTTGTGAATATGATGACACTGTGATTTTCTCTATGAATGCTTTATAAAGCACTCTCTGTGACTGCTTTAGTGCAAAGAACAAGAAAAGCAACTACAAAATATGACCTTCTCTTTCTATATTGCACTTTTTGCACTAGAGAAAGATACTGACCAATACCTTCAGTATCAACAAATGAGAACATGCAGTAGAAATTTCTCTCTCGCATATTTCTATCCATTTAGGGGCATTCACACTATATTAAGCGTTCAACCTCATTAACAGCATGAAACCATGTTCAGTTGAACAGTTCACACAGCTTAATGCATTTGTCTCCTTGGCCCATTAATGTCTATCACAAAAACCATGCTACTTCCACTGAACTCTCACATTCTTGGTGGATGTGCCCTTCAATCAAAACTTTTTAATAGAACAGTCACTTGAACAAGTTGCTTCAGGGTAAGCTCACAAAGCATTAGCTCCTCCAAAAATATTTTTTCATTATGCATAGTCTATCTTTGAGCTGAATGGAAAGCAGCTTATCCTTATACTGAAGCATCTTAAGCCCCTTAATCATAGGATATAGTGTATAGGAGCATACTGTGGTGGGCTCAAGTGAAGGTTAGGGGTATTCAGGACTCTAGTGCAATATGTCCTTTCAAGGCTAGGTAGTGGAGCAGCATCTCTGAACTCTTCTGGCCTGGACTTGGATGTGCTGAATTGGTGTTAGGTGATGAAACATAATTCAGAGACTTGAAGGAGAGCAAACATTCTCCTGTTTCATAGAATCTATTAGAATTCTATGAATCTAGGCCTAGAAAGATGTTTAATAACACCAGTCCCAACACCAATCCCTGAGGAACACTACACGTCACTGGTTTCCATTTGGACATGGAGCCGTTGACCACAACTCTCTGAGTGTGACCATCCAGCCCATTATTTATCCAGCAAGTTGTTCATCCATCAAATACTCTTTTTGTCCAATTTAGTGATTAGGATGTCATGCGGGACAGTGTCAAATACTTTGCACAAGTCCAGCAAGATGAAATCAGTTGATCTTCCTTTATCCAGTGGCACTATACCTCCATCATAAAAGGTCAAGTTTGTCAGGCATGAACTTGCCCTTGGTGAAGCCATGTTGGTTACCACCAATCACCTTGTCTTTATTTTCCATCTACCTTCTTAGGGTCTTCAGGAGGATCTGCTCCATGATTGTGCTAGATCTGGTTGGCCTATAGTTCCCTGATCTTCTCTTCTTCCTAACCTTGAAAATGGGGGTTATGTTTTCCCTTTTTCAGTGGGAACTTCACCATATTGCCAGCTCTTGCAAAGCAGCTTGGCAACTTCATCTGCCAGTTCTCTCAGAACCCATGGATAGATCTCATCAAGTCCCATGGACTTGTGCACCTTCAGGTTCTTTAGATGCTCTCAAGCCTGATGTTCTCTAGCAGCAGGCAGATGTCTTTCTCCAAATTCTTACCTTTGTTTTCTGCAGCTTGTGAGGTGTGGCTACAAGCCACAAGGTGAGTCACCACCCTTGCTGGTGAAGACTAAGGCAAAGAAGTCACTGAGCACCTCAGCTTACTCTGTATCCCTCATGACCAGGTCTTCAGTTTCCTTCAGGAGAGGGCCCACATCTTCCCCAGCCTTCCTTTTATCGTATCTCTGATACACCTGTAGAATTTCTTCTTGTTCCCCTTTATGTCCCTAGCTAGATGTAATTATATCTAGGTTTTAGGTTTCCTAGCCTGATCCCTGGCTGCTCGGACAACTTTGCAGTCTTCCCAGGTAACCTGTTTCTCCTTCCACTCCTTATAGACTTTCTTTTTGTACTTAAAGTCCAGGAGCTCCATGGAGGCCCCCTGGCATTCTTGCCTGCCTTCCTTTTTCCTCTTTTCACTCATAGAAAATCACCCTTTGTTGCTGAGGATTTGTTTCAAGGAGACAAAATAATACTCATACCAAACCCCTTAAAAAGTTAAACATGAAGTTATTTTTAACCTCACTAATAAGGAGATCTGAGTTACTGCCAGCTTCTTTCAGTTGGCTTCCAATAAACTTTGAAATCGTCACATACGGTTTCTCCTTGTCCCATTATAACTATTTACGGGAACTATTAGCAGAAAGAAAAATCTCCACCAATATTTTTATGCCTGAACTGTAGGCAGACAGTGGAAAAATTGTGTTCCATTTTGCTTTTACAAACATAGACCTTAAAGTGGGTCCATTTAGTAATATAATTGGAGTATCAGTTCTCCAAGTGTACCCATATACATGCATCTGTGTTTTGAAACCTTCACATATTTAGTAATTCAGGTTTTGTATCCCAAGAAGAAAAGCATTGTAGCTATGCGTAAAAGCAACTGTTATTTAAACTCTGCAGTACACTTTAGATAACATAATCCAGCTTTCAACTGTCAAAAATACAGAGAAGCTAGACAATCAACTGACGCTGGAAGGCGTGGCAATATTATTGATTTCAATGCTGCATCCAGGAAAACTGGCTGGGGAGCTGTGCCATAATTTACTCAACATGATCTGTGAAAGATAAGGGCGATGCAGTTGTTACTCAAGAAAACTCCACGGGCAGTTATAGTAATGTTAGCTACAAGACTGAAGCTTTTGTCAACAGAAAGTCATATGGTTACAACAGCATACCTTCTGGCATGCGTATCTTTACAGTGGAGTCACATTCCATTCAAACAGGTCTTTTGCTGCCTGAGCACAATAAATGTTTGGTAATGCTATTAAAGGACATCTTCTATTCAAGCACACATTGCCAGAGGCCACTTATTATAGCCCTAAAACAGGTTATCAGTACCTGCTGGGATCTCAGGATGGCGGCATCAATCTCATCCACCTTCTGAGAGATTGTGTCACTCACTAATCTGTAACGTTCGTTGTCCTCTGTTATCATCTTGTCAAGCCCCTCTCTAGCCCTCCATGGCACCAGTTCCAGGAAGGCACTGCCGACTTCATTGAGAGTGTCCAGTAAGGCTTTGTTGTTTTTTGCTTCTTTTTTCAACTCCTGAAAAAGTTCATTTAAAGTAAATGCGCCAGCATGAGTTGAACACGCACACACAGTTTACATATGTTTTTTTATTCTCTAAACTACTGACTAGAGATCTGAAATGTTTTCCAGGCACACCAAAGGGATAAATGAGCACAATTATTTTCAGTTCAGTTGTACTAGCTTTTTGATACTTGTCAGTTGCTTGACAAAAAAGTCGGTGGGTCTAAGCTTTCTACAGAGTACGTAACTAAAAACATTTCTCCAGTCAATATGATAGTTTGAAATTCTCTGAAATTTTATGAGTTGTGAGTGCTTAAGGAAGTGAACAAATAAAATAAAACTAACACATACTAATTGCAACCTGTCATACCATAAGGAACTAAATCACCACTAAAGCATGAAATGAAGCAAAACATGAATTCAAACAATTTCTGAAATGAGAAATGATTGGGTTATATTCCTGTCAAATTATCACACAATCCTTCAAGCTTTTTCTGTACAGGAAGCCCCACTGATGATTCTGTATCCATTTCTACATCTACAAACAAATAATTCAATTTATTAACATCTTAATATATTAAACGTTAATGTGTATTAATATAGTACATATATAACTTGAAGGAAATACATTTTTTCATTTTTTTCCCACTCAAAACACTGCCCTCACCATCCAACTTGCAATATTATTTTTTTTAAATAACTATTTTTTGTTAAACAAGATCAGTAATGCATTTTAAATGCTGTCTTTTTCATATTTTACAGGATGATATCCATGTCATAACCAAAGAACCAAAATAACTTTGTTTGACAAGTCTGGAGTTTTCCCAGGGTAAGGTAGCTGCTTGAACAAAAAAGAAATGTTGTGCTGCTGAGCTAAAAATAAATCACAACCCAATTTTGTATGGGATTATAACAAATGACTCTGGAAAGTAAGCGTGATTCTTAACTACTGCTACAATTACAGCTGATCTAATGCCAAATTAGTTATTCACAAAACAATTTTCTGCCAAACCAAAAGTTAACACAAAAAACCATACAGCGATAATTCACAGATTCTAAAACCTACTTTTTGTCTTTCTTGTGCTTGGCTTAATTCTTCACCCTGTGGTATTTGAGTTTCATATGACAGTAACTCCACTTCCACTTTGTCAAGCCATTTGCAGAGCTCTTCATGGGTTGAGTGCAGCTGACCTGCAAGCTGTAGAGCCTGCTCTAAGGTCTTGGACACATCAGAACTCAATTTTGTAATGTCTTTGTATCTCACTTTAATGCCTTCCAGTTTATCTTGAATTATTATAACTTCATCACCTAAAATACCAGAAGAACATTATTTCTTGTGAACATAATTCCTTAAAAATAAAAAAAAATCCTAAGCATTGGCCCCAACCTAACACAGCAATCTCAGTATTTAATTTAGAAAATGATCCAAACAGGAGACGGGGCAAATCCTCACCTCCTGTAAATTATTCTACCCTCACTAAGTCTACAAAGCTATGAAGTTTACCTCAGTTTACGATCTGATCTTCTGCCTTTTTTATTGTTTTACTAAACTATCAGAAAGTGAAGACTTTGACTCAACATTTAATGCAAATGTTCTTTAAAAAAAATCCATCCTTAAATTCACAATAGTTCTTAAAAGGTTATAAAAAAATTACAGAAGTTACTGAAATACAAGAAAAAAAGTCAAGAATACTAACTAGATTTTCCATTACACTGATATTTTACACTATTCCTTGAACTGAACACTCTCTTTACAATACATTAAAAACAAAAGGCTAAAATAAAAGCAACCTCCTGAAATTTATATTCAGATTTCATTATAGATTATGCATAATGTTTAAATTTGGAACAGAGAAAGATTCCCCATCTTCAACCACATGTATGTCTTAGGGAGCTCAAGAACTTTAGAAGTGCTGGAAAATCTGGACAGGTGTTGATCTACAGAGCAGACAGATGGCGTACAACTGGAATGCAACTTTTCCCACAGTATTGGCTCCAATGGACAAAGCCTTCCTCTTGCAGTAAAAGGTAGTCTAATATCTCGTTCTTCTGTGAATGTCTCCAGGGAACTGACTGTGTCCACAGCCAAACAGCCCTCCAACCAGAGTAATGTCCATAACTTGAAATTAGGAATGGAATGCAGGTTCACTAAATTTTCCATTAAGAATAATAGTAAAACAAGGGCCAAATTCCCTACAAGCATAAACTAACTTTTGCTCACTAACGTTAACAATACATTTGGCTCCAAAACATAACCCACTCTGATCTCATAACTTTGTTAAAATAGATAACTACAAGTGCTTTAACAAACAAGCATATTGGTTGTTACTAATACTTGGTTGTTACTAGTATCTACATATTCTACTTAAAACTTCTCATAAGCACTTATCATTACAAGAAAAAAAAAAAAAAGCCTGGCAAATTGTACTTTTCTAAAAGCTCTCACCTGTTGTTTGTTTGAGAAGCTCTAAACCATTTTGTATAGCCAAATCAACATTTTGTTTTCTGAGAAGAATCTCCTCCTGAAGCTCCTAAGAGAAAATGCCACTTATGTAAGCACAAACATAATAAACAACACTATTCTTATTTGGATTAAGCATATTTCCATTTAAAACAAAATAGATTAATGAAAAATAAATGAAATATGGATTATAAATCATATAAAAATAAATAATAAATGAACAGAAATCAAAATACCAGTAGTTCAGAGTGCTGTTTCTCAAGCAATTCTGTGTTGCAATCTTGGACTGACAACTTGCTCAGTTTATCATGGACTTCATTCAGCCAGTTCATCAACTCAACTTCGTCCTCCCCAAAAATCTGAGCATTGCAGTATGCTTGCTGTAGAAGTTCAGACCTGCTGTTGCTCTTCTCTTGAATCTCAACGTATCGGGCCTGAGAAGAATCTAGCTTTTCCTGCACCATATCTTTATCTTCCCTGGAGCTCATAGTCTTTAGAGACTGACCAGTGCTAATGGCCTGAAGCAAACTCTTATTGTGAGCTAGGACATCATCTTCTAGGGCCTATATATTTTTTTAAATAATGAAAAACAATGGAAAAGAAAATCAGAAAAACATAAAAGAAAGTGGAACTAAATAAAAACTGAATTAAAAAGAACATACTGCCAACACAAATGAATAAAACTCAAATTACAGGAAAAAAAAAGTGTAGTAAAACACAAGTACACCACAAGAGCTTTCCCAATTGTGCTTACTTCACAGATGAGTTTAAACAGAATGGCACGAGCAAATGTGTTGCTCATATCTTACTTTATGCTGAGAAATCTGCTGTTGCAGTTTGGAAGCCTGTGTTCCAATGGGTTCAGCATTTGCAAGCCTCTTCTCTGTGGCCGACAGCCACTCCACTAATGGTTCCAGAGCTTCATGAAACTGCTGTGCTACCACTGAGATGCCTTCCAACTGGCGGTTCCTATAAACATCCCAAGAGAAAGAGCCTACTGCAGGGCATCTGCTTTAGCAGAAGTGTTGGACTGGATGATCTCTTGACGTCCCTTCCAACCCCTGCAATTCTGTGATTACACCTTTTAAAGTTAGGCAAAGACTCTACTGAACCAGAACATACGATCACACTTCCTCAGCACTGTACATTATCTGCTAACATTTGTTCATTGATGTGAACAGAACTACGTAGCTTTACTTCACTCTAATTTGAAACTAATGAGACAGTGGTAATAAAGCACTAAGACTTGACCTCCAAAATAAAAAAAAAGAAGTATCTAAAACCTTTCCGTTTCAGATTATTACATTTCAGAGAAAGTTCCTGATTACAGGAAGCCTTCTCTACAGCCACTGCTGAGAAAATTTCCCTCAAGAAGACTTTTAAGAGATATTTTTCCCCACATAAAAAACGTCACAGTATTGTCTTTCAGCAGGGGATCTTATTACAGGTAAAAGCTGTGCTTATACATGCTTCCCTAGGCTTACAAACAAGGGAGACCCTACAGACCTGTCACAGTCAGCTATATAATGCTCACAGAAATACTCTACTTAGTTTTCAGAATCGTGGTCTGATCTTCAGATCTTCTCATTTCCAGAGACTGGCAAAGGAAAACGGAGACAAGCCTGCTGCAACTAATAGATAGCTTGGGAAAAGCTGCAATTTGATTTTTAATTAAGTATCACCAGATTGGGAAAAGAATATTAAATTAAACATGACATTAACATTTATTCCACCAATGACTCAGATTCCTCCAATAAATTTAAAAAAAAAAAAAAAAAAAAAAAAATAAAAAAAAAAAAAAAGGGAAAAAAAGGAAATAATTATCTATTAGTGGTTTACTCTACCAATTGAATAATTGAATAATTGTATCTTCAGTATGAAATAGCAAGAGATTCAGAGTAAAGGAACTATAGAGGCTAGCAGAAGGACTAGAAGACAACACAGCTGAATTTAATGTTACTCTAATTGCTCAAATCCCAATCCATCCATTTGCTCTTCACTGTAAAGTTTTACTGCTCACTTAAAACAATTTTCCTAAACTTTCCAAATCCTTTCTCATTCTCAATTACATATCTTTTTTCAGGTCACTTATGCATACTCTTCTCTCCCTACTATGAGGCTGTCCTTAAAATCCCTACCCAGAAAATACATTCAGCAAAGTCCTTTAAACACTGATGTCTTCAGATGCTTTACAGTTTGTGACTTGCCATATATTTTATACACAGACAACTCAAAAATATCTAAGTGTGTGTATATGTAGATATTGTGTCTTGTTGAATTGGAACTTGAACTGGACTGCAATCTCTAGTAGAGTGTTTTCTGCACTGCTAGAATACAGGTACATACTTCAGTGGTCCTTCTTCCTCCGGAATTAATGCAGCTTAGCAACTTGAGTAAGAACATCAACAACTGGCAGCACCAGGGTTACTACCCTGTAGAAACTAATTATATGGATAACATTGAACAGCAAAAGGAGAAATGCCACCTCTTTGTAGCAGCAGGTCAGGATTCTGAAGTTCCAATGAAACATTGTTATTATTTAAGTCTCAAACCCATACTTGATTCTATGCAAAACAGGAGATGTGGTTTTTAAATCAAGAAACTAGTGAACCAACAAAGATAAACTGTATAATACAAAATACACGTATGCAGTTAATTCTAGCCGATTGTTATATCCCAGGCTATGATTCTGTTACAAGCTTTCACTCTTTTCAAGTCCCTATTTCCCACTTTTTTCTTCAGAGGACCTATTACATCAACTTCAAGATACAGCAATGTAATGTACTAACAAGGATGATATTACTTAAAATATTTACGTTAGGGAGTTCCACATACTGCTTTTGACCATCCATCACGTGCTACATCTGTATTATTCAAAGCTATGAAGGAATTTGAAATACCTTGTTTCAGCTTTACTGAGCAATGCATCCCATCGACTATCCAGCAAACTCAACTGCTTCAAGATTTTCACTTTATCAGCAGGTTCTGCTGACTCTGCAATTTTCTCCCCTTCACGCTTGATTACCTCAACAGTAGGCTTGCGGTCATCCAACAGCCTCTGGAGAAGCTAGAGAAAGCAATGAGATGTGGAGTTATTAAGGAACACTGAAACATTACAAGTGTAAAAACAGATGGAGCTAGACTTCTTGAAAAACTCTTAAAGAGAAAAAAAAAAAAGCAATGCTTATATTGTGATGCTGTGACTAATGCTAATGCTAATCAGATATAGGCACTCCTCCTCCCTGGCCCCACATACATGCTCATTTTAATTTCTCAATAGCAGCAGAGCTTCCCCAAGTCCAAAAGACCTCTTAGGTTTCCTTGGGGTGAAAACATGAGGCAAACCCAAAGAGCAAATATACAGGGTAACAAGTTATGCCTAATACCACTTAAGAAAACATGCAATTTAAAGTATTTGATGTATTTTGTAGGAGCATTCATGAGAAAGACACATGTCCTTCTAGATTTGGCAACACAAAGGCAATTGTGTAAACAGATACAAAAATCAATGACACAACCTATTCATTATTTCTTTGAGATACAGTGAAATCATTGATCTAGTTTAGTAAAATCATTTTCTTTTCCAATGGACATTAACATTTATTTCCAAGAGAATGTTCATAATTCTAATTAGAGCTCAGATTGCAGTGTCTCACTCTGTCCTGTGCTCCTAGAAGGTGGGCACTTCTCCCAGCTGGATAGACTCTGGAGTACCAAATGGGTGGCTGTCAAATATACCTCAGTATACTTGAAGAGATCTCTGCTTTGACAGACAGGAGGATTTCTTCTCATTTCTCCAGTGAGAAGAAAGAGACTGGACATATTTTACTTACTTTCTGCTCTTGTATTTGGGCCTTCACAACTTTGAATTCAGCAGATGGCGGCTTTTGATTAGCCACAAGTTCTTCTGTATCAATGAGCCAACTAAGCAGAGATTCAAGGGCATCCTGAAATCTCCCGCAGTGAAGGAGGGCTTCCTGCAGTTGTGCTGCACGTTGGGCCACCTGAAAGAAAGTAGAGCATCTGACTGCACTTTTTTTTTCATTTGCTTAATGACATGGCAATATCATTACCATGTACACTCACTTTCATAGGTTTTTGTAACAGCACTATTGCACAATTTACCATTAATCTCTGCAGTCATCCACCAAAAAGAGGTTGACTGAGTAAACGAGTCTGCTCTAGTAGTCCATTACAAGAGACACTCCTGTTTCATTTAGCTACAGTAACATGAATTACACTGACAGGATGTTTGTATTTCTTATGCTCTTCATTTTCCTTACAAGAAGACTGAGCCAGGAATCCTGAGAAGCAATTGAGGGGCAATAACGCCTTCAAAGGAAAAAAGACATAGGAAAGGATAGGACAAATAGGTGAATCACAAGTGTCAGTGGCTCTGCTGCATCACTCCTTTGGGAACACAGAGATCAGCAGAAACTGAACGCTATTTGGATTTCCCATCCCTGCCATTTTCAACAGCAACTACTTCAGGAAGATAAGCCTTTAAAGCATAGGAAAAAAAAAAAATCTACAGCAGAGTTTTCCAAAGCAGTAGCACCTTCCAAACTTTCAGGCAACACTTAAGGTACTTACTATAAAGGAAATGTGCCACTAGCCACACTAAGCTGGGTTGAATCACTGTGTCCTGCACTGAGCATGTATAGCCAGTGTACACAAATATAACAGTGAAGAAATGTGAAAAAATACCAAAAAGGGAGTGTTCCAAAGCAGCTGACTACAAATGACATTGCTACCTTTCCCATGTGAGTGTCATAACTCTTGCCTCTTTCACTGAGTTATCAAACTTCTCTGTTCTGCTGAAGCAGAAAGGAATACAGAGCCCTGGAGGAGTCTTTCCTCAATGAAAAGCCATGAGAAACCTACAGAGTTTGACAGAACTTTATAATGACAGCTAATATCTCCAGCAACTAGCGATATAAATCTTATCCTTAGAATTACTACTGAAGTTATTGTATAAAATAACATAACTGAATATTTAATTTCCTGTGTTTTGAAAGAAGTTTAAATAAGTAAGGAAAACATAGGACATGACAAAAGCAAAAGAGCATACAAAATAATAACCTTCTTATTAAGAGTTTTCCACCGGGTGTTAACATCTTCAAGGTCATGTTCAAGGCTTTCTGTGTTGGTGCTTTTAGCAGCACTTTGAATAAGGCCTTGACCCAACCAGTTCACCTCCTGTTGTTTAACCTGCAGGGGCTCGATTTCTTCTTTCTGGAATACCTGCAGTTGGAAAACCAGGACACACATGAAAAATAGAATTCACCTTGTGCATCACACTATGTAAAAATAATACATATGTATATATGTATGTGCTGAACTTCCTGACTGATAAAGAAAGGAAAACCATTCCTTACCAGAACCTTCCTTAAAACAAACAAACAAACAAACAAACAAACAAACGACATGAAAGACTTCATCTAAACAAAATAAATGCAGTACACCACTGAGGTAGGATGATGTACATTTCCATCAGTAGCTCTAAACAGGAAGAAAGGGGAGAAAGCAAGGGAGGGAGAAGATCTTCACAACTAGGAAAAATACGAAGACCAGAGGAATGCATCTATCTGTTCAATTATCTGTCTATAAACTATACCAAAAAAAAAAAAAAAAAGGCACAGAAGGACTGTAAGTTATCCTTACATAAACAAGCAAACACCAAGACAGACAACTGGGCATTTTTTGCCAAGTTAGGAAAAAAGTAAAACTTTCAAGTTAAAGAAACAGAGAAGAAAAAATGATTTTAAGGGAGGTTTTATGAGAATATAAGCATAATAAAATGAGGAAGCAGTACAGATGTTCCTGAAAAATCGTCACAGAGGACACCCATGAGAATGGTTTTAATTCAGAAACATTCTTGCAAATCACCAGGGCTTTGACAGTGCCCAAACAATTTGAACAGTTTTCTGTTTGCTTTATTTTACTTTTTCAGGTACTTGAGGCTTTTCAGAGCCAGATTATTACCATTAGCAACAGCAATGTAAATCACCACTTGTATTCAACTGAATGAGGCTGAAACGAAACCAGTGTCAATGAGATCAGAAAATGGCCCAAAGCCCCTGAATTAATTACACAGGCCAGTGAAAAATAACCAATGAATAAACAATGCTAAAGAATGCTCAACTTTTGACCCTAAATCCTTCTATTTCTATAGCAGCATTCAGTAACAGTTTTGGTGTACATTTAGAGCGTTCAAAGCAACCTTTCTCAGCATTCTGAAAAGGAATCACTTCAAACATACCAATGACTCCTCTTTTGCACGGAACACAGTATGGCAAGTGATTTCTTTGCAAGCAGCAGCCCTCAGGTGGCTGAGCACACTTCCAGGAGCTTGACAAGTCAATCTAGAAGCTAGGGCAAAGCTACACCAAGCAAGGGGGGAGAAGAAAGGGGGTGTAAAATCAACTAAGCATCCATAAGAATTTTGTTATTATGGACAAAAAAGAAAAAGCCCTGAAAACTCTAGGACTGTGGTTACATGAAAACTTACAGCATGCAACCAGCTGGCTGCTCCCAGAAAAGGGAAAACGTTCCTATTTTTCTTTACTTAAGAGAGAAGGCAAAATAATCTTTTTATACTGAACCAACAACAAATTCTTTTATGTCCCATAAAGCCTCATCTTTTGAAAGCCATGTCCTGCCACAAAGGACTGATCTCCATAACCTGCCCCTTAAAAAGACAAGCGTTCTTTGCAAAGAGAAGCTTAAAATAAATTACAATTACTGCTGAGGCCAAAGTTTACCCAAACAACTTAGCAACAAAGCTTCAAGTATCTCAGATTTCAACCAGAGAGGGAAGAAAGAAATTACAGACGTGATAAACACCCTTTCCTTATTACAAAGCTCCTACGTTACCCACCACTCTGAGAGCACTGTAAGACCCAGTGCCTCTAAAACACAGCCATGCCGTCAGATCTACTTTCAGGCACGCAAATGCAAAGGAAGGCTTTCAGAACATGCAGTGAGCCTTTAATCTACGTGCCTTGGAAACCACAACAATCTGATACTGTTGCTTATACCTTTATGAGTAAGGCAGTTCAGCCCTGAATAAATGGGCTGTAGCTGCCCTTGAATGGCATTGCCTTTAACCACAATCTGTGTAAGAACTGAACAACTGAACACGAACATCAGTGCACAGTGAGGCTCTCCAAATTGAGAGTAACAGACACCATCTGGACAATAAATAACCATGCACTGAACAGCTGGAAATAATCACCCCTGTTAGAAATTGCCCCTCATTCATTTTCCAAACTGACCACCACACCTATTTGGGACATCTCATGTGTGCTGCACAAGTGTCTCTGACCACTACATCTGCTGAATTAATAAAACACAAAGCGTTTCCAACAAGAGTCAAGTGTAAAAGAAGATTATAAGCAAGTTTGTTTAAGGTTACATTACAACTATTTCACAAATGGATTTTTTTTAATTACCTTATTAGACAATAGGCCATTGCAGACTGTATCTAAGGTTTCTTGTATGCCTGTAGCCCAGATATTGCTTTCACTTCTCTCTGGGATAGCTTTTGGACAGTTTACAGTGCAATCTAATTCAAGCTGCTGAACAGAAAATGTCATTTCATTTGAGCCTGCATCTGTTATACTCGAATCCCCTGGATCAGATAAAATCTCATATTTTGCTAAATCCATGTGACTATTATTTACAGCAACGTTCATACAGTAACCATCTAATTGAGGAGGAGTACCATCCACATCATTCCCCTCCACTGTTGTGACTTGCGTTTGAATTTTTCCACGTATGTCATAGCCATTTTCCACTCCATTTTCACTCAGGGAAATGCTTCCTCCATCACCTTGAAGAGGATGGCCATGTGTCAGAGTTTCCTTTCTGAAACTTTCTAAGTAAGTGTATTTTCCACCCATCTCTTCCTGGTCACTCTCACATTTCTGTGAATTGCTTTGTTTGACTTTTCCAGAGGGCACAATGTCACATGAAGTCAGCCTGCAGCTCTCTCTGACAAAAACACTGCTGCTTGCAAGCACTGGGGCTTGCTGCTCTCTGCAAAGAGCTGGAAAGAATGGGCTGAGCTGACCTACTGCCTGGATGTCTTCTGCAGAAGATAAAGTCTGTGCCTGCATTCGCTCCCCTGCTAAGAGCGTATCTTGTTTTTCTTCCCTTTCTGTTGGAGGGCTGCACAAACCAGAATCATCTTCTTCTGAGGTCAGAGAATTCGTACCCCACTTGCATTTGCCTGATTTAGCTGTATCTGACAGGTCACCGGTTTCACTGAATGAGCACTCACTTTTATTTGTGTAATCTGAAAAGTTGGGCGGGACAAACATTCTCCATGACCGCCTGTGCTCCTTTTTCTCTGCGTGAGACTTCGTTTTGGGCAATCCCCCTGTTCGAATGACATCGCCGTTCAGCTTGAGAGCATCAAAGATCATTTTCTCATCTAACTTCTTGGCCTCACGGCTTCGGAGCTCAAAAGCACTGGAGGACGTCAGGGCACCATTGGAGCACAGAGTGCCGATATCCAGTGTTCGGTGACTGTAGGGTAAGGTCCGGTCCGTGAAGTGTCTGGAGGAGAGGCTGCCCTTCGATCCTGAATCGATTTGCTCATTGAGCCGCACGGTGTCATAGATGGACCTCTGGGGGACGTAACAGTCCTCAATGTTCAGGTCTTCATCCTCTTCTCCTTTGCCCACACACGGAGGATTCTGACGTAAACAGTCCGGCCTGCTAAGTGGCTTCCCCATTTTGCAAGGATTGACACAAGATGCTACGATCCTTCTGCTTTCAGAAAGGAGGGAAACATTTAGAAAACACTGTCTGTCTAAAAAACTACAGTAAACTTGCCCTCAGCACAGGATGCATAGATATAAAACATACATGATAACTTATGAGGTGGTTAAGGTTGTCATCAGTGCATTGGTTTAAATGCAGTTTTACCTGGATGTGTTACTGGTAGTTTGTTGGTTTTTTTTTTTCTTTTTCCCTTGAAAACATAAAGTGCTTGAGTGAGAAAGGAACAGAAACCTTCCAATATCACAGGGAAACCGAGTATAGCAAAAACCAGCAGTGGCTTAAATGTTTAAAACCCTCCATGGAAGGCCGCTCTTATTTCTTCAGGTCAGAATGCGTATCTTAAATCTGCAGATTAAGCCTTCCAATTGAGCGAGCATTACCGAAGGCAGCACATTATCTCTTGGAGGTGACTGATTAGCTGTAATCCATTTAGCTGGGTCCAAGAATTCCATCTCCTTTATAAATAAAGCATCGTACCAGAGCTCGGGAAGGCAGACCCCCGGTGCCTGCGCACGGCTCAGACCAAGGCACTGAGAAAATCTTGGGGGAGAAACAAGTTAAATCCAAAGCACGAAGAATAAAACAGCCCTTCGCTTCTTTGGCAGTAGCTATCAACAACCTCGACCCGAGCAGCAGCTTACTCCCTCCTCGTCCCAAGCTCTTCACGAGTTCCATAGGTAAACATAGTTTCCTACGATCCCAGCCGACTCAGCCGTTATTTCCCCCGCTTCAGGTTCCAGGCGGCCGGCCCGGCGCTTTCCTCGCTCCGTTCTGGAGAGCCGCACTCCCGTTTAAGGCAGCCGCTGCGAAACACAACCGCGGCGTCCCCCGCGAAGGCACGGCGGCTTCGGCTCGGCGCGGTCTGGGCCGGTCCCGGCTGCAGACGGCGGCTGGCACGGCGCTCCCGGCTCCTCCCCGGCCGAACGAGAAGGCGAGGAAAAAGCGATCCGGCCGCGCACGCCGGCGGGTAGCATCCAGCCAAGTCGATAAGCTCGCTCGGCTTCCCGCGAGCTGACGGGCGTCCTCCCAGCGCCGAGCTGGAAGGAACGCCCTTTCTCATTCTTCAGGCAACATCTGCTACCGCCACCCACCCCGCCCGGCCTCCGCGCACCGCTCGGCCGCGGTGGGAGGAGGTGCCCGGCCCCTGCTGCTCGCTGCCCCCCGCAGGGCGGCCTCGGCGCTGCGGCCGGGCCGGGACAAGGCAGGGCGGGGGCGCGGGCAGCGGAGGGGCCCGGCGAAGTGCAACCAACGCCGCTCGAACCGGCTCGTTTTCCGTTTTGGGGAGCCAACGTGCTCAGCTTGAGACCCAAGGATCATTTGTTGGCGGTACACTAGAAGCAATCTGTTCAGCGACATAAATTAACCCGTAATGAACGGAGACCTCCGCCGCCTGAGTGAGCGGAGCTGTCAGCACAGCGACAACGCAGCCCCCGGTGTAAGGACAGCATATGGCACTCAGTGTCGTAACTTAGCCAGGGCATTAACTACAGAGAGCTGAAGCTCTCCCAGTTCGGCAGTGAGCAGGAGAGGCTTCATGCAGGAAATACGAAAGCACCACACTGTTTGTTTGCTCGCTGCTTTGATACAGTCAGCTAACGTATTAAAATATTTAAGTCACGTGAGGCAAATTCTCCCTTCTCACGTATTCTGCCTGCTCCTTCGAGCAGCCAAAACATTGTAAATTATGCCAAACAGAAACTCAGCTCTGGCTTCTCAAGCTAAGAACACGTTCTACACCAGTCAAAGGGGGGTAAAGCATTTTTGAGATCCTGCCATCTGTGCTTATTCCCAGCCATACCAGTCACAAGCAGGTCCTCACTGAATGCAGAGGGTGCTCTGTCATGTTATTGGGTCAGCATGTGCCTGCAACAGGTCCATATCTGTTACACTACAAAATGATTTTATTCACATTTAAAAAGGTATTTTACCATTTTTTAAACATATTCTCTGAAGGCTTTCACATGCAGCAGTCACTTTCAAAAGCAATAGTTCACAAAAGCTCTTTAAGTATGCTTTCTAACATCGTCCCTAACCGTAGTAAAACCTGTAGAAAGTTGGTACCTATCAGGGTGTTTTTGGGAAGTGCAATACTTTCCATTTCTTATTTGAGCATATAGAGAAACCTCTGATTATTTTCTCAACATTATCTCCACTCAAAGTGAAAACTGGAGGACAGACACTCTACACAACCAGCATAAACCAATTGAACTCTTAGTTCAAGCTAATTGGTAGGAATACTCAGGCTAGCTAAAAAATCCTATAGAGTCTAGTTAGAAGACAACAACTTTTAACAACCTCTTTTATTTTGAAAATAGAAGCCCAAAACGAATGAACTACATACTGATGAAATCTCTAACAGTTCTATGTAGCTTTTGATAAGAAGAACTTCTACGGTATTAAAATAATTGAACAAAGGTTACAAGAAAGAAAGCAATTCAGTTTCTGGGGTTTTTCTCTTTCCCAGAGAACCTAGCTGCAAATACTGCTCCAAGTGCAAACATCCTGGCACTACGTGGCTACACAAACAGAGGGCTCTGTTTTTTCTGTAGAATTATCTGCATTTCACTTTTCAAGTAAGGAGACAGAATCAGTGTAATCAAACACATCTCATCTACTGAAATTTTCCTTCATACCAATATATGCATTCCATAAAGTCTTTGGGGAGGAGAATGTCTAACAAAGCTGAATTAATTTGTAATTAATTTTGTGTGTTTTACATTAATTGAGACAAATTCTTCATGTGATTATACTCTTCCTGGTGTACTTTGTGAAGTAACAGTCAAATGAAGCCTATTTGCAAATGAACTCCACTGGAGATTTTTCTTGACGGAAAGCAAGTTTTATATCTGCATTGTAAATAAATACATTCTAACACTGGCAGTAAGTACCTTCAATTTAATACTTTATCCTGACTGGCAAAAGTGCATCACAAAGAAGTAATATAAATAAAACAAGTATGTATGCGTGCTTATAACTATATACATACATAATATACAACTCAAAGTCTGTTTATTTTTTTTTAAATAACTGTGCATTTTCATGTCATGCCAAGAAAGCTCTACTCTTCCACATAAAAACTGGTCCAACCACAAAAACCACCTCTGGCCCATAGCACAAGATTCTTCCCCAAAGAGAATGAAGATACCAGTGAATAAATCTATCTACAAAGAACATTTTGCTTTACTCCTGATGAACAGAAGTTGATTGTGCTTGACAGCAGAAGCTAAGGACATAAGGGGTTAGACTGTGGTTTTGTGGCCAAAGCCACATTTTCAGGTTGTGTGTGTGTTTGTGTGCACGCACAAACCTGCGAGCAAAGCACCATGAGTGGAGCAGGACTGTTGGGAGCCAGTCTCTCCACAGTGTGCTGCCTCAGGTAAAACTGCTCTCTGGAAGGAGCTGGAGTATGAAGAGGTACACCTACTGTAATTTTGTCACCATGCACACCAGCAGAACTCACACAGAGTGCTAGGAGAGCAACTTTGGACCCTACCCTCCTCCTTACTGCCTTTACATAACAAATTTTCTTATTCTGTTCTCCCTGCTTACCTACTTCCGTTCTTCCAGTGCTTCCCACTCTGCTTTTTATTACTGCAGTTGCTGTTCACTTCTTTGAATATCCCCTTCACCTTTTCATCATGTTTCACCTCCTGGTTAATGGCACTGTGCTTTCAATCATAAGCAATTCCATGACCTCAAACAGTTGTTTAATGCAAAGCACATTTCTAAGTTTACAAATACCTAAAATAAATGCGATCACAGAGCACACTTCTGCATATAAGCATGCAGGTTTTCTTGTCTTTTTTATCTTCAAGCTCTTTGGTTATGGAGACACTATGTTCCTACATAGACCAGCCAAGGATCTCATTCCTGATGTTTGCAATTGCTGGATATCTTATTCACCAGCCTTACAAAAGACAGCACTGACACCATGCATAGGAAACAGCACTAGCTATGCTGTTTTCCCATTTCTAAGGTGCTCTGTTATTTACAAAGACATTTGTTTCCCTTTTATATAAAGGTAGACTTGTTGTGACAGATTGACATACAATTTTAATCCTGACAATCTAATGGAATCTCCTTGTAATGTAACCATTTGTTCCAGATTTTTGTCTCTATTTATACACTCTAAAAGATCACTCTCACTGATAGTAACTTTCAGCTGAAACGGCGCTGAAGTTTCAATGTTCGGTTTTCCACTCCGACGTGGGTTAGTCTAAACAAGCAAAAAGCACCCTCTGTTGGGCCAAGCATGTCATTACTTCTTTTACACGGTTGTCTTTCTGATCTTTCTGATTTGATAAATCATATTATGGAAGCTTGTTTTATGATTAACTGCAAACTAATTTCCAAGCCACAAAAACATCTGAATTGATATTAGATTGGAATGAATCCAAAGCAGCACATAATATGGAGAGCTACTGTGCAGCCATTAGGAGATTTACGATCTTTTTCAAACACTGCTTACTCCTGTGTAATTTATAAATCTTTCCAGTGAGCACTGGAAATTCATCTTTGTAGCTAAAATATGCCAAGATCTGTGCTTCATTTCAGCACCAAAGCATAATAACAATTTACACCCAGTATCGCTGCAAGGTACCTTGTTCAAAATAGATAAAAGGCATATGGGTAGAACAGAAACAAGACTTCTCCAGGATCTGCATTTAACCATTTACACACTGATACTGAATAAAGTTGTGTTGTGGTAAAATGAGTGACAGCGGTAAGAAAGAAACGTTCCTACCTTGAATGTATTCAGCTGCTGATTAATAGTTTCTGTTTCCATTCCAACAGGACCTTGTGATTCTTCATGTTCTTCAGCTCTCCCAAGCAGACTGGAAAATTCTTTTAGCTTACTGTAAAACTCCTCGACACGGTTAATTGTACCTTCCACTTGATCTTCCCTGGCTTTTGCTCTGTCTAGTAGTTTCTTGCACTGTTTATTTAATGCTTCCAAGTCCCGTTTTATACCAACAAGATCAGGAGAAGCTTCAGCTTCTGTGGCTAGCATCATTTTACAATTTTTATTAGCATTTTCATTATTCATTATAAGATCTTCCAACTTTTTCAGGAAGTGTTTTATATCCTCCCTCTGTGATTGCAGTACACCAAGATCTCTTCCCACCGGAGCCATGCTATCAAGTTCATCATCAAACTCTGCAAACTGAGAGAACATCTCTCTGATGCTGTTTTGGAAATGACCAATTCCTTGAAGTTTTGTTTCCAAGAAGGAGCACCTATCTTCAACCTGCTGGTTCACTGCAGTGTATTCTTTCTCCAAAGATTCAGCTTGAAGCAAAAGGTCAGAAACACCTGCTGAATCAGAAGCTTCTACTACCAGGTCTTGGGCAAGCTTTCTTACTAAATCAACATGAGGCCTTAAAGCCTGTAAAGCCTTCTGCTGGGCCTGCATCATTGTCAGGTGTTTGTTACTGAAAGACTGAGGTCCAAGCGAATCGTGAGCTTCCAGGTGCTCTTTGGCACTTTGAAGCTGCTTTTCTGTTTCCCTGGATGATTCCTGAAACTCTTTTAGCCTTTGTGCCATATTTTCCAAGCACTCTCTCTTCTTATGTAATTGTTCTGTGACCATACTCACTTTCTCATTCAGCACCTTAGTTTCTTCTTTAATGATTTCTTTATCTGTTTGGCTTGCACTGAGCAAACTTTCAGCAGTATTATTTAGTAGCTCCACTATTCCATGGTGTTTATCCAGATCCTTCTGCCAGGCCCTCACCTGAACAACAGAATTTTCTATTTCAACAGGGTTTATGCTGACTTTTAATCCAGACAGGTTGCTTTGGCATTTTTCTATCCACGGCTGCAAATTTTCTACGTGCTGCTTGTATGTGAGTGCTTTCTCCAGACAATCTGTTAATTTACCTTGCCTTTCTTTTATCTGCTTATCCATTTCATCCCAATTACTTCTGAGTGTGGCAATTTGAGCCTGTAAAGCTGCTTTATCAGCTCCTTGAGTCTTCTGTAATATACTTTCTCCTTCTGCAACAATTTTTTCATATGAACTAATCTCATTGGTCAGGGTCTTCATAAAATCTTTCTGTTCTTCAATTAGGGACTGCAAGGTCTCAAGTTTGGCTGATATAGGGCGAGCCTGCTTCAGCTCTTCTTTCTTTCCATCTAGCCAGGCCTGAAAGTCCTTAGATCTTTGCTGGAACTGATGAGAAGTGGTATATGCTGACTGAAGCTGCTGAACATGATTATCTACAGATAAGACAGCATAGAGGCTTATTATCAGAAACAGCTAGTATTCAACGAAGAAATAATAATTAATACTGATTTTATTATGAATGTTCATTAGCGGGTGGAAGGCAGGCTCTCAGCGTTTAACTTCAAAGCAATAAAGTCTCTTGCAAGGGATAGTTTTGTATCTGTGCTACAGTGTAGCAACAAAGGCATCTGGGCATGAATCAAGTCAGGTGAGCTTAGCTAGATCGTGTCTACCCAAGTCCTATTCAGGCAACACAACTGCAGTTGTGTTTCATGATACTATAAAGTGAACACACAGAGAAAATCAAGCAGTATGGCCTAGTAGTGCCTAACTCATGGCCTGAAGGTGCTATTTGTTTTTAGGGAGATCCTTTGAAGTTCCTTGTGACCTGAGGAAATTAAAAAGCTTAGGCAGCTTGGGAGAAAAAAATATAATATTGCTTGCACTCTATTTCTCATTCAGTTCTGTTGTTCACAGAATAGAAAATGCTGCACACAACCAACGCAGTTCTGCCACAGGCAGTTTTATATAATTACCACTACCTTTTGTCAAGCCGTTCACTGGTGCTTGCCTAAAAATTACAATTTTAGCTGATTCTGTGCACCTATGCAGTAAGTAGTTCAGTGAACAGCATCTATTTTAGTATCCTAACTGAGTAAGGATGTACCTCAAGGCAAAGATGAGGAGAGCAACATTTTCATTATTTTAAACTCTTGCCATAACTGCTGGCTAGGGATCTGAAGTATTGTGTCAACAAAGGAACAAATCAACAGAAACAGTTGTATATGGTGACATATCATTTCTGCCTTTTCAAAGCATGGAGACATTCTCCTAAGTTCTAACATACTTCTGGACTGATAGCTAGTATTAGAGTCAGCTCACTCAACATCTTACTACTGACATTAAAGACAAATGTTAAAATGACGCTTTATTTTATGCCCTAATTATTTTCCTTTTAAAACAAATACTAACCTGATTTTTGCTCAATATCCTTAAATGATTTGAGGATACCATCTAACTGCCTTGTAAGTTCTGCTTTCAAATACTCTTCTCCAACCAGTGTTGAGAGCTCTTCACAAAGAACTTGAGCTGCATTTATACTCTTCATTTCCTGTTCTATTTCCTTCTTCATTTCTTTAGCAATCTCCAGTTGTTGTTTCACAGCATCAGGTTGTGTACTCACAGCCAGGCTGCTGCTCAGTTTGCTATCCAAGGCACTTAGCTTATCAGACAGACTTCTGAGTAGGCTTTGATACTCCGTGCTTTTCACTATAGCTTGATCAATTCGGTCACATCTGTTACTCAGTTGGCCAGTTAGGTTGTCCCATTTTTGTGCCACAGCTGCCAGCTGCTCTTTTACAATGTCATGTGAGGGGGGGATGTTCACCAGGTCTCTTCAGAATCCCCTCACCAGCCACAGTTAGCTGCTCATATTGTGGCTTTCTGGTGTCAAACTCTTGGAGCAGAATCTGAGAATAAAGAAAATTTTAAGAACTTATTTCATGAAAAAGAAGCAAAACGCTTCTGACAAAAACTCTGTAGAATTTGTTGTAGCTAAGCTCCCTTACAGAATTAATCTGAGTATAAAAAAGCCAGTGAAATAACTGCATCTTCTACACATCTAGTGAATGTTGTTTCCAAGTGTTTCCATCAAAGAACTAAAAACTCTATGTTAATTTGCACATCATCTAATGGAAACTGAATCAGGAGATACACATAAACAATGATTTTTTTTAATATTACCATAATTAAGTAATTGTACCAAGTAAAATAATCACTGTTTAGATTCAAGAAGTGTCTTGTTTCCTAGACAGTTTTGATATTTGTCTGAAGACAGAACTTCAAAGAAGGTGCACTGTGACATACTATTGCAGTGGATCCTTACACTACAGAGAATATTTGGATAATTCACAAAATGTCTGACTGTGTACTGTAAGACCTTTAAAGTTTACATCACTGGTTCCTAGTATTTTATTTTTTGACAAGTCAGAAGTGCGTGCAGAAGGGACAAATATCACGGTCTTAGTTTACGGAGTGTTCCAAACCCTTTCTTTTAAGTCAATGAGGTTTAACTTCTGAGGATTGTTAAGTAATACATGATAATCTTATGTCAGCTTTCTAAGTTTCTGAAGCATTTACAAAACACTTTTAAGTCATTTTCACATAGTATTAGAAAACATTTCATGTTTTAAACAGTTTGTTTTAATCAATATGGATATACCAACTTGAATATTGTTTTTTTTTAAAATAAGAATGTCATTTCTCACCACATTCAAAATCAACTGGCAGCAATATAAATATTTGAAATTAAAATTTATAGTTGCTGCAACTAATTCAACGTTTGTTTATTTTTTCTGTGGTTTGCTGTTTCTGTAAACGAACTACTCTACTTTATATTTTTCTTCTATTTTTCACACTTGTGGTTCCATATCTACTCACAATACTACATTTCAGTTGTTTCTTTTTACTCTTTTTTTTTGTTTTATTAGCTACTGGTGCAGTCAAGAGAACAAAATTTCAAAAAGCCAGCTCTACATCACAGACTGCATTTGAGGACCGACCACAAAATATTACATACACACACAAATTAATAAAACTTCCCAGGAATGCTTTCATTAGACAACAGAGAAATCACAGGATGGTTAAAAAAGAAAATACATCTGAGGATCAGTAACTTCTCAAAGGTAAGTCCTGACTATTTTTTCCTGTAGCTGTTCTGATCTTTCTTCAGTCTCCCAGCAATTTTTTCTTGTAGTCACTGTAGTCAGGTATGAATCAAGCTGATACTTACTGATAAGCAAATGTAAAAAAAGAAACAAACAAAACACAAGAACCCACACCCCACAAACAAACAAACAAAAACACAGAATAAACTGAAATCATTGATGCGTGTTGGCTATCCTTACTCACCTGAACCTGTTGCTTTTGTGTATTCAGCATATTGGGGTCAATTGATAGTGGTCCCAGCACACTGACCATTAGCTCCTTTTCTACAAGCCAGTGCTTTAACTGAGCTTCTGCTGTCTGGAACTGGGTCAGGTAATTTGAAGACTCTTCCAGTTTTTGCTGTCTCTCAGATGTAACTTGATTGAGCTCTTTCCACTTGGAGTCTAACAATATAATGTTGACATATTGCATGCATGTTTTAGCAGATGGGCTGCCAGACAGCAGACTATATACAAAACATAAACAGAGCTCTCTAATAAGGCTTCTTGCTGATTAACTCCAGATGCCTTATTGCAGTGATGCAGCAAATTCATCTTCTAGCAGTCAGAACCATATACATTTGGATAAAGGTCTGCAGTTCAACACTGCCACATGCAGCATTTTTAGAACGATGAATATGGAGCATGCAGTAAAATTAGATGACAGTTATTACTAGATGAAATGCCACCAAATTTAGCCTTTGATTTGAAAAGACATAAAAACCAAAAGGCTGTACTCTCACCTACAACTTAGGTACCTGATCTAGGTTGATTATCCTTCCTTTTTAGTGATATAAAGAAAAAGATACCTTTCCAAGGCTGAGCATAAAACTTAATTTAGGCTTCTGCTCTAAATTGCCCTCTGAAAGAGCACATCTCTTTCAAATAGCTGCACTGGGAGCCTGTGGAGAATAACTGCTTAATTTAGACTTCCAAACCAGGTACCTATGACAGGCAATGAGGATACTTCTTTGTAGATATTTCAAGAGCAGAGTGTGAACTTAAGTTTACCTAGGTCAAACTGTGAGCTCTTCCACTTGTAGCAAGTGGCTTCCAGAGCAGCCATTGAGTCTCATGCCTTGGAACTTCTCACCTCACTTTATGATATTGCCAGTGCTTGCTGACTCAGCTTTGATGTTTTGCTAACAGTGTCTCTGAACTGTGTGTGTGTTATTTTCATTTTCTTGTGCCATTTCACTGTCTGTGATCCTTGTTCATTCTGTATTAGTTTCCTTTCAAAAGCTCATGACAATTACACACTGATTTATCTCAAAATCTATTGTACACACATGATCATTTCCCTTTTTTTTTTTTTTTTTTTTAATGGCAAAATTTATGAAGTCAGCTTTAGAAAATGGCAAAAAAAAACCCCAAAAAATAACAAAAAGCCAAAAAATCGCTACTAGGTGCATGGGAACAAAAGCATGCAGAAGAACATTTTCAACAACTCGAAGTGTTTTTAAATGAAAACTGCTGTGACTTCTTTTGTTAGTACCACACTTTGTAACTGGGCCATACACTGCCTGAAAAAGAGAAATCCCTATAAGACATGGATTCGAGGTGTACCTTGCTTAGCTATATTTCACCTATATAAATTCAAAGATGGCCAATTTCAGTGGAGTTATTCCAAATCTATCCTCTTGAAATGGGAGTTACTTCCATAGAAGGCATAGGAGATAGTAAGATAATAAAAGAACTAATTATTGCTACAACATAAAAAGACTAGTAAGAAAATGACTTCCAAATGAGTCTGTGTTCTGTGAATTTACTCAAGTACCTATTTTATCCAACACTTGTCTCCACTTAGGTGCTTCAGGAGAGTTGGGGTTCTTCTCCAATAGCTCTGTCACTTTGTCCTTCAGTTCCTGCACTTTATTCTCACTTTGCTTTAATTCAGTTTCAAATAGCTGCAAAATCAAGCAGTAAAAAAAAAAAAGAGAGATTAAAGATGAACTGAAAGTTATTTTTGAAGTCCGTGATACTGAGATACCAAGCATGAAAATAAACCACAGATGTCTAGTGCTTACATACTGCTTTTCTGCTATGAGTGTAGAAATCCTTTCTAATGGCACACATTGGCTCTTCATGTTCTTCGGAATAAATGACCTGATCTATATAGATTATGTTAATAATATTACTGTTTAGTTTGAATGAGTGACAGAATTAGAAGAATTCAAACAGATAAGACCCATTAGGTCTCATCATATACATGGTTAAAATCTGCTCTTGCAGAGAATGCCAACTGACTAATGCATGGTAAAGTTCAAAGCAGAAACACTCCAACTAGGCATCCATACAGAGCAGCTCACTGAAAGTTTTGCTGTCACAGATCTACTGCTAGAACAGCACTAAGAGAGCACCATAGCTTAAGAGCAAACCTAGCAGTAGGACTGAGATGTCCCAGCAGTTCCTTAAGAACACTTCATGCAGTTCTTACAGATGGAAGTGAATGCCTGGCGAAGGTCACTTATATGAACATAGAACTGCTAGACTTAGCACTGCGGAGTTGCATTTTAGCTATCCCTAAAAAATCCCATTCAAAAACACTGAACAAATCTGTGCTTAATTTAGAACTCTAAGGAAAAGGTCCAATTGCATCAAAAGGATGTCTCTTGCTGAATCACTCAGTTTTCCAATTGACTATGAATACTCTTCTATTACCACAGTGGAGTAAGGTGGTCTTGTAAGCCTTGAATAGCCTTTATTACAAATAAAGGAGCAACGGTTTTTCTACTTACAGTATGAGTTTTAGGGCTGAAATGTTGCCAAGTTTGAGGAACATCAAACTCAAGGAAAATCAGTAGCAATTCAGGTTCATTTTTGAGGGTGGACAAGCAAGTATAAAAAAATATACCTCAGCTTCATCAAATTCTGTCCTTATTTACCCACAATTACAGACAAGGAAAGAAGTTTTCCCTTCAACAGCTACCTATTACATTTCACTTTATAGACAAACATTTACATATAGAAATACTGTCTTTCACTGCTACAAGCACATATTTCTAATGCTCAAACTGGTCAGAAGCTTCCAGCTGATTTAGTGGTTTTCTCATATCAGTTAAAAGGGGAGCAGGAGATTTTTGTGCAGCTGTATGATTTAGCATGCATGGCTTGGTTGCTGAAGAGAAATGCTGCCTTGGAACAGACCTAGGCCTCTGCAGCTGCAGAATCCAGGAGATCTGTGGAGTGTCAGGGAATCAGAAGCTGCAGAAACAGCTTTTGGACAGATAGACACGTAATCTTATCCACAATCCAGTAAACATATCTAAATCACTACAGATATCAAAAAAGTACATTGCATAATCAATATACTCTTACCTATCTAAATTGAACATCACAATTATTATTATTTTTTACGAACAAAATTCCTTCTCTTTGACCCAGCATTTCTTTTACTCCACTGACAAAGTCTGCCAGATTTTCTCAAAGCTTGACTGGCATGTTTACTGGGATCATTAAAATGCTCTCCGCAACATTAAATTATGCTGAGATATGAACTGTTCAAATGGAATTGCCCCAATAATCGCAATAAAGAATATTTTTTAAAGACACATAAGTACCTTATGTTGCTCAACTTGGGCTTTAACAGCTTCACTGTCAGTTGGAGCAGCTTCCCAATCTGATGCAGTTTTGTCCATTTTTTGTAACCACTGCATCACTGAAGTTGATTCTTCTTGAATGTTTTGCATTTTTGAAAGCATACTTTCTAGTTCTGAAATCTTCTTCTTCAAAGAAACTCCCAAATCTTCGTAACTATGATTTACATCAGACATGGCTTGTTGAACACTTGTCAGTTCTGTAAGAGGAGAGATGAACAAAGACTATAGTAGAGACCACGTGTACTTCAAACAGTACTTAGAATTCAAGAATTTCTAAACAGTACTCTGCTTTACACCAGCTAATAGTCCCTCAAGGCAAAAGCTTCTGAACATGTTAGGAGTTAGTTCTTCACTCTAAACGTTCTAACAGTGCATCTGAATGACCTAATATACATTTCTGTTTGTAAGAGCTTTTCTTTTCACAGGAATCATTACTCTAACACAGGCGGGTAGACAAGTATCTTACACTCTTCCTACCTGTTGTTATTTTGGTATTTCAAGCAACTATTTTCAATTCTTCAACAGAAAGTTAAACATACTGGACTGCATTACAGATACCAGTATGATAGCCTAACATCACTACAGTCGTATCCTGCTCATAGGCAAGCAGTGTTATAAAGGTGTGTTATCACTGAGACAGCTTTAGGAGACAGACTGTGTACAAAGCAGACTGTAGTTTAGAAAAACCAACATTGCAGATGTGAGACATGGTACATAAGTTCCTTTGTTTCTGAACAGGAGCTGGGCACACATAGTGATACAAGCATATGAAAAATGAGTGTATTTGTATGTACATGTATGTATGTGTTCATGTCATGTATGTTAACTGGTGTTAAAAAGTTTCATCTCACTACAGAGTAATAATTTTTTCAAAAGCTATATGTTATATTAAAATAGTTATCACTACATTCTTACGTAAGTTCATATTGATTCAGAAAACAAAGATGTGATCTTTTTTCAAAGGAAATACTGAAGGCAGCTCTTTTTAAAATTAATTTTAGTACCATCTTAGTAGTCAATATAATTCCCATATGCAAAGATGATATTAAATTTGTCTAGTAAAGCCTGCTGCAACACGCTGCATGCACCATTTTCAAAATATTTACATGTTGAACAGTAGTTCACAAACACACTTCTTTATCACATCCTGGAATTTTTACTTAGTGATTACTCACCTTTGTTTTTCAGAAAATCGTGAGTTCCTGGAGCTCCTCCTTCACCATTCAACACTGTGCCACCTACTGATCAAGAGGGACTAAGTCATATCCTTACCTGGCCCTTTTCCCACCAAAAGTCCAGCATTACATTTCCTCTTCAGAACAGCGATATATAGTCCTTCTTGTAATATCTGAAGAAACACCTGCATGCTAATCTTGCAATAAATATTTTATTTAGCTTTATATTTCTTAAGGCTGTTTTTTTGTTTTGACCTGCTTCAGCCCACCATAAATGGTATCATATATTCACAGCACATGCATAGTGTACAGGTATGTACATGCATGCACATGTAAGTATGCATACATATGATGTATAAGCAGTCTCACAGCTTACAATACTGTGAATATCATGGACAAAGGTCTTTACCTTAGCAGTGAGGCCTACTTATACCCATATGGCTAACGTCAGTTTCTCCTCCCAGAAAGGAATCTGTTCCCTACTACTTACAGATTTTTTCCCAACCATGTTCATGCTCTGGTGAGTGGCACTGTCTCACATTGAAACTGTGAGGAAACCACTGAACGCTAAGCAGCAAAGAAGACTCAAGTGGTCACTGCAGAAACCATAACCAAAGACACAGCTGATTTAACTCCTTTACCCACTTTCAGCAGTACTGTACCACTGCACGAAACACTCAGGATGTCAACATAACAAATGCCTATCTATCTCATCATGAGCTTCAACATGTTCCATGCTGTTCCAGGGAAGGTGATGTGGAAACCTTATTGTTAATGTGAAGTTCTGTCACTCTCACTAATTGAACAGCATTTCAAAGTCTCTGGATCCAGGGCTGCTTAACCTTTGAGAAATGCTGTCAGACCACAGAACTGGAAGACAAAGTCACTGCATATAGAGCAGCCAGGGAACAACTTCCTGCTCTCCCACACCTATGTATTCTCAGATGGGCAGTTAACAGGGAAAGATTAATGGTTGCCTTGAAGAAGGCTGTGGATCCATCCCACAATACAGCCTGGACAGTGAGGATCACATTAGTGGCAGCCAGAGGATAGCAAGAGAAAATAAACAGATAAGAAAAATCACAGCCCCTAGCTAGAGCCTTGTAAATCTTCATGCTCTATTAGCTGGACTCTGGTATTTACAACTGTGATTAAATGATACACAGTACATCTCTTGTCTAGGTGGGCAAACATTTTTATCTGGATGATTATACCTGCTCCTATATGCTATTTTTCTATTTGTATGTATAGAGGTAGAGAGAAAGGAGCAGAGGAAAAAGCCTAAATATCCTATGTACGGTTCCAAAATGTTCTTTGAAGATTTTTATTCCAAATTCAAACAAGGATGAAACCAGCAATAGCTACTACAAAGAAATACAAAAAAGAAAGTGCTCTCTCTTGCCAAATAGGTATCAACTGGCAGTCCTTGTCCTCCCAGTCTCCTTTGCAAATGACTAATGAAGGCTAATGTATTTGAATTGACAAGGTCTGGAAATAAATTAAAGAAGTGACTGAAAACATGGTTATGGTCATTGAAATGCCTTAGATTCCACATGCTTTAGCTTATGGCTTGAATTAGCAGACTTGCTAGATTTTGTAAAACAGATTAATGTACAGTACAGAAATTTCATGGAAATAGATTTGCTATTTTTAAAAACGTGTTTATAGGTAAATAGGAGTTGGTCAAAAATCCATACTGGAAGCCATTTTGGTCTAGGAATTCCCCACTCTGGAATAAGGAATTGATTCCTTTTCACACTGTTGTTTCAACTAATTTATAAAGTAACATTAATTATGCTGTCATACTGGGATAGCACCACCCTTCTAACAAAAACTCCATGATTGTGCAAACAATTGTGTGCTTGCTTGATGTCACATGGACTAGCTATGAAAAACGTATCCCTGCAAGCAAAAACGTACAGGTATGTTATTGTTTACAAAGGTAAGGTTTATATTTGTCCTACTTGCAGATTTGGAGATATGTAAACACCAATCAGATTAAGTCAGTTTCTCATAATCAAAAATTTCCTAGGATCAAGACTTGTCAGTCACTTACATCAAAATGCTTTTACTCTATTTTGGCAATGTAAAGCAATCAGAATGTGTACAAAATTATTATAACAGTTAGATTTAGCTGAAATGAGAATCACAGCAAACAGTGGTCAGAACAGACATGGCTAACTGATTTCTTCTAAGCCATAATATTCAGAAACTTAGCCAAAGGGTGCAGGCGTTCTTTTTTTTTTTTTCTTAAGGGATTAAAAAACTCCATAAATGTTAGGCTTACCTGATTATATGAGTGCATACCTGATTTTGCAACCGCTCTCAGTTTTGCAGGAGAAGTCACAGCACTAATCAGATTACATAACAGTGTTCCTCTGCTGTTCATTTTCTGCAGCTCAGTTGCTTTTAATGTCCACTCATCTTTTAAATTCTGTTTAAGAAAAATAAACAGTTGTTCATTACAAAACTGAATTCAGACAAAGTGCTTAGTGCTGAGAAAAGAAATGTTACTTGGGAATATCCTGTAGCACTGTATTGGGTTTATCTGGCAAGCCTTGGGTAATATGAGGGCTTTAGGGGAAGCCGCTGGTAGAACAGGCCAGGCATTGCCCCATGTTGGACACAGCCAGTTACAGCCAGCTCCAAGATGTCCCAGACTGAGCCTAATCAGTTTCTGTTATATTTAAGAACAGGGGAACAAAAATGTGCTGCAGCTTTGAGAGGACAGAGTAAGAAAAAAATGCGTGAACCAGACCTGCTGGCACAAAACCCATGGTGTAACACAGTTATTCACACTGTGGTGCCTGGAGGACCTTCTGCCAGTACAGGTGCGTGGTCCCTAAAAGACCATGGGGAGTCTACACAGGAGCTGGCTCCTGACAGGAAGTACTGTTACTCATGGAAATTGGACCCTACTCTGGAGTACAGGAAGAGAGTAAGAAAGAAGAAATGACGAAGAGTTACTAACAACCCTCTCTCTCGATTCTCACTGCACCACTTGGGGCAGAGAAGAGTGAAAAGCAAGAAGTGATAGAATAAAGTTGAGCTTAGGAAATAAGGAGTTATACAGAGGGACAGTGTTTTAATTTTGTTTTTCTATCTCACCTTCCTACACTGTTTTAAATTGGCAATCAATCTTCCACAATTACAGATTTTGTTGCCAACGACAGTAATTGGTGAGTGATCCCCCTTCCTTACCCTGACCTGTGACCCATTGTATTTTCTCCCCCTGTCCTGCAGAGGACAGGGAATGAGAGCATCTGGGTGGGGACTTGGCAGCCAGCTAAGATCAGCCCACCATAAGTACACCCAAACATGCAAAGGAAATGTTAATGTAAATGCAGACTGCAAGTCCAATTACTGTGACTGCTTATAACTTCTGTCTGTTCTTTTGTTCCTAACAGATGCCCTCTTTCCTTTGACTGTATTTTTCTCGTCATATTACAGTGTCATACCAATGTATCTTCCAAAGGCTTCTTTAACTCTTCCGTATTCAGGGAGGGCTGTGCAGCAGGTATTCGTTCTGTCGTCTCTTTTATCCATTTCTTTAAAGATTCTACAAGTAGCTCAAAGGTATCAATTTCTTTCTGACAAGATGATACATCCTCTTCTCTAGACAATCAAAGACAACAAAAGAAATTGAGCACTGAATGACAGCATTCCTTCCAATAATTAAATCAACAGATATTGCTAAATCTGATATTGCTATTCCTGTACTTAGTGATAACCTCAAAACTAGCTGCAGGGAGTACAGAGACAGATCTGTGAGTTTTCTGCAAGAAGAGAACACATCCATCTTTGTGATATTTGACAGAATTACAGAATCATAGGGGCTGGAAGGGGCCTCTGGAGATCATTTTGTCCAATTCCCTGCTAAAGCAGGTTCCTTACAGTAGGTTACACCAGAAAGCATCCAGATGGGTTTTGAATATTTCCACAGAAGGAGACTCCACAACCTGTATGGGCAACCTGTTCCAGTGCGTTGTCAACCTCAAAGTAAAGATTTTCTTCATGTTTTTATGTTTTTTTCCTTATGTTTTTATGGAACTTTCTGTGTTCCAGTTTGTGCCCACTGACCCTTGTTATGTCATTAGGCACCATTAAAATGAGCCCGGCCCCATTCACCCATTAGATATTTACAAGCATTGACAAGTTAGAGGTATCGTGGAGAGACAGCCTCTTGTCCCAGCACTTGTAATTTACTCATCTTCTACCTGAACATGACTTGATCTTAAAGCAATATGTCAGTAGTGCTGGTGAACTAATCATACCCAGTAGCATGCAAAAAGAAAGCAAAAAAAATCATACTTCAATTGTACATCAGATCAATCCTGATCAGATAAACCCTGACACAAGGCACTGACTCACAAGAACAAGCAGCAAAATAAACACACAGATGACTGTGTAAGTGATAAAAGCAAAACAAGCATTGAAAAAAATACTGGTGGGAGTTGTGAGTAAAAACTCGTAACACAAGGAAACTCATAACACAATTCATATCACTAGCACACAGCATTTTGATACCTTAGTAAAATAACAAGACATCTAAGAAATGTCTTCACTGCATCATTTTGGATTTTGAAGAAAGGTCTCCAAGTATTTTCATAAATCAGGACCTATTTAATAGCTTATACATGCTTATACATGCTTAATAAATACATGCTTAATAATAACATGCTTATAATAGCTTATACATGCTCTTGGTGTGTAGGGAAGATGTCTAAAGCTAGCGTTGTCACTATGATCAGGAAAGGAATTTTCATGTCATATATTAATGAAGTTTTAATACTTCAGTTTGCATCCCAAATGACCTGAATGAAGATTTCAACTGCCTTGGAAGCAAGCCTGGTTTAGAGATTACCGTTTTGACAGAATCTGAAATTTTTTAGACCAAAAAATTAATAATTTTACAAATATTATTAGAATGTGGAAAATCCAGTTTTGCTATACAGGTAAATGGATGCTATAATAATTTCCTCAGTTTTTCTTTGCAGCTTGATTCCAAACAGTATATGAAATTAATTTGCACAAAGAAGAATTTTTATTCTATCAGAGAAGGAGAAAAGTAAAACAGCTTCCTTAGTACTTACAGGACTCACAATATATTCATGAAATTTGGAAAAAGCTACTTGTCCGTAATGTAGACAGCCTGAGACAGATAAAGTAGCTACTGAAGTATTTCTATACTGAATTGCTCTTTTTTTTTTTTTTTTTTAAATGAAAAATCCTCCGAAATCTCTTGAATTGCACACAAAAGGATAGTGGTCACTATCAATAACAACATTTATTAGCCTAAAAGGTGGAAACATTTCAATAATTGTTTGACTTACTTTTCCTTTACAGTCTCCTCTATCTCTCTGAATTTTTTTGACAAAGCATTTACTTTTTCTAGTACCAATGCTTTATCCCCAGGAAGAGCGTGTAAAGACAGTTCTTCAAGAAGGTTCTGCAAAACTTCCAGGTCTTTCTTATGTTTTGCTAATTCTATACTAGCCTCCTGCAAAACACAAATATATTCTTCATGTTAGATTATGCAATCAGTTGTCCAAAATTAAATTTGTTACTTTAGCCAAGCAATTGAAGCTATGAAACAAGCATGTCTTATTTATTGTTCTGTCACTTAAAGGAGCAAGACTAGATAGATATGCACACAGTATACAAATGGAATGGCACAGTACCTGCATGTACTGAGACACTTCACTAACATCCTTTCTTGGTGCCTCAGTCTCACTGAGAGCCTGGTTTTTCTCATCTAGGAATGACTGGAGTTTCTCTGACAGATCTTCAAATAATTCCACTTTAGTCTTCAACTCCTCCATTTTCATAAGTTTTTCCTTATGCTTCTTACTTGCTGCAGAAAAACGTCCAGCAAGTTCACTCATTTTGGCTTGCAGTGAGGATGCAGTGGATGGATCTGCTGTTTCCATGAACTTCTTCACTTTGTCATTCATAGTGTTTATACTGCTTTGACGACCAGCAATGTCTTGTTCTAGCATCTGAAACAAGTAAAAAACCGCTCTGTATTGCTTATAGATAAATTTTAAAAGTAGAACTGGTCCACCATATGAAGCAACAAATTAGTTCAGCTGAACCAACAGCATACATCTGTTTCAGTTACAAATATTTTTATGTATAGTTTCAGCTAATGCAGCAGTATCTTTCACTGGGTATTTTGAATCCGTTAAGGATGACAATGTAATATTTTGATTATTTCTTGAAATCTTAATATAAAAATTTCTTTCAAAGTATGCTACTTACAATGCTTTTACTAATGATATCTTGAATAGCAGCAGAATTCAAAGGCACTTGATCTTGTTCTTCAAGGCTCTTTTCAACACCTTCCATCCAATCCAGCATTTCATCCAAGCCATCCTGCACACTTAGGGATCGAGTCAATGTTATTTGGAGCTTCTCATTCCTTTCATTCACAGACTTGGATAAATTGTCATATCTCTCCACAATATCATCTGATAAAGAGAAAATACATTTCAAATGTTTCTGTTAGCCAAACCAAACTTTTAACTCATTTTATTAGTTCTCACAGGTAAATGTGAGTCAAAAGTTACCTGTATCAGAAGCAAGTAAAACCACTAGCTGTATTCAGTAGAAATGCATGAGGAAAGACCAGAATCAAGTACAGCCAAGAAGCTCAGTGCACAAGTAAAATGAAAGAGCAGCTCACAGCTATGCTCCCAAATTTTTGGAACCTGGTTCCCACGTGCCACACAGTTCAGCCAAGACACCATGTAGCTCCAGCTTATGACAGTTGACAGTTCCCAAGAAATAAAACAGCAAGTAAAACAGTTACTCTACAGCTATGTCTCCTACTTTATTGCTGGAGCTAAACAGGTTTTCCTAAATGGTCCACAATCACGGAGCCCATCCAAACCGCAGCCTGTGGGAGAACCCAAGGAGGATCAGGTAGATGTTTCCTGAAGGAACTGAGACCTATGGACTGTCCACACTGGAGCAGGTCTCCCCTGAAGGACTGTGGCCTATAGAGAGGCTCCAGGCTGGAACAGGAGAAAATTGGGAGGACAACAGACCAGCAGAATGGAACAGTTACTGGCTGACCACAGCCTCCATTTCTTAGTCCCTTGCACTGCTTGGTGAGGGGGTAGTGGAATTGGTAATGAAGGAGTTAAAGTGAGTCAAAGAAGAAGGCAGGTGGCAGGAGGTGCTTTACTTTTTTTGAATTTGTTTTTCAGCATCTGAATCTGTTATCCAGTTAGCAATAAATTTAAGTTGCCTGTTTTGCCTGTGACAGTAATTAGTAAGTGATCTCCCTGTCTTCATCTCAGCCCATGAGCTTTTCCTCACAGTCCTTCTCATCCTGTTGAGGAGGGAGAGTGACTAAGTGACTGTGAAGGACATCACGCAAAAACCAAGGTCAGCCCACCACATAAAGATACTTGAAATGTGAAGGAAGTTTGGCTAAGCAAATTTGAAGTAATTGTTTGGAAATATTTTCCTTGAACACGAATATACCCCTACCCAGTGGAGCACTCATGTTCCTCAGCAAAATACTAAGTGCTTGACTTGGTAATCTTAAACATAGGAATTAAGCACAATCTTTCTCTCTGGAAAAAAAAAAAAAAAAAAAAAAAGTAAAAAATAAAATGATGCATTTTAAGTGAAAAGCAGAGGAAACAGAGCAACAATGAAGTTATGGTGTTGCAACAGCTTGTAGTTCAACAAAAAATGTACTTGAGCAGTGACACAGATGTGGAAACTGCATTTTCTTTCTTCTACTACCTGCATGTAGACATAAGTGATATAAATTAGCATTAAGAAAAATAAGCATTTTACCCAGTGTTTTCTGAATCTCCTCTTTGTCTGATGCCAACTCTTTCCTTGAATCCAAAAGCACTTCAGCAGCTTTTTTAAGTTTTTCTACAGCAATTTGGTGATTAGACACTTGTCCTTGGAGAACCTGTAAAATTCCATAATTGTTAATAACTCTGTTGAATATAGCTAAAAGTTACACATGCAAGGCTTGAGATATGCCAATATATACAGTCTAAACATGTCCTGAGAATAAACTAACATAATGCGTGACTTCTCTATAATGAAAATATTAACCTTGGTCTTCTGGACCATGTTTTAGTTTATTTGCCATCATTTTTATGTTCTGTTCCACAATACTCAAATGATTTTCTTGTATTTTGCATTTTGAAGATACATCTTTTGATTACTTGAAAACACTGCACTAACTCAAATGATATCCAAAAGAAAAATAAACGTATTTTTCAACTCAGCATCAGTGAACAAGGAGAAAAACATTGTCAGCAGTAGTAATCACCCACCCAACATCAGTTATACTGACAAAGGATCAGGCTGATAAAACAAAGTCATCAACTTCACAGTTTCAAAGCCTCCTGGAGCCAGAAACACTCAGTTTCAACTAGATTTTCTCTCTAACAAAAGAACATAAGTTTAGAGGATACCTGACTTAGAGGCTCGGTTCAGTCAGCAGAGAAACTGAAAGAACTTCTGAAAGTAGCTTTTACTCTTCAGAGTATAAACGTACTTCAGCGTAAATAGCCTCTGAATTATTTCAGGACCCGGTGTTAGTGTATGTGATAAATCTTTGTCTTGAATCACTTGAATATTGTAGAAGCTCAAAAGGAAGTGACCTCTCATTTTTTTCTGACACATGCTATCACTACAAACATACAATTCAATCCCATCTGCCATGCCAGGACAATGAAGTCGTATCAGTGAATTCAGCATCAATATGCATAGCAAAACATACCCCACTCATAGAATAAAATTCAGATAAAGAAGAGGAATTTTCCTTACGCTTGAGAAATATATGTACTTGTAAATGAATAAATAAATAAATAAAATACCAACAAAAAACAAGACATACCAGAAAACCTTGTATGCTGATGGAAAGCAAGCAAGCTTACACCACAGTCACTGAAGATTATTTTGAAGAACAGCTAATCCCCATAAAAAGATTAGACTCCACCATACAGCCAAGGCCTGTGTGTAGCTGGATTATCTGCTGCATGTGTTGGCTGGAAGGGACAGCTTTAAATTGCAACACCTGACTGTAGAAATACTCTGTTTTGCTTTCATTAATTGGCTTTCTTCCTTCAATCTGCTTTTTTTTCTCTTGCTTTCAATCTTTTGACACTTTGTACCCTCTCCATTCTTCCCTACTTATATTCCTGGAGTGCTCTTTTGTGTGGCAGGTAATCCACGTAGGCTTTTCACAAAAGAAACCCAATACTCATGCCTTTTGTATTGCTTGCATGAAAATTGGCATTATAAGGGATATAATTCCTCCTGGCATAAGGGACAAAAGTTTAAATGGAGCTTCAAATTGTAATTGGCATTATTTCTACTTTTCTAGCGCTTGGTAGCACAAATGAACCTCAACTGTTTCAATGTTAAAAGTCCAAAATTAACACTTTCATTTGTGGTTTTCTGAAGTCTTACATAATCACTATGATTTGTCTCCCCTGATGTATCACATATATCAAAGAGTTGGGCAATACCAGTTTGAAAGATTTGAAGGTTTGAAAGATTCTGTGTAGTCAGTGTACTGCTTTTCAGACTCTTCTAAACAAAATGGTGAAAGCATCCGCCTTCCAAGAGGCACTGACTATTGTTTATCAGCAGCAAACATACCAGACCTGCACAGACCTTCCATGTAACACATATAAAACAGAGATGAAATGTCTGAATAATAGCTTTGCTTACTGAGAAATGAAGAAGGAATTTGCATTTGAATTATGGTACAGATAATTGAATGTGTTTATGAAAATGTAAAAGTCAGCCTAAAAATGACAGACGGTACATAACTTTACACAAGCCATCACATTCTTTGGTTCCTAAAGCCTCCTCTAAACCTACAGTGCCTAACTAGTGTTTTAACTTCATGAGCTCCATCACCATCCTGTCTTGCCTATGCCAGGATTTACATAAAGTTGTGAGTTAGTCTTTCAGTGGGAAAAAAACAAAACAAAACAAAACAGTTTTTGTGTGCATTGCAAATTATGTTATATCCATTCTTAATGGGAGATGTAGCACTGGGTATAACTGGAGGAGGCAAACAGATCACATACTGCTGATCTGCTGTGATCCCTTACTGGGGATAATGATGCAAAACAGAAATGTGAATAGAAAAAAAGGTCAGAGACAACAAATGGCCTTTGTTCATCAGGAACTCAGTCACAAGCCCTATCCTCACAGCAAACTGGAATTGCTAAATCATTTATTAGTTCAAAAACTTACCAGATTTTTACCTCTTGTTTGCTAAGTGTTAGAAAATACATCTAGCTTTCATCACTGCTAGTGGTATTTTGGTCTCCCATTTTATTTTCACTCTAGTTCTATTCAGATAACATTCTAGACAGATTGAGAACTATAAACATTGCCTGTAGACTTGCAAGACAAGAATTTGGCCTGCAGCCACTTGGATTATATTAGATAATCCATTTTTTTCCAACAAAAAGCAGTTCCTTTTAGGACAGAAGTGCTTCTGTTTTTTAAAGCTTTTCACCTTGGTTTCTTCCAGTTGTCTTTGGAGATTTTTGGGATCCACAGCAATTGGCTCAGATAGTTGTTTGTTCACAGCTACTTCAGAGGCCTGAAGACCTGACAGAAGTCCAGATGAAGCATCTTCATAATGCTGGTATTTATCTGCCAAGTCTTTAAGGTTATTTCCAAGGATGCTACACTAAAAGAGTAGAAAACAAACATGGAAATATCCAGGCGTTAAACTCTGCGTTGTATTTCATAACAATCTCAAAATAATATTCTCACATCCTGAAATACTGCATGTTTTTTTCCTGCCATTATTCCATTGACTAACTGATCTCTAAACTAAGCTAAGACAGCTGGGCAGGCTGGACAGTTCCCTCTAGTTCGTGCTTCTCAAGAGTGATTTCGGATCAATGCACCAAAAACAGCAAACTGTACTCTAACCCACTGTACTAGAATAGGGTAAGCTTCAGGAAAACTTGATCCTCCAAATTAAAGATTGTTTATCAGCATTGTGACACCAAAAATATATTCAGAAAAAGGCATAAATTTCACTAGAATTGGTAGCATATGTTCATTAAAATACAGAGAACAGCTTTTTGTTTTCATAATATCTGCCCTGTAAATCCAAAATGATATAGCTCCTCCTATAAGTCCTATATTTTAGTATGCTCCTAAAATATACATGGTGAAACATCACATAAAAAAGCCAGTGGAACTATTTCAGTCTTTTCACACTTAAAATCTGACCATATCAAGTCATAATATTTATAAACAGCTATTTTAAATAATATTTAAAAAGTTATTTTAAATATTTCTATTTTGAACCTAAGGTACATTGTATTTCAATATTTACATTTGGTATTTGATCACCACCTGCTGGGCAAATATGTAACTCACTCACATAAGCAATTAAAGAACAGCTTTTAGATTCAAGATGCAAGCATATAAACTCACACATATCTACATATATTAGATATAAAAAATATATTTATAAAAACAATCTACAACTTGAAAGATTTCACAAAACTTGGAAGGTCTCACTTGCAAATTCCGAGCTTCAAGTTCTTGATTTACTAAGATAAATCTATTTTGTGTTGATTTGTTCTGCATATTTATTGTCAAATACTTAAGGCACCTCTGTAACGTCTATGCTAAATGTGTATATGTGAAGGGAAGAATTTGGCAAGTTAACCCAAGTGAGATCACAAATAAAGTTATTGAGATAGGTCTTTTACATGGATAATAGTAAGTTCTTAAAAAAAATTCACAATTATATCTTTAAATTCACACTCAAACTAAAAACAAGGAAGAAAACTTCAACCATTCAGAGCATTAGACTAAAGCAGAACTTTGGAAAAGCCTCTTGTGGATATGTTTTTCCAGAGGAATTTTGTTAATTCCAGAGGAATTCTTAGTTAAGAAGCAAAGAATTTAAAATTTCCCACAGTAATTTGTTTCATTAATTAACCCCTCTTTATACAAGTTGCCAAAATCACTGTAGTCTTTCCTACTCTGCGTAAATAAAACTTACCTTAGTGTAGAGAGATTTAAAACGATCTGAAGCGCTATCCAGTTTATTTTGCACTTCAGCATAAGTAGCCGAAGTATCAATACCATCTTTGTCAACCTTGACACCATCTCTTTTGCTACATGACCTTGCAGCATCCAAAACTCTTTGTCCAGAAATTGTAATATACCGTAAATCACCCTTGTGAGATATAACGTCTTCTGAAAAACTCTTCTGCCTTTTCAATTTGACCATAATACCACTGAAGTCAGAAGCACCAGCCTCCAAGTTGTCAAGCTCCTGTTCTGCCTGCTGCAGCCAGGTTTCAAATTCACTATAGTCTCTATCAAATTTCTCAAGTTCTTCCCTCAGAGAATGAGTCATCTTCATCTTCCGTTCTGATTCAGCTAAAGCAGTCTCGTACTGAGCCTTCAGCTCTTTCATGTTCCGCTGCATCTTCTCTTTTTCTTCAGGAGAAAGGTAGTGTCCTTGCTTCTCAAGTAGTGCCTGAGCAGACTGAGTTGCTATTATGACAGCCTGCTGCTGTGAAATAATTTTCTCATGTTGAGCCTGCAAGAAAAAGTTGAAAGAATACATGACCAGTCCTTTGTCAACTGATTTCATTACACAAGAACTGTCCTGAAATCTGTGCTGAATCTTGTTTAGAAATGATGAGTAAAAAGAAGTCCATCAAAACAAAACTAGCTTTTCTATTTTTCCTGCTATTTATTTGAAAACATTTTTTGAGTAATTTGAGAGAACACTTGACTGCTGGTCACTAGATTTCTGTGCAGCTTCAAAATTTGAAGAAACAGCCAGTGGTAATTTTAGCCAAACACACAGTCCATGAATACTCCATTCAGTATTCAGATGTCACTGGAACTAGGAAATATGAGGATATATACTCAATAATTTATTTATTGTTTTATACTTGGGACGACATGCTTAATGTAATCAACATTTTCCTCGTTCTCTGTCACAAAATAGAATTCACTAAATAAAATACCAAAAGGTAGGCAAATTTTTAAATCAGAAGTGTTCCACTTCACTTAAAATATACTGTAGTTCCATTTCAAATAAACAGACCAAAAGGAACGAAAGCATAAGCGCTGAAAAGAGTATAGATATTTCCTTGTTCTATTCTGAGAGAACAAACATTCTTACACAAAGCTTTATTTTTAAATTCCAAGAGCACTGATTCTTATCAAATATACTTGATCATAAAACTGAGCCTTTTGACATTAAAGATCAAGAAACATTCTGTGCATGTAAATTGTTTCAAAAACATCTAAAATAACATGACATAGGAACTACTCCTATGCTAAATAAAATCCACATTTCACATTGATTCTTCCAAAAAATCTTGTCTTAAAGGTTCTCATTTCCTACGTAAAATAATTATGTAAAATGGACTGGTATGACTCTCCCCTATTCTATACTGGATAAAAACCCAGCAGGTATTGGGCACAGGAGCAAACAAACAAACAAACAAATAAAAAATAAAATCATTCTGAAAAAGAAAAAATGTTATTGAAAAAAAAAACCAAAAAAAAAAACAGGAAAGAAAGTTCAAACTGGTACCAGCAATCAGCAGTATCAGTTTATCTACACATCCACCAAACCACACCAAACCACACAAAAGTTCTTGGTTGCTAAAATGTAAATCAATAAAGGCCATAAGGTGCCTCCGATTAATTTATCTGGAAAACCTGTTTTTAAAATGCTGCACTGTGGTTTGATGTAATTCATCCTTCTGAAGCCTTTAAATAGTGTTTGCCAAACTGTTATCTGCAACTGCTGGAAATCAGTATTCACAAGCAGGGGATTATATTTGGCCATTACAATGATTTTTGAAAAAGCTTCATAAAAAGTATAAATCTATTTTGTTGCTTTTTGCATTTTCTTTCCTTGTAGTAGTAATAAAAATTTGACTGTCCTGTATAAACATCTCTCTATAAAACTTAAGAATAATAGACTCACCATCAGGATTTTCAAAATTTGCTTTTAAAAATATGCTTTTTCTTATTTTGCAGTAAATGATCACAGTAACATCGAAGAACTGACAAATTTGCAATACATTCTGACTACTGAAAATCCTATCACTGTATCACTAACTTCCCATCTTCCATTCCAAAGTCTATTAAAGAAAGGATATTCAACTCTCGTTGAATGAAGACTGACACACTTAGCAAACAACCTGGGAGTAAATCCAGAAGCAGTACCTTGACTTTCTGATACTGTTGATTCAGATTATCGTCTGTGCTTTTCACTAGTCCATCCACCTGAGTTTCAATGTCTTGTTGAATTTCCAGCAGATTACCATTGACATCATCCTCCTCTCCTTCCAAAACCTTCACATCTCCCTCTTCAAAGTGTGTTCCATTCTGTTCTATTGCTTGCTTAAATTTCCTGCCATGCTCTGCTTCTTTATCCACATTTGATAACCAGTCTAAGAGGTTTTCTATTGTATTTTTACTTTCTTCCAGCTGTTCTATGGCTGCAACCTACAATGAAGTTACACAGTTTCAGTTCAGAAATCTTCAGGCACTATATAATAGCACATGCAAACAGTCTATTTAAAACACATCAGCAGTAAAAATGTGTCGAATGGCATGCATTTTACTGCTTATTTCATAAAAAAAAAATAGAACAGCAGTTTCTTAGTCACCCAAATGAAATACTTTATTTCTCCTCAGTATATCAATAGCAAATTGAAAAACGAATCCCCTAAAATACATTAGAAGTTCGAATAAAAGTACGAATAACCTTTTCTGTCTCCTGCTTAATTGCTGTTGTCATAGCTTTATCCAGTTCTTTTTTAGATTCTTCTGCCTTTTGGCTAAGGAGCAAACACTTGGTCTTTGCTTCATTCAGTTTCTGTTCAAGAACAGCCTTGTCCTCTTGCGACAACTTTCCTCCGTTTTCTTTTAAGAAGTTTTCAGTATTTTTCACAATCTCTGCCAATGTCTGGGCACTTGCTCTCATGTCTTTTTGTATCTCCTTTTGAGAAAAAAGAATCCAAAGATGAACCCACATCTTTCTGTTTAACCTTATTACAACTTCCTCTGTTTTGAGGGCAAGCTGCTCTTTTTTAACCACAGAGAATAAATGCAGTATTACTGAACAGCTTATGGGAATATTAGAAAATATTCAGTCCAACATCTGACAGTGTTGATGCAGATCATTCTGTCCTTATCTCTTTCAAGAACAGCTTAGAAATTTAAAAAGAGAAAGAAAGGAAAGAAAGAGAAAGAAAAGAAAGGAACGGAAGAAAAGAAAAAAGAGAAAGAAAGGAAAGAAAGGAAAGAAAGAAGAGAAAGGAACAAAAGGAACGGAAGGAACGGAAGGAACGAAAGGAAAGAAAGAAAGAAAACTGCAATTTGGAACTCAGATTGCTTACACTCCTATCCAGAAGTCTGAATATTAGTCTGTTAGACAATCACAATATTGATATTTATTTAAGAAAAAAAAAAAAGAAATATGCTATATTATTTCTTCTCTCCCAAGAATACACCCATTTAGGTTCTAATTTCTTCAGACAGTTATGTTAACAGGTGCCCTGAGGTATCTATGTTTTTCCACAGATTATAGAGATCTTATACCAACTAGGTGCGTTTCTTTGAAGATAAATAAGGTAAGGCAAGATGAATCAGAAAATTTAAATCTTTACTAATCTTGATTTGGAGCTCTATCCTGTAATTACGGAAAGCCACTACTAGGAGAAGGAGGATGAAGAAAAGTGCCAAGTCCTTCTGTCTTAAAACTATCAAAATCAGAGTTAGTGTCACTCAGGTCAGAGGAAAAGCTTATAGACTGGCTAAAAGCCAAGGTCCTTATAGGAAAGCAAACAAACTGAAAGGACTCTGGTACATAAAACATCTACAAGATTGAAAGCATTGCTAGAAAAAAACAGAACTGTAACCAAAACCTTGCATTTAATTCCTCAAAATACTTTAAGAGGGTGTAAACACTCCACGATAGTAGTTAAAAACCTAGTTATATTATTTTAGAATGATAAAGTGTAATCTTATCACATTTGAGGGAAAAAAAAATCATAAGATGAAGATTCATGTAACAGATTTATACTGCCACCTGAGTGCTTCTTGAAATATCTAGTAAACACACCCTATTCTAGTGTCTTCCAAGTTTCTTACACCCCACTGGTTCATACTGGAGCATATTCATGAGCAGCAGTTTAAAGGCATGCCATTAAGACTTCCCCTTTGGTAGGTCAAACAAATCTATGTTACTCTCTCGATAGTCTTGTTATTCAACAAAGGAGCCTAGTCACTCTCTTCTGCACTCATCTTTCTTTTATATACATAACTATAGATATATATAATAGAATTGCACACACCTCCTGTCTCGTCTGGTACTGTTCTAGCTCAGCCTTGCTGTCTCCAATAACAAGAGACTCTTGTTGTCCAATGAGTCGATTTTCAGTCTGTGTAAGCATATCACATATTTCTTGCAGTTTCTCTTTGCATTCTTGCTGTCGTTCAGCCACATCCTATATTAGAGGCAAATACAATTGAACAATAAAACAAAAACTTTCCTGCTATATGAACTAATAGACATTCAAATAGCAATTAACCTTTGAACATCAATATTGCAAAGCGATCTTTTCAAAAGTATGCTGTAAACATGATAGCAGTGGTACAAATAGCAAGATGAACATATAGAAGTTATGGATAAACCTCAAATATGTTGTAAGTAAAAGAGACCATGTTTGATGGAATTGCCCAAGAGAAGTCTGGCCATGCACATATGTGAAAGATGAAATCTCCAAACGACAGGAGTGAAAGTCCAGTCTCTTTAGCCGCTTGAAACCTGTGGTAAACACTATTAATTCTGCAAAATGATATCAAAACAGAGGTTAGTTGTGATCGTGAGTTAGCTCTTTTTGATATGCATAGGTTACCTGAATAGAAAATGCTGACTCCTTAAGCAGTAGAAAAGAACAAGACATGCAAGAACATTACTGTTATCACATCCTAGAAAAATATCTGTGTCTTTCCTCTACTCAATTTTATATTTATTTGACAAAGTACAGTGGAAGCAAATGTTCTTCAAACAGTAAAATAACTCAAAGCCCTCCAAATGCTGAAACACCTTTCATTATGCACAGGCTGGGGAATGAGGTGGCAACTCTGAATCTTCACAGTGCTTCTACAACAGAGGAGAAGATGCAGTCATACAGCAGCATCCTACCCTTCTTTTACTATCAAAACAAATGTGGCAATGTTTGCCAGCTGCAGCTATGCCAATTCAAGAGGTAATTGTACCAACTTGACTCGTGGTTTTTCCAAAGTCCACCTCTACAATCAGAAATCTGATTCACTCTTATTTCTATCTCTCTAACCTGTCTCAGCCAAAACAAGCTATGATAAAAAAGATTTAAAAATCTGGCACTTGACCATAAATACCTAGAAAATGATCATACAAGCAGATGACATTGCAAGTCAGAGGAAAAGAAAACTGTCAGAAGGATAGAAGTGATAAGCAGTGGTGGGATAGTAAACTTGATGATTAATATAGCTGCAGCCAGAAGAGGACAAAGAGTTCACTGCTTTATTTGGACAATACGTAAAAGAACAGATCCTAATGTCTGAAACTGTACCTGTCCTAACCTAACATATATTTCCTGTGAACTGTCACTGTAACAATGAAAGAGAAAAACGACAACTCTTCAGACTTCATAGAATCATAGAATATCCTGAGTTGGAAGGGGACTCACAAGGATCATCAGCTCCCAGCTCTACACAGGACCACCCAAAAATTCAAACCCAATGTCTGTGAGCACTGTCCAAACACTCCTTAAACTACAGCAGCTTGGGGCCGTTCCCACAGCCCTGTGCAGCCCGTTCCATGCCCACCACCTCTGGTGCAGCCCTGTCCCTCACCCCCAGCTGCCCTCCTCTGCCCCTGTTCCCTCGGGTCCTGTCGTTGTCACACAGAGCAGAGCTCAGCGCTGCCCTGCGCTCCCTGTGAGGAGCTGCAGCCGCCATCAGGCCTCCCCTCAGGTCCTCTGTTCTGGGCTGAACACACCAAGGACCTCAGCACTCCTCGTATACCTTGCCCTTGAGACCCTTCACCATCTTTGTCACATTCCTGAGGATGCTCTCTAACAGTTTTACGTACTTCTTATATTGTGGCACCCAAACCTGCATCCAGTGCTCAAGATGGGGCCACACTAGATCAATCTTTGTAGAACAGTGAATGTGTCTGAAGTGAAAAGGTAGGAATACAGTTAATACTGCCTGCTTAAAATTAAAATTCCTCACCCATAAACAAAAACAGCACACATTTACACAGAAAAGCAAACCTTCTGGTCACCCAGCTCTTGCGCTGCCTGTAACTCAGTTTCTAAACTCTCCACTTGAGATGTTACAGTTTCCTGCACTTCCTGAAAAGATTTCTGAATGGTATTTAAGAGCCTCAGAAGCTGTTTGCTCTGACTGGGAGAAAGATCCTGGGCGTGTTCAGAAATGAAGAACTGAACTTCAAATGCAGTGGACTCCAGTTGCATTTTTGTACAAGCAACCTCTGCAGCAGTGTTCTGTAAGTAAAGACAAGGGAATGAATAGCAAGGAAGACAAATTCAGCACAAATAAAACACACAGTCACTACTTTCTGCACTTAGCTCCTGTTCCAAAGTGCTTTTGAGAGACACTTCAGGCACAGTAAATCAAACCTGTGTCAGAATCACTCTGGCACATTCCATCAAGGGATTTGAATTGGTGTATGGTTTACCTTTGGCACAGTCTATGAGCATATAATAAATAAAATGACCTTGGAAACCTCTATTCTTTCTTTTGCCTTCTAATGCATGTCTGAAAACTGGCTGCCCTTCAACAATAGAGAATTTATGGTGAATATACACTGATGAAATGGCAGGTGTGGTTTAAGTTTCCTAGGTGCTAGGTCTAACCTAAAAATGTTAAAATATTTACTTGAGTGTATTCTCATTTTTAACTCCACAATGAAAAACTTCATTTCCAGCAGTGTATCAAATTATGCCCACAGCTGCACTCCTTGCAGCCCCTATGATAACACAACACAAACTGGAACACGATTAAAGTGCAGTAAAATTACGTTGTTTTTTTTTTTTACATTTACACACAGAGGTGTATGAACATTGCTAAAAATTCATCTGGTTTGTTTTTCACAGCTCACTTCACTCAAGTGGGTAATTAAGAGGTTGTGGGGATTATTTATTATCTTTTCCCCTCTTCTCACAAGTTAATTACAGTTAATTAAAATTAATGAAACTTCAGCAAAGAAAATGGATCTTATGAATAAAGATGTTTTGAAAGATTTAATATTAATAATTGAAATATCTGTAACATCAACTAGATTACCAAGAAGGGTGAGATTTATTATAACAAATGTAAGCAGAATTGATACTTTTCTCAGGAAGTCAAAATGTCCAAAAATTCTAAGGAGAAAAAGCAAATCAACAGTACGTGGATCAGTACAGTGGGTCATCAAGTAATCGTCTCCCAGGTTTGTAAGCAGCTATACAAATACTAGCCAGTAGTTCATACCACACAGTAACAGCTGCCAGAAGCACCAAGCCACAAAGAATACTTACTTTGAGTAGCTTTAAGCTTTGCTTCATATCTTCTATGTCATTGGTATTCACTTTGAAGTCATTCATGATTTTACTGTGTTCTGTGATCCAGTCTGAAAATGTCTGGAGTTTGCTTAAAAGTTGCTGGTGCAATTCTGCAAGCTTAGACTAGGAAAGGGAAGTTGTATATTCATTTATTTATGTGGAATCCTGTCACGTTTTCACACATTTCACACTAAATGAAATCATGCATGCACTTTATATACAGATTTAAAAGAAAATTTTTAAATTGTTAGCCGAATTACCTTAAGAAAAGTAAGACAAAACATACAAATGTACACTGATAAAAACATACCATTTCCAAGTCAACAGAACAGACTATTTGTTTTGCTCGTTTTGAAGACATATCACAGATCATCAAAAATGCTTCCTCCAGATAGTCATAGCTTATCTTTAGCTCTTTAAGTTTCGCTTCAGGAATATCTTTGTGATGAAACTTTAAGAATTCTTCTGTCAACTTCATGTCCTTTTTTAGGATAATTGCAAAGGCAGCCAATCCTGATTCAAATGACTACAAAGAGAACATATATTCAAAATGTGTTAAGCTAATAAGCAAGAAAGACATTATATCTGGTTTACTTAATTACATTCAAATTCACTCCTCACCCCATCTCAGGTCTTCTACTAGCTACATCACTGAAGTACAAGCATAAAGAATACTTTACTGACCTCTAGTTGTTGCAATTGTTCTTTTAGTACTTCCAGGTTGCTACTAATAGGTTTCTGGTTTTCTAGGTGTCTTTTCACCTCTTGAAGCACTGCCAAATGCTCTTGCATTTTGTCTCTTAACTTCAAACATTCCTGTTCTCCATCAACCTGAAAATGGGTTTTAACAATAAACAATAAGGTTTTTGAAACTGACAATTTAAAAATAGGCAATAAAATTTCTTTTAATTCTAATTTTAATTGTTTAAAATCATTTATTTTTGAAATTATTTTTCCAGTTTAATTATTGTCTCCAGCAATTGGAAAGATTCATGTGATTCCTTTGACACAGGGCACACAGCACATACCAGCTGTTGTTACATACCTTGCTAGTGGAATTGTCATCCAGGAGTGTTTCTGTCGTGTAAGCGGGCCCAGTAAAGCCTCTGAAGAGGCTGTCTGTCTTCTCATGCTCCTGGTCACTTTTCCAAGCATCAGATGTGTCATCTGCCAATGTTTTCTCTTTAGGAATTTCTGATCCAAACTCTGACTGTTCTGTTGAGAAAAGAGCACAAAGCCTATCTACTTTGCTTTTACCTTCATGTGCTGTGGTGATGTCAGCACCCTGTGAGCTCGTAAGCAAACTACTTATCAGCTCCTCTAATTTCCTCTTACTTTCATCTCCAGATGACATTTTGAAAATTTTCATAAGTTCAGAAGCCGTAAGATTCACCTCTTGTTCTATTTCACTCTTCATTTCATCTGGATCACTCATCTTCTGGTTACAGAATTCCCGCCGCAGAATATCACGAAGAAGATCAGGACTTCTGCAATCAGGCCAAAGCAATGAAAGTGCATCACCGTCCTTTGTGTCTGTGCACGGTGTGGTATCCATTAATGCCTCTCTAACAGTACTGCTCGTTTGCTTGAGTTGTGACTCATTGAACATGCTGCTTCCAAGCTGGGTGCTTCCAACCATTCTAAGTAAATTTTGCATTAGAATTTTGGTATCAGAGTAACATAGTGGTTCACCTTCCTCCTTGCCGTAAGTATGTCCCGATTTTAATTTCCTTTGTAATATATTATTTAAGCCTTCCATTAGTGTGTCAGGCATTTCTGGTGACTGTGAAAAATCTTTCTTTACTTGAAAATCTTTGGAAGGTCCCATTTTGTTTTCTAATGATTCCATGCATAATTGTTTTTTGAAACCATTTTCAAAGGAAGAAGTCTCG